GTGGCTATTTTGCACACTGCATGAGCCTACTATTTCATGCTTAGCCTTGATCTAAATTTAATAAACATGATATAAGGTAATAGAAGTTATTCCATTAAGTATATGGTGTTACAGTTACACATGGGGTGCCTACAACAGTACATTCCACCTGTGAGTGCCTACATTAGTAAATAACTGGGAGTGCCTACAACAATACATAACACATGGGAGTGCCTACAACAATACATAACACACGGGAGTGCCTACAGCATTACATAACACATGGGAGTACCTACAATACACAACACATGGGAGTGCCTACAACAATACATAACACATGGGAGTGCCTACAACAATACATAACACATGGGAGTGCCTACAGCATTACATAACACTGACTGACTGAGTTTGGTTTTACGCCGCTTTTAGCAACATTCCAGCAACATCACGGTGGGGGACACCAGAAATGGGCTTCACACATTGTACCCATGTGGGGATTCGAACCCAGGTCTCCGGTGTGACGAGACAACGCTTTATCCATTAGGCTACCCCACCGCCCCGCACTACATAACAACTTGTGAGTGTGTGAGTTGGGTTTTAAGCCACTTTTAGAAATATTCCAGCAATATCACGGCGGGGAATACCAGAAATGGGTTTCACACATTGTACCCATGTGGGCAATCGCACCTGGGCTTTAGCGTGATGAAAAGGCTACCCCACCGACCCACATAACACATGGGAATGCCTACTAGACTAAAGCACACAACAGGTTGGGAGTCAGTGACACCCAAAAGCTACATTAATTTTCATGAACACTGGCGGAAGCTGCTCAGCAGATATCATCCGATGTTACATCCTGTTTCACACAGGATTGTAGGCATGTTATCAGAACACAACCTGGCTATCTGCTTGTAGCCATATGCAACTTCCTTGTACACTAATGTATTTGATTAGCATTACCATAATTACTCTGCCGCGTTGCTCCAGAGCCCGACATTTATTACACTAGGGTAAAGACAACAAACTGTGACTTGGAGAGATCGTAATAATACTGTTCATTTTAGTTTATCATCAAAGTAGCCACAAGCTACTTGTCAAAGATTCTTGTGGTTACACACCCAACCTGTCAAAGATTCTCTAAATTACACACCCACCCAACCAACAGTACCCTTTCTGGGCATCTCTGTCATGAAGATTTTACTTCATTTACCCATAATGACTAACACCTATTTACTTTCATCAAACACGTCAAAAACCGGAATCACTGCCTCGCACTGGGTGCAAGAGACTGACTGACTGAGTTTGGTTTTACGCCGCTTTTAGCAATATACCAGCAACATCACGGCAGGGGACACCAGAAATGGGCGTCACACATTGTACCCATGTGGGGATTCGAACCCGGGTCTTCGGCGTGACGACCCAACGCTTTAACCATTAGGCTACCCCACGCCCCGGGTGCAAGAGAAAACACAAAAGTGTCACGGTACTGCAGCTCACATGTGTTTGTGGAGTCAACAGGTTGAAATGTCATTAGCATATGTACCCTTGTAGATCCGGGATAGAATTGATCTTCAGTAACCCATGCTTGTCGTAAGAGGCAACTAACGGGATCGGGTGGTCAGGCTCGCTGACATTGTTGACACATGGGTTACATGTCATCTCATCCAATTGCGCAAATAACCTGAACTAAATACAGTGTCATCATGTGGAGAAACACGCTGAAAACTTCAACTGGGTAGTCAGTTGGGGTATTTCAGCACATTCATGGGAGAAGAGATTTCACAGAGCAAAATATGCATTTTAGAAATAATTTAAGAAAAAGTTAAACAATTCACATTAAATAGAAAATTGGGCTTGTTTTGAAATTTCAGACTAACAGAACAATGACTAAATTTAATAACATTTTGTATATAATTAGTGCAAAAGCAATATGTTTTGTAATGTGCAATGTGGTTGTTATGGCAGCAACATTTTAAACCAAATTGAACCTCCATTATTTCTGAGAATAGCATATCAGCAGTACAAAAAATTTATTTGAAGAGAATTTGGAAGAATGGTCAAATTCAAATTCAAACAAAAGTCCAAATTTAAAATTATTGTTCAAAACAAAACATAAGTGTTCAGCTACTGTCTACATATACAGTGAAGCCCCGTTAGTCCGGACTCCGATAATCCGGATGTCTCGCCTCCCGGACGATTTTAGCGTGTTACCAATCTATGCCTATTTAATTTGCCTCGATAATCTGGAAATTCGGTTCCCGGAACCGGACGGTAAGTAGCTGTAACCAATCAGTAAAATAAACAGTATATTGCTTCACAGTCGGGACGCTGTAAGTCGTGTTCACGAACCATAACAACACCCCACGGCGATGTTTACTTAACTGGCCATAAACAATAAAAACTCGGTGTCATGGAGTTGACAAGATGAACTCTTGTTAACTTTTGAGAAATGTCTGTTCAGGGTTGTTGTTTTAATTAGACATTAAAATCTCCCGACTGAAGATGCTGTACATTTACACTTTGATTGACACCACAATACAAAGGCGTGGATGACAAGTGAGCTATTTTGTGATTGGTTAATGTACTTCGACAGACAGATGCGGTCACGTGGACTTAAAGTGATTTTGCTTCTCAACAACGCTGCAAGTCACAAGTGTGCTTCGCTAACTTTGCGAAATGTGACCAAATACCACGTCTCATATTCAACCGATGGATGCAGGAATAATTCGGACATTCAAGGCATACTACAATAGATCGCTTGTTAGACATTACCTCACCTGTGCTGTGGAAGGACGTGATCAGACACGTCGGATCAACATGCAGATGTCACTCCGGTAAAATTATTCATGTGATGAATTCAATGAGGAAGGTTAAACGAACACAAACAGCAATGAAAGACTTTTTGCTATGACTATAGATTATTGTTGTGCTTGCTATTCATTGTTTTATAAGATTTACATTAAATGCTTATTTGTTTTATCCAGATTCGTGTCGTTTTTGTAATAGTAAGGGAAGCAACTCTTGCTTGAACTTGGGTCTTGATTCAGTAGTCCGGACTAATCGCAATCCGGACGAATTTGCTGAGAAACGCAACTGTCCGGATTAACGAGGCTTCACTGTATACCAGATTTCATTAAATTTTGAACAAACATGGCTGAGTAATGGCCAAATTAAAGTCACAGCTTTCACACTGTTTTATATGCATCGGATTCAGGCCTCTTACATAAACATGCATAGATCGATTCTCATGCTGTTGATCACTGGATTGTCTTGTCTGGACTTGAAATATGCATCGGATTCAGGCCTCTTACACAAACTAGCACGTGAAGTTTCAGTTTCAGTGGCTCTATAGTAGAGACTGAGTGGTGGGGTAGCCTAATGGTTAAAGCGTTGGCTCGTCACGCCAAAGACCCGGGTTCGATTCCCCACATGGGCACAATGTGTGAAGCCCATTTCTGGTGTCCCCCGTTATGATAGTGCTGGAATATTGCTAAAAGCAACATAAAACCCAACTCACTCACCCCTATAGTAGAGACGTTTACAATAGGTGACTTATGATGTACATGGGGCGGTGGGGTAGCCTAGTGGTTAACACGTTCACTCATCACGCCAAAGACCTGGGTTCGATTCCCCACATGGATTCAATGTGTTAAGAACATTTACTGTGGTCCTGCTCAGTGATCTAGATGAAATACTGCTAAAAGCAGCATAAAACTACATTCACTCACTTATTAGGATGTAAGACATACAATGGATAAACAGGCCATGATATACCAGAATGTTCATTTTGCTCAATGCCAGGTGAGCTTAAAACATGAAAATACACAATACTTCTTTCCGTCTTGTACATACAAGGAAAATATGAGTGAAACACAAAGGGAGGAAACATGAACAACCATGGTCAAAGGCCAACATACTATCATATATTAGCATGATCTGTCACTATCTCCTGAACAACGGTTAACATCACGATCTCCTGAATAACAGTTAACGACAGAGAGATCTCTCTCTCTCTCATATAAAAAGAGCGAAATATTCTCAAGCACGACGTAAAACCCAATTTCACCTCACCTCATCTCTCATATAAAAATTCTCTTGCTCTACAAGTACAGCCAACTTTCGAGTCAAACTTGCTTGATAATATTGAGTGTTTTCAGCAACATCATCCAGTGAATCATTCTTAATTTTCACAGCAATTGAGTGTAAAAAGCTTGATACGGTTCTCTTCTGTGACACTGACATGGTTTGGTAGACAGTATCTTCTGCTAATAATAATGAGAATATTTTCAATGCACCTTTTCCAGGCTAGATTTCCTGCTAAAAGCGCACAATCTGATCATTATTACCCCAGATAACCCAAGCTGCCTGTTAGGCGCTAGAAGGTTAATAGTCTCACGACTTATTTCACCAGGTACCCATTTTCAGCTGGGTGAACAGAGGCAAGTTTGAAAAAACTCACTTGCAGTCTGCTGGGGAAGACCACATGTATTACATGTGCTTCACAAACTCCTATCACCTGTGGGCAGGACTCTCCAAGCCCAACGCTGCTTAACTTCAACTTATTGTGACCTGAGCCCTATGCACAGAACCACACACTTGCACAGGACCACACGCTAACCAAGATATTATGTTGTCCGAAATGAGATTTCCTGTCATTCAAAATGGCTGCACCTAGGTTAAGCTGTGAGATCAAGAGTGCCACCTATAATAGTTTGATGGGGTGCAAAATTAGTATTTGAATCATATGACACGGTCTAATTGATCTCGTTTTCCATTAAATCAATCTTGGTGAGCATTACTTGTAAAATTTAGGAACACTGAAAAATATTCATCCTTGCCATTTCAATATTTACCTGCAAGTAGTAATGGCACGCAAATTAAGCATTATTGACTCACAAAACAACTTCCCTTCCTAATAACAGGGTTTTATGTTATCCATCTTATCTTAACAGGGAATATTCCTAAATTCAGTCACATGGTCTATCAATACTGAATCACTTCCAGTAAGACAAGGAGAACTTCCTCATTGAACTAAATACACAGAACACTCACATGACACACAGTGAAACAAGGAAGTAATGATTGCTGTACTGGTATTACAACACAGCTGCTGTCGGGCTCAGAAGGAACACTGCTGTCTGCTCTCCAGATCTAATCAACTCTCTCAGCCAAACCGGGTAAGTTATAAACTAAAGAGTCCTGACTTTCTACGTATATATTGTATTAACAGCTCCATAATTTCACAATCGATTATTTAAATTGTATTTCCCTAATAAATGGTAAACAGCCAACCAAAGGATTAAGATACTTCAGAGGATGATTGCTATGGAAGGCCTGGGTTCAATTCTCAACAAGGATACAATGAGTTTAGTTTCACGCCACTTTTAGCAATATTCCAGCAATATCATGGCGGGGACCCTGGGCTTAACACATTGTAGTGCAAAACCCGGTGGCATAAACTAGACTAAAAGGATTATCCATCACTCACACCCTGCCAAAGTAGTGCAAAAGTGGCATAAAACTAAAATTACTCTCACTCACTCATTGCCGAACCAATGAGCAACCTTTGTGCTTCATCATGTTCTTAGATGTTCTGATAAACTCTAGTTTCACAGAGGAAAAGTTTGACACTGTTAACAACTCGCATTTGCAGGACAGATGCGTGAATTCTTCAATGGGGAAGTTTATAACAACAAAATGGTCATTGTGTAAGAGGCAGTTGTTAATAATTTAAACCTGTACAAATGGAATGAATGGCAATCTAAAATATAGAAAATACACTTCCATTCATCTGTTTGATACACGTTCAGTGATAAGAATGGGTTCCACATTATCTCCAAGATTATTGCACTTACGACGTATAGCAACATGCATCACATGTCCCCTTGGAATCATTTCACAAAGTGATAGTAAAGCTACGACTGTTGTAAGTCACATGCCATGATATTGGCTTACTACAGTCATAGCATTACAATCGTCTTGTGAAACGGGGCCCTGGACTAATGCTCAATCTTCACGGGTCAGAAGTCTAGATAAGCTGCGTATCTGCATAAAACATGCATTGAAACTTCCAAAATACGCACTAAAATGTATCTGTAGCATCCCTAACACGCAAAGGAAATTACAGAAACGCTTTGGTTAGTTGTTGACTTGCGTACCCTGACTTACAGGTGAAAAACAAATGCGTAACAGAAAGTAGCTAACTGTCAAATATTACAAGTGGATCGGGCAGATTATCGAACGAATTTCACTATGTAACTGTACACTTTATGAACTACAGAAAGAAACATTTGCGTAAACGCAGCTAGTTATGTTTATAACACTCATTTTGATTAGTTCTTCTGAAAATACCATCCAATAAAATCGCTTGTCTTGTTAAGACTTCACATTTTTTTAATTTCTCTTTAAACTGACTGACTGATGATTGACATATTCCAGCAATATCAAACCAAAAATGGGCTTCACACATTGTGCCCATGTGGGGAATCGAACTTTTAAACGAGCCAACGCTTTTTTTTAACTAGGCTACCCCAACATCTCTTTAAAAAAACCATATTGACATCTGAAGTACAAAACATTGGTTAGAGGGTAGTTATCTTTTAAACCTTTTTTTTTAAAAATTACAGACATAGAAAATACCCACATTTTAAACAAGAGTCATCAGAAGATGACAAATCCCCCAGCCCCCACATATTTGGACAGTTACGTAAAATCCAACTTTATTTTTTTTAAGACTAAGTCTGAATCATTTCCATGGAAATCATGAATAATATAAATGCCAACAATATGTAAATAGCAAAAGGCACCACTTCAAGATCTGTTTGATATGTCTGCCAAGTCTTGTAGAAAAGATATTGAAAGGTTTTCAAGCTGTTCTCCAGAAACGAATCCACCCGTCCCTTTTGAGATTAAGTCTGAATTGTTTCCATAGAAACCAAGAAAAATTTAAATGCCAAAAATCTGTAAATAGCAAAAGGCACCACTATGGGACCTGCCTCAAATGTCTGCCAAGTTCTGTTGAAAGATATTGAAAGGTTTTTAAGTTCTGCTCGGGAAACGAAGTCCACCCCTCCTTTTTGAGACTAAGTCAAACACGTTTCCATGAAAATCATGAAAAATAAAAACGACTAAAAATCTGTAAATAGCGAAAGGAACCACTTTATGTTCTAATTGACATGTCTACCAATTTTTGTTGATAAGGACAGACGGACGAGGCTTCGACTATATCCCCAGAATTACAAGATGGGGGGATAAAAAGGGTGGGTATCAGAAAATTTGAGTACCCACTGAAGATCAGTAGTATCCACTAATAACTGACACCATGGGTAAAATACCCAGATTGCAAAAACCTTATCTAGAGCTCTGTGGGTGATTTATTGTTCCTTTGAGCAGTATTTTAGTAGGCATATATCAGTGTATCAAACGAATGTGGGAGGAAAACCTGAGTTCATGCAAGACATTTTCCACTCCATGGGCTGTGTGGTGAAGACAAATCTAGAACCATTGAATCAACTGGACACAGATTTCCGCCGAAAGGGACACAACTCTGTGTTGGCACAACTCTATTTTGGCAACTAGAAGATTTCCGCCGAAAGGGACACCTCTGTGTCCCCATGGTACACCTATCTACTGAATCAACTGGACACAGATTTCCGCCAAAAGGGACACAACTCTGTGTTGGCCTCACTACCCAACCGCCAACTGGACACAGATTTCTGCCGAAACCACAACTTTGTGTTGGCCATGGTACACCTATCCCCATGAATCGATTGAATCAACTGGACACAGATTTCTGCCGAAAGGGACACAACTCTGTGTTGGCCTAGAAGAGGAAACACCTGTGTCCCCATGGTACACCTATCTATCTCACCTGTCTGGGTATATCTGCCAGTTGAACACATGGCTTTTTGTCCTCCTCAGCCCTGTCCTTCATCCCCTCCTCTTCCTGTTCCGAACTGCTGGATATTGTGTCAATACCTCCAGTAGACTCATATAATCCATGAACATCAAAATCTGGACATATCCTCCTCAACTCTAGTTTAGCTGATTTAGGAAATGCTTTCTTTTTTGTGGAAGGTGTATCTTGTTTTGTCATACCTGGTGTGCAATTCTTACTGTTTTTTGATGATTTGACTTGCACGTGAGATTTCACATTGGTTTCCAAATCTTCACTATCACTTGAAGACCAAGATATGAGTTCAGCATCTGAAATGCAAACAAGCAATTTGAAGACATGCATGATTTTCAAAACACAAAGTACCAGTATATTTTTCCAACCATGTTGTGATATGTACTCACTAGTATTTCTTAGATGCTATACCGGTAATATACAACACACTGTCTGTCTGTCTGTCTGTGTGTGTGTGTGTGTGCATGCGTGTGTGTGTCCCAGAAGTTAAAGCGTTTGCTACCGCGGGTTCCATTCCCCACATGGGTACGATATGTGAAGCAGGGGTAGAAATAACTTTAAAATTTCTAGTGTACTCCGGTACAGTGGCACATATAACATCACTCGCCCTTATAATTTGTCCACTATACCGGCCGATTTTCCTGTTGATTTTTTAAAATAAACAACATAATTAACATTGGAAAGTCAACTGGACACCGGTACAGCGTGATATAAAATTTGTCTTGCCCAACAGAAAAGAACACTGGACTGGGACGTCGGGCAATGGGTTATTTCCACCCCTGGAAGCCCATTTCTGGTGTCCCTAGATGTGTTATTGCTGGAATATTGCTAAAAGCAGAGTAATTTCAAACTCACTCACACACCTCTTAGGGAGGGTATCTGACAGCAACCAGGACATTATGGATAGGTAGAAACACTGAAGACGGTAGATATTTTCCCAAAAATATTTTTGTGCTTACACAAGGTTGCAGCATAATCAAAAAGATACACTATAACCTGACAGCTTTGTAAAAATTGTGTTAAATCTAATTTAATGACAAAGCTTAGTTCTAAGTTTAGAATGAGTACTGTGAAGAGACATGCTAATGGCAGTGATCACCTACAAGCTGTTGAGGCTAAATATACTACATGGCATGTTGTTACAGCTGCAATATGTTACATGAGAAAATTCCATGCAAAATATCCCGTGTATGATACCCGTTACTGTGGACGGTGATTATGCACCAACAAACCGCATGTTTGGTGTTAATGTTTATATTATCTCTCAGACTGACCCCATAAGTTTTCAAAATGACGCCATGCATATTAAACTGAAGGCATCACTGTCTCAACTTGTCCAGTTTCTTGGCAGAACACTGGGCAGTGAATGTTCGCACACAGACTGCCTGAGATGACATGTAAACGTGTCATGATTTTCTTAATGCAGAGAGGTACAACATATTTAAAACATATGCATTTTGCACACACAAAATCGTAACCTTAAAAGTTCAACTATTGCACAAGTTAAATGATAATGTCAATGGTTACAAGCAGGCAATATTTCATGTGTTATCACCTTTCGTATCCTGCCCCGATGCATCAGATGCTAGCTCAGTGACATGGTCAAAACTGGACTCAAGGAAGCCTTGGACCTTGGGTGATCGTTGTGTGCAGAGTTTCTTTGTGCGTTGGTGCCCAGTGTCTGTCTTGGCAAAACCTGTTGAGAATCCTTCCATACATCGCTTCCACTCTCCATGTTGCAGTGATGCTGATGTTGCTTCTAGATCGTCTTCCAGCTTTGAAAATATTAATAAGACTGTAGATTAGTCATGTTTTAACTGATCAGAGTTTTTTACTGTGGATTATGTTGAGGGGCCTTTACAATAACCAACAAGAAGACAAAGCCATCAATATCCCCTGCAACGGCAAAATACTCTTTATGAATATGTCTACTAGTTATAATTATGTCAAATGTTTTGGAGTGTATAGAAAGGTTTTTAAGATCTGCTCCAGAAAGGAGCACTACCACCAACTTCAGTTGAAGCCTAACTTGTTGCCATGGAACTGCAACAAGATGACATCCTCATAGTCACAGCCTAAGTCATGTTTCAATGGAAACCACAAAAATTAAAAATTCATATCTGGAACTAACCCCCAAAAAGGCACATCTAGGGATCATGCTTTATATGTGTACCAAGTTTGATGAAGCTAGCGTGTATAATTTATGAGATCTGTGCTGGACAAGATGATATCCTCATAGCCACAGCCTAGGTCACGTTTCCTCAGAAACCGCAAAAAAAGAAATTCATATCTGGGTCTAACCCCCAAAAGGCACATCTAGGGTTCATGCTTGACATATGTACCAAGTTTGATGAAGCTAGCATGTATAGTTTGGGAGATCTGCTCCGGACAAGATATCATCCTCATAGTCACAGCCTAAGTCACATTTCCATGAAAACAGCAAAAAATAAAATTCGCATCTGGGTCTAACCCCCAAAACGCACACCTAGGGATCATGGTTGACATGTGTACCAAGTTTGGTTAAGCTATCATAAATAGTTTAGGAGATATGCTTCGGACAAAGTGTGAAGGATGGACAGACGGACACACAAAACTCGTTTCTATATCTATGGGGGATAACAAAACCAACACAGTGTGACAAACCGCCACCTGCTTTACAATCATATTGCATTGAACACCAACAAGGATGGGTCTAGAGTCTAAAACTAAACACCTCTGCATCCAGGGTTTTACCCTGACTCAAAAAGATGGGGGTCCCAGGGATCCCTAATTATTAGGTTTAAGGGTCCTTGTGGGCAATACATGGGTCCTGTGAAGTAATGGTGTAGAGTATGTTTTGATCACTTCTATAAAGCCTGGAATGAATCATTAACAGAGATGCCAAACCTATTTGGGGCCTAAGTGTAATACTAGAGGTCAAAAAGTGTAATTTGGAGCTAAAAAGTGTAATACTTGTCTGCCGATCGCTTCAACATGGTACACGCTTTCACGAAAGGAAGATTCTAGACAGAAACACATGTGATCAATCATTATGAAGCTCCATACATCGAAAATTGTTGGTCATGTGACTCAAAATACTTTAATTCCTTGCAAGTAAATTGGAATGAGTGTGATGCTAAGAGTAAGCGATTCCTATTGGTGCAAGGCCATTTCTGCACCCCTGCACCTGTGCGTTACGAAACACTTCCCTGTGAAAATTTATCCATTTAACTGATTTTCGAAAAACGAGTAGAAAAGCGTAATTTTCGCAGATTAAGTGTAATGGCGTAATTTAATGGTCAAAATCGTAATAATTACGCCTAAAGCGTAAGGGTTGGTATCTCTGCATTAATTATGTGGACTGATGGGTGAAATGATGCACGTAACTGCTCTGAAAGAAACAACCAAACACTTAGCAAAGTCATAGATGTTTTGTGGGTACAGTGAATGATATTGTGCGTCCCTCTGGACACACTGATTTTTTTTCTGCATCCATTCTCTACATTTGTGAGTATTAGAAGTAAATTTGAATGTCTTGTAAAAAGCTGCTCCACATCAAATGGGGTTTTTTCAGTTCAATTGTTATTTTGGGTAAGTTCTTATTTTCTAAATTTTACATGTACCTAAAGATGTTATTTATGTCAATAATGTTTGCTTAAACAGTTTCCTCTTAATTGTACCAGTTCTCAGCAAAATACAAATCAGCTTGACCAAGCCGTAACATTAGCGTTGATTTATCTAGGACTTCAAATCAATTTCCCTTGGTCATCATCATCATCATCATTATTGTATTTTGTAACTCCGCATTCAATACATTCATCTAAAAGTAAATATCTCCTACCCTTTTGGTTATGCTACCAATGGAATCTCACTAAAACTGGAGTTGCAAAGTTCCTATTTCATATAGTGGTAAGTAGTGACCCTATATCTTGAAACAAACTTAAGTCTGTGTTTTGACTTCAGTTAAAGGTTTTACTCAAATTTGAGGAAACGCATGAACTTGCATTTCGATATTTAACTCAAACATAGGAGACAATTTATGTTTACTAGGTACTTGAGTTGTTTGGGGTTTTTTGATTTTAGAAATGCAGTTGAGTTAGAAATTCGGCTGTCTCAATTTGTCAAACTCAATTTGAAATTTGAGCAAAACCTTAAGTTTGTTTCGAGAAATCAGGGCCTGTATTACTTAGCACTTTATAAAATAGGAACTTTGCAACTCCAGTTTGGGAATGTTTACTTTGAAGTGATAATGGGGCACGAATAATGCCTCTAGCCAGGTTTAGATTATTATTAACACTATTATTCATGTACTGCAGACTTGGGTTTTAAACAGGCACGTACCTATGTCATAATAATGTCTGCATTACTAACTGAACAAATGTGTAGGAAGTTGGAAAGATGCTGTGATGTGAATATTGTGAAGATGGTGTCAGGGCAAGTAAATTGAAGATACATTGAAATAACACAAACAGATATAAAGCTACTTCAGGACCTGTGGAGTATCTGGCACTAGTTACACTTCCACAAGTGCTGAGAAAGGAAAGAGCCTTTTGCTCAATTTTAGTATCCTCGGATACAAGTGTTGACTTACTAAGTTTATTGCTACAATCACAATTTCACTATGTAAAAGAAGTCAAAGAATTATCACAGACTTTCAAAGTAGTTTTAAACAACCACTGCCATTCATAAATCAGGGATACATGACATTTAAAAAAACCAAAACATTCTCGGTAAGAGTTCCTCCCGTTCCCCCATCCCAAATAATATGTATATATATTCTAGAATTATAAACAAAACTTAACACAACAATTACTAGAGAACTCACAAAACGATTAAAAGTCCAAAATTTAAGTTAAAGTACTGTCGGAAATAGAAAAAAACTGTTTTTAGGCTGTTACTCTGTATCCCTAAAATTTACACAATTGCAAATAGCATATGTCGAAATAACCCACTTCGGCCTAACTGGGCGTTCAGTGGGATGCGTAATACGATATCCAGAAAAGCATGTTTACTCGTAAAATCGGGCAAAACTTAGAAAAAATATGAATAGCTGCTGAAAACAATAGTTCAGACTATAGATGGCAATTAGGTTGCTCAGCCAGGTATGACGATGGACCGTCGACTCACCTGGCATAAAATGCATGTGCTGCCTACAGGCACAAGGGGTCATTTCAAAGATATTTTGTGCTTTTTCATGTGTGTTGACTATGTCTCATCTATTGATTAACATCTTACGTGACTTTCTTTCATATAGTTTATGTTGAGATATGTAAAAGAGCATAAATTGTAGAGATAAATGAGAAAATACAGTTTTTGTCTATTTCCGACAGTACTATAGTGCTAGGTTTTGGTTAGGTTTAGAGTTTGCTTTAGAGTTGGGGGAACGGAAGGAACTCTTTCCACATCCTCTTTTTCAGTTTTTCACAAGGATGGGTTAGTCAGGTTCCCAGAAGATTAGAATGTTTCATTGCTTTTAACTTCCAACAAAGTCAGTTTGCCTTGTCATCTATTGAGGTTCATTGCATTAACATGTTATGGTAAACACGTCCGCCTAAACCAGGCAAAATTAGAAGGGTGGAAATAGTTTCCAGGTAGTGACCACAGGAACAGGAACAGGAACAGGAACACAAACACTGACATAGCTAACACTGACACAGCCCCTGCCTTGGTCAATAGGTTTCGTCTGCTACAGTTAGCACAATTTACTAAAATGGCATTGTCATTATTCGTCAGATCAAAACGTCTGCTTGACAGGAAAATTTCAGAACATTTCATAACAGTGGAACGTACCTTCCTCTTAGGGAAGCGTCGACAGCTACTTTTCTACGTAACATCTTTCGCCGCGAGAAGTGTTTCATCGGCCTACATAATCAACACTGGATATTACACTCTTTCCTTTTAACAAAGGGAAGTAAATGCTTTGCAATCTATGATCCTACCTCCTCACAGCGATAGCCCGTGCGTGATGACACCGTGAACAAACTTTACGATGTCACGCGCTGGAGAAGAGTTTTGCCAACGCGCGAAGTGGACAGCCTGGTTCTCTGGGCATGCTGCGCTGGCGCTTCACTCAGAGAGAAGTGAAACCATTCGTCACTACTCGCCTCTTTCCGTAACCTCCAAAAGGTTTAAAAACATAAACAGCAATACAATATATGATTACTTCGGTGATATTAAGTACCATTGGAATCAAACAAGAAAAGAGTTATCGTTCCTGTTTAAAGTAGTTCTGATGTTCACGCGTCAATATGAAATCCTTCCAGGGGGGGACACGAGTCGCTATTCGGCTTGTCCCGGAATAACACGAGTTGGTCACGAATGAAGTGAAACGCGAACGTCCTCGCTATTCTCCTAACTTAGACTATCAGCAACGCGGTGTCTAGAGTCTACATCTACTGACAAGGAAGTAAGGAATTCCCATCAATAAAGATTTGTTACACTTCGTAATCTGAGTTGGATTTTGTACATCACTAGGTAAGTCTTCGCACACAGATATAATCTTCACATTTTATTTCTAAAACTTAGAAAATAGTTTCGGAAGTTGTTTTTTTTTATTGGTATCAGGAAAATCAACAAGCTTGGCCCTTTTTATTGATTTACGAGACAATGTTATGATGCCTGGTTGATACCAGTAGCTAGATTGATTAGCAATTCCAATTGCATGGGGTTTGTTTTATATTTTAACGCCACACTCGGCAATATTCTGTAAATAAACGATCCAGGACCAGATACTCCAGCAACTGGCACCATGCTCATCATACCATGCAGTTGAGATACGATACTGTGCAATGTGAAGGACATTTTGCTAAAATACAGACGCCATTTTGCTGTGCTAAATAATCTACTTAATGTATACTCTGAAAGTGTAAATATTTTGTGACATTGTTAATTATCATATACGGATATATGTACCCGTTTAGTTAAAAATTTGAACGTCTTTTTTACACTGTAAAGTCACACACGGAACCTCTTAGTATGTCTTACAGTCCCTGAACCACATTATTTTCCCTACTGCCTAGCCCTCCCTCCAATGCTAAAGCCCTAAATGAAGCAAGTCTAGATTCCCTCAGGTTCAGAATCTGAATTTCCCATCTCACTGGGGCTCCTTTTCAATTTAAATGGGTTTATTTGTTGCTATCAAAATTATATATATTCAGAGACTAAGCGTTAGTCTGGGAACCCCTTAACAAATGAGATTCTTCCTTAAGTGGCATTTAGAAACTGGTATGATGAAGAGGAACACTTTTTATGGATAGACAACGTCTTTGTAGAGTAGATGCGACGTTTCGGTGTAGATCCTAACACCGTTATCAAACAAATAACGCAGTTAGGATCTACACCGAAACGTCGCATCTACTGCAGCAAAGAAGTTGTCTTATCCATAAAAATTGTTCCTCTTCAAATGAGATTCCTGACAAATTTGGGATATTTTACAGACGCATCACCACTTTTCACTCTGCCTTCACACATTCTTGACCGTTGTGTCGCAGTCTGGTTCCCCGGATACACTGCGCGGTCGCTTCACTGAGCATAGCAGGGAACCAGACTGTCATGTGTCGTTTGCATATCGCCGGAGCTATTGATATACCAAGAGAGTCAGAAATGCAATGTTCTATGATATATGATAATTTGGAAATATTTCAGCAATAACACAAGGGCCTCTGTGTCTACGCCTCGCCTAAGTTTAAGTGGCATTTCACTATACTTCGATTATTTATGTTGTTTATAATGCATGTATGGCGTCAACATAAACTAAACTGATTCAGTCAGTGGAAAAAGCACCGCAGTTGTGAAGCGATCAGCACAAATATTTAAACATGGGATAATCTTCAAGATTTACTTAAAGAATTCAAGTGTACCTAACAGGGTTTTGTCTCACATGATAAGGGGCGATGGGGTAGCCTGGTGGTTAAAGCGTTCGCTCGTTACGTCGAAGATCCGGGTTCCATTCCCCACATGGGTACATGTGTGAGGCCCATTTCTGGTGTCCCCTGCCGCGAATTTGCTGAAATATTGCTAAAAGTGGATGTACAACTGAAGTAACTAACTGACTTTCACATGATAAAAGTTGTATTATTTGATGGTCATTTGATGATTTTACGAGTACTTCCGATGGATCCGAATCAGCACCTTGACCGAGACTATCATTAACAGGTTAATGCTCGCTTTTCATTTCATAACACATGGGGACAATTATCGACAGAGACAGTAAATAGACACACACGTCCCTTCTCTGAACGTGCATCGGGTAATCGGCATCAAAACGCGTATGGTTGCGTTTCTGATATTAATAACAATAACAATGTGTACTCCTATATAGCGCTAAAATCCATACAAGTGCATGCTCAAAGCGCATACAAATAGACAGTTCATTATAACCCAAGGTGCCTGTGAGGCGCTAGAAGGTTATAGTCACATGACTTATCCCACCGGGTACCCATATTCTGCTGGATGAACAGAGGCAATTTTGAACAAACTCATTAACCATATTTTACTTGAATTTATCAGGCTTTAGTGAACATCACAACTGTGTGAAACTCCCACTGTACTATATGATTACCATAAGGTGTCCAAGTAACAATGTCGAGTCTGAAGCATGACGAACTCATCAGTTGGATTGATATGTTTATGTGTTACAATCTGTGCTCACAGACTGTTAAATAGAATCCACCAAAGAAAGCAATTTGAAGATCGGCCTGGACCAGGAACGCGTACATCCAAAATTCCCAAGATAGGATCAGGCATTCAATGAAATGGCCGGCCTCGGATACGAGGTTACTGGTTACCCGACAAACAATTCCAGATCGACTCTCCACGAAGCTCAACGGCCAGTAGTGTTAGTTCACTGATCGCCACGTTGCAGCCCGATCCCAACAGTGGCACACTGGTGTCAGTTTGACCCTGAAAGATATTGCAGGGCCTAGATTTTCGGAGCTCTCTTAGCGCTATGATAGTCGTAAGTGCCATACATTAACATTAACTTACGACCATCTTAGCGCCAAGAGCGCTTCGAAAATCTAGGCCCTGGAACGTAACCATTTTTAAATTTGAGGTGTTCCCCTTTTCACAGTGTGTTCTCACGTGGCAACATACGTAACTTGCAAACTAAGGCAGTACACAAAAGAGAATGGCAGTACAATTCAAAGGTAATGTAATGTCTGAGCAGTGATATTAGCAATAAAGACAGCGATAAGGAAGAGAGTAACATGGTATGGATGTCAGCTTCTTTATTATGAGGAACACAACGTTTCGGAGTATATCCTTACTTCTTCATCGGGTGAATGAATGGTTTGAAGCAGTGAGCATATGTACATGTAATAACAACAAAAGTGATAAGACAACAACGATGCGGGCTAACCAATGGAAGTCAACAGTTAACTGACTTTGATGTGTGATTGACAAAGGACAAATAAGTCTTAATTATGTCTTCACAGTACAAAATTGTATATGTTTACAAGTGCAATGTGTCAAATGCTACTCCAACACTCAAATATTTTAAAAGGGAATTTATTAAACAGCTAGAAGTAATAAATCGTAGATATTATAAATATAAAATTATAATGTTAACCACTTTTGACTACTTTTGTTGCAGTAAAATATCGATAAGCTTGTATTCCATGTATGTCGAACGAAGCTATGTCTGCAAACGACCCTGGTGTCCTGACCACGTGGAATATGTAGGTCGATATGTACCAATCGTGGTCTTATTTTGGTGTTACTAAAGAGTGAAAAAAACGCTGATTGGACGCCAACATTTAACAGTTAATTAGCACTGAATAGAAGCCAACACTTCAGACAATGATGGTAAGTCACCTGTCAGCGACTGTAATCCAACTTACCAAATCTAGACAGGGTATCTGGGGTATAGTGGGATCACACTAAATACTGGTATTCTTCTAGACTCTGATGTAAGGTAATGTGAGATGAGAGGCAATAGCTAGCCCCTCTAATATACCACAGAAAAGGCATAGAAAAAAATCAACAATACTCTCAGGCAAAACACTGAACGTTTTGGTAGAACATTCCAGATGTTTCTGTAATATTTTGCGGGTCAGAACACGATGAAAGCCTCTAGAACTGTGGCACACCACTGCCCCAAACTGATGCCACCAGGTACAGCTTGGAACAGTGTATCACAAGGAATAATACTGCCACATAACAATGTCAAAGAAATAATCGTATAGGTTGATTGTTGTTTAACGCCTCACTCAGCAATATTCCAGCTATATTGCGGCGGTCTGTAAATAATCGAGTCTGGGCCAGAACATCCAGTGATCCACAGCATGAGCATCGATCTACGCAATTGGGATACAATAACGTGTCAACCAAGTCAGCGTGCCCAACCACCCGCCTCTTCCCGCCTCTTGTGGGTTGCTGAAGACCCCAATTCTAACCCGGATGTGTCTTTACGGGTGTCAAACAGGGTGACATACCGATCCTTAAAATAATGTCAGAGTTGTCCTTTTCCCAATACATGTTTCAGAACAGACTGTATACATAGCAGTCACGAGATGCATGTACGTACACGTGTCACTAGTTGGTGAAATTGACTGTAAGGTGTCGTTCATCAGCGTCCTCCGTATGAATATTGGTTAGAATATCGTTGAGTGAGGAGTTAAAATGCACCTATACAAGGAAGAGATGCTAAGTAGATTGGTACAGATAGTGGATATGCCGAGGAATGAATTCCAACCGTTTTTCGTCCCAAGTAGAATTTCCAGTTTTAGTTCATACACTCGTTCAGGAAACGACATATACAAACCGATTAAAGGCGACCTTTTCTGAGCAGAAAGAAGTTGTTGGTCCATCCTCCACGTGGCGTGAAATCAAAACTGCTTAAATGCATGTATTGAATACCTTTGTTAAAGGCACCACACAGACAGACAAGACCATGGAGCATTTGGCAGTGTGTGTTCTCCTGTTCATGTCGATCTCTGCGGCAGTCGAGTTCCATGAAGACGCTCCCTTACTGTTTGAAAGCAAGTATCAGAAAGCGGCTCTGTTGACAAAGGCGAAGGTCACATCAATCAAAGAAGCTCTGGGCAATTTTTTCAAGCCTCAACCCGTGGTGAGACTAACTGACAGTGGCAAGGCTACAAGCTGCGGTGGTAAATATGAAGTGTTTTTCACAATTATATTTATTGTTTTACGTGAAATGGAAAAAAAGATCGTATCGACCAATCTTGAATTGCTAATTGTGTAAATATTACACTCACCTCTGTCATTTGGATTGTCATTTGATATTTACAGGGAATTTATAAATAACACTGCAATTAAGATCAATATTTGATTATATAGGTTGAGTGTTCGCGTCTAAAAGATGAACGTTTTCTCAGCTTGAAATTTGAAGGAAGAATTATGGAATATGTCATTATGGAATACGTCATTACACTGACGGTGGTTAAAGCGTTCACTCGTCACGCGGAATACGTCATTACACTGACGGTGGGGTAGCCTAGTGGTTAAAGCGTTCGCTCGTCACGCGGAATACGTCATTACACTGACGGTGGGGTAGCCTATTGGTTAAAGCGTTCGCTCGTCACGCGGAATACGTCATTACACTGACGGTGGGGTAGCCTATTGGTTAAAGCGTTCGCTCGTCACGCGGAATATGTCATTACACTGACGGTGGGGTAGCCTAGTGGTTAAAGCGTTCGCTCGTCACGCGGAATACGTCATTACACTGACGGTGGGGTAGCCTATTGGTTAAAGCGTTCGCTCGTCACGCGGAATACGTCATTACACTGACGGTGGGGTAGCCTAGTGGTTAAAGCGTTCGCTCGTCACGCGGAATACGTCATTACACTGACGGTGGGGTGGGGTAGCCTATTGGTTAAAGCGTTCGCGCTCGTCACGCGGAATACGTCATTACACTGACGGTGGGGTAGCCTATTGGTTAAAGCGTTCGCTCGTCACGCGAAATACGTCATTACACTGACGGTTGGGTAGCCTATTGGTTAAAGCGTTCGCTCGTCACGCGGAATACGTCATTACACTGACGGTGGGGTAGCCTATTGGTTAAAGCATTCGCTCGTCACGCGGAATACGTCATTACACTGACGGTGGGGTAGCCTATTGGTTAAAGCGTTCGGCCTGCTCGTCACGCGGAAGATCTGGGTTCGATTCCCCACATGGGTACAGTGTGTGAAGCCCATTTCTGGTATCCACAGCTGTGATATTGCTGGAATATTGCTGAAAGAGGCATAGAACGACACTTACTCACTCATAACACTGACCAAGTGTGAGTATTTTGTTCTCTGTTTCACCTCTCTGTTAATCATGGATGTTTCAACTGTAGGAGTGTTTAGGAATAATGAATCATGAAATATATATATTACTTTCAATGATGCTCGCTTCCTTGCTTCATTCCCTTTAGGGGGCGGTGGGGTAGCCTGGTACACGTGGTTAAAGCGCTCGCTCGTCACGCCGAAGACCGGGTTCCATTTCCCACATGGGCACAATGTGTGAAGCCCATTGCTGGAATATTGAAAAAAAAGCGGCGTAAAACCAAACACACTCACTCACTCATTCCCTTTAGGTCTACAGAAGTTTAACCTGACCTGGACTCCCAAGATTGTGAACCCGTCTCGTGGAGTCATGTTCAATCTCCAAATGATTGCAGGTAAATCACGTGTGTGTGTGCCATATGCTGGCCATTCTGTGTGGTATCGTGCATGTATGTTCCTTAGAAACGTCTGTGTAGTCTTAGTACATTAAAGGCTCCTGGCCTGCTTAGATTTATTCGGTGCAATCCGTGAAGATCTGGGTTAGAATTGATCTTCATCTGCCCATGCTTGTCCTTAGAGGCACATACCGGGATTGGGTGGTCTGGCTCGCTTACTTGATTGACACATGTTTTCGTATTCCATTTGTGTAGATCGATGCTTATGATGTTAATTGATCACAAGATTGTGTGGTGTAGACTAGAGTATTTACAGACCGTCGCCATATAGCTGAAATATTACCGAGTACGACATTAACCTAAATTCTCTCTGACGCCCGAGCATCGACGTCGACGTCTCAAATAGAGCAGACACAACTTTCATAAGTTGTACAGCATTATCTTAATCGGAACACTGTTTATGTGTTGACCTGACCTGCAAGATATCCTTAATTGTCACCCACCGAACATGTAGACGACCGATAGATACAGGTAATGGTACATTTACACGTTGGAATCTGTACCAGAACTCTCTATGTTATAGCTGCTGACTTCAGTAGTGGTCAAGCGGACGTGGCCGTGTACACAGACGGATCGAGTGAGCCCTTCATCACAGACTCATTGCCCCTGAACTGTGCCATCATGAACAAGCTTTTCAAGAACTTGTGTCCAATCAAAACAGGAGGTAGGTTTAGATCGCAACATTATTTTTCCTTGGAGAGCAACTGATTGTCTTGGTGTATGGGAGATAGTGCATTGTGTTGATGGTTTGGGTGATCTGTCCAAACTTTGAAAAGCTTTCAAGTCATCATATCATCGCCAGTTTAACATGGAAGGGAAACATTACATGGAAGCTGGCCTCATAATTTACATCTTGGGAAATCTAGAGCAAGGCATGGTGCCGACAAACCAAGCATTATCATTTGGGCAAATTTGGGATCAGAACCCTCAGCTAGAAACACTGCCTCTGGTACATTATGTCATCTCGAGAGTCCAGATAGTGGCATGGTATGGCGAATACCGACCTGGGGCTCCTTTAAAGAAGCAGCCTTTACTATAATCCGTTTGGCTCAAAATCGGACCGATGAATTGCAATCTAACTCGAAAACTACTGAACATATAATACTCAATGAAACACTGATCATGATCAAACGATCAGACCAACTCTGTGTTTTGTTTGCAGAATTTATGTCCTAGAAATAAAACAAGTTGTTTAACAAACTATCATTAAAATTTTGACAAAGTTCACCATTTGTTACGAGGGAGGACTGCAAAGAGAGGAACAGCCAGGTGTACGTGGAGCACGTGCACAAGTGCCAACAAAGTTATTGAATCATTTACCTGTGCTGTGCTGTCATCATCCTTTCTCGCACACCTGGCTGTTCCTCTCTTTGCACCCCTATCTCGTAACAAATAGTGAACTGTGTCAAAATTTTAATCAGTGCTGAGAAACAACATTTTTTATGTGGCCTTAATGGAGGGTCATCAGTGTGAAAGATTCCGATTAATAGCCAAATTCTCACCATCCCCACCTTGTTCTTTCTACAGCGCATATTGATGTGAAGTACGACCAGCCAGACCTGACAGCCTTGCCTCCAGTGAGTACATCCCTGTGATGCTTGTTAACTGAGGGGATGAGCTATATGTTGTAGCCAGCAATATTCCAGCTATAGTATATCCCAGGATCCTGACATTAATCTACAGAAGGCTGGCAAACAAATGACATAGTCAAACAGTGTGGTTGGTTGGTTAGTTTGTTGCTCTCAGCAATATTCCCGCTCAGACAATCCAGTGATCAACAGCATGAGCATCGATCTACGCAATTGGGAACCGATGACATGTGTCAATCAAGTCAACGAGCCTGACCACCCGATCCAGTTAGTCGCCTCTTACGACAAGCATGAGTTGCTGAAGATCAATTATAACCCGGATCTTCATGGGTGTCAGACAGGGTGACCGCCCAGTTCTTAAAATAATGTCAAAGTTGTCCTTTTCTCAATGCATGTTTCAGAACAGGCCCTATTCATAGTAATTTCATACCAGTCATATATTTGCCACCAGCTTAGTGATATGCTATTTTGTTTTTGTTCGTACCCAACGGCATGAGAAATAATATCAATCACTGGATTGCCTGATCCAGAATTTTAAATGCCACTGTGTGGAATACTGCTGACTGTGACCAAATAAGACGTTACTATTTCAGAACTTACGGTAGTTACTTTTTGTCATATTGTAAGACTTGATTATGGTAACTTCTCATTGAAAATTAAAAAAAATCACCACTTTGAAACAAACATGTTTTCATCACCGCCAGGGGCTTAATTACCTGCCTGCACTTTGACCACAGTATAATGTGATAATAATAAAGTCTTGCATTATCAACAATAATTTGCCCTTCACCCTTAAAATATCGAACATTTGTATTTTTTAAAGAACTAGCGACAGAAGAAGGATATACTTCTCTCATGATGATTCTCATATAAATGAAATAAAATTTACCAGTTTTAAAATAGGGGGAATGGAACATTTGAATTTTTGTATCATATTTGGCCTTGGGTTCGTTGAATGCTTGTTTCTTCCCACAGGGTTCCTACAAACTGACCGCCAACATCACCGGTACGAAGGGACAGTGCTTCATGTGTGCCCAGGTGATTGTTACCATTGAGGGGTGAAGAAGACCAGTAATCAAGCAGACCTCTGTATCTACATTCGCCTTTTAGCTTTTATTGTCACTTTTAGCAGTCCCATTTGGCTATAATACCTGTCTCATATGCGCTCAGAAAGTTGACAAACCCATAATTATCAAACTTAGAGAGCGAATTTAATTACTACGCAGTTAGGTTCCCTTTTTACGTCGTTATTTTCAAAGTAGGTCGATATTATACAGCTGCTTATAAAATTTGCCAACAGGTTGGTGTAGAAGCCAGGGGCGTCATGACGTACTGACAATGTTTATGCCAAGGAGGGTTTAATCTTAATATAACATATATTTTATCTATTTCTCAGACCTGTTATTTACAAATGTGAATATGTTGTTATCCGAAAGTCAAGTTCATTATTTGTTAATAGTTTATATATACTGGTATGTTTTACGTTGTTATAATATCACACAAATCACCCCATCGTATGTATATCTACACAAGGTTCCGGATTCTTTTGCATCTTAATCTCATGTTTATGTATGTCATCCTTCCCTCCTTCCAGGTATCACAGCATTTCTTAATGTTCAAACCCACTCTGAGAACACCTTTTTGATGATTCTGCAAATTGCTGAAGCTTATTTTGTAATAAAAGAATTGTATTTCATGTGGGTCAGACTGTTGTCAATCCTCCGTTGACTCCTCGCGACTGCATCATTAATGTTTGGCATCAGTGTACCAAGAGTGATCAGTCCTTGGTGTACCTCAGTTGTTTAATTTGTTTGTTGTTTATCCAGCACTCGGCAGTTTTTCAGCTATATGGCGGCGGCGGCGGTCTGTAAATAATTGAGTCTGGACCAAACAATCCAGTGATCAACAGCATGAGCATCGATCTACGCAACTGGGATACGATTACATGTATCAACCAAGTCAGCGTTAGACACTTTCGACAAGCATGGTTTCTTGAAGACAAATTCTACCCCGGATTCTTCATGGGTCCTTTACGTCAATAGGAGATGGACCATGACTTGTGTTGCCCCACTAACATCCTAGACAGCAGGTTGAAACTGAAGCTGGTGCTTATCAGTGTGCGTTTATCTGCACCTGTACAAGCAATATGCATCTTTATTGGGTCAAGTGGGAGGACCTGTGATGAGAAGCAAGGAAAGAGTGAGTTTAGTTTTACACCGCTTTTAGCAATATTCCAGCAATACCACAGACGGGGACACCAGAAATAGGATTCACACATATTTGTACCCTAATGGGGGGAATAGAACCAGGGTTTCGGTGCGATGAGCGAATGCTCTAACCACTAGGCTACGCCACAGCCAAGCAAGGAAAAAGAATTGATAAAATGGCTGTATAATCGTCTGCAGTGGTGTAATATGATCCCAGGCCCAGGCCTACAAGCTTGTGACCTGATCCAGAGCCAGAGAGCCAGAGTTGGCAACTATCCACAGGTTGTAGAGCTGTTCAACCACATGTTTTACTTTCTCAGCATAACTAATATCAGAACCCAGGTAGAGATGGACCTGCACAGCAACCACTGTGCTAACTAGTCTGAGAGTGCAGTGTGACCGAGTGAGTGAGTGAGTGAGTGAGTGAGTGAGTGAGTGTTTTAACAGGGCCTTTAGAATTAATCCAGCAATATTACAGGAGACACCAGAAATGGGTTTCGCACATAGCATAGTAGAATGGAACCCATTTTTGGTGTGATGAACATCTTAACCACTAGGCTATTCAACCAATAAGTGCCAGCTTTAAGAAGAAAGAGGTGAAGCCCAGTGGTTAAAGCGTCAGTTCGATTCCAAATGTGGGTACAGTTCGTGATGCTGATTTCTGGTGTACCCCACCCTCATATTGCTAAAAGCAGGGTAAAACACACACACAGGTATGGTGCTGACTACACACAGGTGGGGTGCTGACCCCACACAGCTGGGGTGCTGACCACACACAGGTATGGTGCTGACCACACACAGGTGGGGTGCTGACCACACACAGGTATGGTGCTGACCACACACAGGTGGGGTGCTGACCCCACACAGTTTGGGTGCTGACCACACACAGCTGGGGTGCTGACCACACACAGGTGGGGTGCTGACCACACACAGGTGGGGTGCTGACCACACACAGGTGGGGTGCTGACCACACACAGGTGGGGTGCTGACCACACACACAGGTTGGGTGCACCACACACAGGTGGGTTGCTGACCACACACAGGTGGGGTGCTGACCACACACAGGTGGGGTGCTGACCACACACAGGTGGGGTGCTGACCACACACAGGTGGGGTGCTGACCACACACAGGTTGGGTGCCGACCACACACAGGTGGGTTGCTGACCACACACAGGTGGGGTGCTGACCACACACAGGTGGGGTGCTGACCACACACAGGTGGGATGCTGACCACACACAGGTGGGATGCTGACCACACACAGGTGGGGTGCTGACCACACAGGGTGGGGTGCTGACCACACACAGGTGGGTTGCTGACCACACACAGGTGGGTTGCTGACCACACACAGGTGGGTGCCGACCACACACAGGTGGGTTGCTGACCCACACACAGGTTGGGTGCTGACCACACAGAGGTGGGATGCTGACCACACACAGGTTGGGTGCTGACCACACACAGGTGGGTTGCTGACCACACAAAGGTGGGGTGCTGACCACACACAGGTGGGTTGCTGACCCCACACAGGTTGGGTGCTGACCACACAGAGGTGGGATGCTGACCACACACAGGTGGGGTGCTGACCACACACAGGTGGGTTGCTGACCACACAAAGGTGGGGTGCTGACCACACACAGGTGGGGTGCTGACCACACACAGGTGGGGTGCTGACCACACACAGGTGGGGTGCTGACCACACACAGGTGGGTTGCTGACCACACACAGGTGGGTTGCTGACTACACACAGGTAGGGTATGACTGTAAACAGATAGGGTGACATCTACAGATAGATAGGATGCTGTCCGGTGAGAGGAAAGCTAAAGTTTGTGGATGTTTACCCTTTTAAAGGAGTCTACAAGTGCATGTATGGTGCTGACAAACCAATAAATGAAGGCTGCATTGTTATTTCTGAGATCTAAACCTGTAAAAATACACACTTTAAAAACACACAACATAAAACAGAAAGGTTTTTACACGTTTTACTCACTTTTTCTGTAAAATTCACACATTTGCAACAATCAATGATGTGGGAAGAAATAATTCGGTTCAAATTGTTGCAGCAAAATTATTTGTCTTCAATAAGTCATCATACAAGCAAAATAAACTGTAGGAGTCACAACACTACACACTCGGGTTGTCTTCTTAGGAATAGTTGCTACTTTGTAACAACCTCATCAGCTTTCACTCAAATACACTTCACATACACGTCTACATGCTAACAGTACAGCTGGCACTAGGTTGAACAACAGCTGAACAAACACACTGCCTAGTGCTACAGCTTCCTTCCAGCATGAGCTGTTCACAGGTTGATATACCATATATACCATACTAACTGCCACATGCAAGAACAGCTGAACAAACACACTGCCTAGTGCTACAGCTTCCTTCCAGCATGACCTGTTCACAGGTTGATATACCATATATACCATACTAACTGCCACATGCAACAACAGCTGAACAAACACACTGCCTAGTGCTACAGCTTCCTTCCAGCATGACCTGTTCACAGGTTGATATACCATATATACCATACTTACTGCCACATGCAAGCATGATTACAATGCATGGATTATCTCACCTCTCCCCAAAAATAATATGTAACAAATAAAATTACAAATCACTGATTACTTTACGGGTAAATGTTGATGTGAAGGTGATTTTCTTTTGAACAATGATCCTAAGTTGTTTATCTGTGATCATTTGAACAAGCAGGTGTAAAGGTTATACAATGGCTAAAATTGTCAACATACAGTTTGTTCAGTGATTATCAACATTATATCCATTGTCATGGCTGTCATTAATGAATGTTATTAATTAGAAAGTTGATATACTTATGCGAAACATCAACTTCTTAATCAGCCTTGTTAAATTACTCATATTGGTTACAGCAATTTGGGGTATTGCTTTTATAAGATATATTCGATACATGAAAGAAAATTCAACATATACTGGTGATAATCTGGAAATGATATAGGTGATGATAAAAGAGAAAAACCAGATACTGTCAGTTGCTTAAATTATTTATCAGACAAGGAAAGCAATTTTACACTGCTCATAATTATTTTGGAGTTTATATGACCTACAACCAACAACTTGCATGGCTATGGATAAAGCTCTGCGGAAAAAGTCATGACACACCTTAAACAAATTAATTCTGTATACAGGAAAATCTGTCGAAACCAGACTTACTAATACAAACTTCTGTCAATAACTTAACAACCATGAATTTATGATGTTAATTCATCATCAAGTTAACCTGACTAATCTGGACCACCTTCATTTCAGATTCTGGACTGAAACTGCGAAAAAAGACAATATATTGTCTAAATGACACTCCTTAATTCACAAATCTGGTTTAAATAGATTATACTGTATTAACATTTTCTGTTATGCTTTCCTGATAAAAATGAAAAATCTGTATAGGTAGGAGCTCATGCAAAATATTATCTATGACAGATAAGGAAGCTACCAACAATTGTGGCAATGTACTGATAATGTGTTCTGCAGGAAAGATAATGTTAATTTTAACCAAGACTACACATCTTTCCATGAATATCACGAATCTTTCTGTCGAGATAATTTCCGATTCCTAATTATGACACCCCGTCTTTCTCTGAATAACAAATGACGATCTTTGAGTTCCACTTTGCCAGCTTTATACAGATTCCTGATCTTTTCGCCTTCTGGGATGGGATCCATTTTTCCTGAACGACGCATGTAGCGTATGAACATGTTGGTCCCCCCAAGTGTAACCGTGTAACGGGCAGGTGTGGCAAGCTTGTACATCAGGTAGGCCAAGGCCACGAACCCAAGGCCCCCCGCACGGAAGGGTTTAATAAGAGTCTCACTCAGTCCAAGCTGTTCCATCAGAGGCACAATATCTACACCACTGCAATAAAAGAAACAATGCATCATGACTAGTGCTGGCTATCACTCACAATATGCAGATCGATAATCGGAGCTGAGTAATCAATCAAAAATCGATTATAATCTAAAAAACCCACCCCAAAAGTCATAAAAGGACACAATCATAACACTGTGCAAATGAGTGAGTGAGTGAGTTTAGTTTTACGCCGCACTCAGCAATATTCCAGCTATATGGCGGAGGTCTGTAAATAATCGAGTCTGGACCAGACAATCCAGTCATCAACAGCATGAGCATCGATCTGCACAATTGGGAAACGATGACATGTGTCAACCAAGTCAGCGAGCCTGACCACCCGATCCCGTTAGTCGCCTCTTACGACAAGCATAGTCGCCTTTTGTGGCAAGCATGGGTTGCTGAAGACCTATTCTACCCCGGATCTTCACAGGTCTGTGCAAATGTAACAGACACTGATTATTACCACAGTCAAGACAAGGATACTTCCTGTTGAGACAGACATGCAATTGTGTTGGGAAGTAATTTGGGTGATATATATACATGAGAAATTACACCCAAATTACTTCCCATGTACCACTTGCTTGACAACGACATTAGAATCTATGTCGAAACGTCGCCTATATAGAATAAAGAAGTTGTATATCCATAAAAATAGTCCTCATTCTTCATCTACCCAACTTTTAGAATGCCAATCAAAGAAATTGCATCAGTTGTTGATGTCTTGAATCTACATGATCTATAATAAAACTCTGTACAGCAGGTAAGAAAAAGAGTGACCTTAGAGCCTCCAGTACACACCTGACTGCCGCCATGTAGAAGGATCCAAACCAGACCACGGAAGTCACACAGTGCACGCCAATTAGGATCTTCCCATGCTCTCTGTATGTTTTCTTGAATCTCTGGAAAACTGTTAATGTACTGTCATCTTTTCCCTCCCCTTCAGTCTGGCTTTTATTGTCATCTGTTACTTTATCACTGGCAACCAACTTTTGACTGGTGCTGAAATCTCTCACACCAGCAGAGAAAGTTTCTGGGACTGACGGTTTAGTGAAAGGGGAATACAAGATTTGATTGTCATGTAGAAAACTTGAGTGCAACAATGGCCCCGTTGATAAGTTTCTTGAAGAAATGGATTGATTGTTCACAGTACTTGGAACTACTGCACAAACTGAAAAGAAAAAGAATTCAGAATTTAGCCCCCAACTTATTACTTGAAGTAACAGACAAAGCAGGACTGATTATTTATATTTTCGTATTTTTAGTTTCATATCACTGGCTGTGCTCATAACTACTGACAATCTCTGCCATAGGACAAAGTCAGCAACAGAAGAAACTAGTTTCTGAAAGAATCTGTGGGACCTGAACTTGCAACTTTCAGATTGCTAGCAAGATACATTTGCCGACTGGGTTATTTCTATTCCATAAATCCAAGTGAAACTTTAGCAGCCATACGGAAATGGCTGCAGAAAAGAGTGGAAATGGAGAAATATTGACCAACACATACAAAAGTCATGAGTAGCTATGCTGTCCCACGACATTAGTCCACTGACACAAGGGGTCCTGATGCCATCCAGCACACCTGGACTATTTTGTAATCTACATGATGAGTGATGAGTAATGATCTGATATACAAATCAATGAAGGCCCCAGAAGTCAGACGTTTAAGTTCTCAAGTTCGCATTAAGGAAAGACAATTGAATTATTCATTGGGTACTCATGTAACAAAAAAAGTGTGGGAACATCATAGGGATAATATTGATCTTAGAAAGAAACAAGGGAGGCACTGGCATGACTGTAGAATTTGGGTCTTGTCAATATTGCTGGGATTAATGAATGTATACATTGGTGTAGAGGTGACACTGATAGATCTCTGAGAGTAGTGAGAGGAGCTTGTCATATATTTGACCACATCATATATTTTGCTATAGTGACATTAAAAAGTATCCTTTTACTGATCCATCTGACACAAGGTTTGTTTTCTTTTGCACTGAAATGAAGGAGGTAAGAATGAGATGGGTTAGTGTTAACTTTATATATGTCTAGCATTATACAGTATAAATGATTGTCACTAAGTGCTACGTTCATTTTAGATCTAGCTGTAGATAATGTTATTTTTCTGCTCTAATTTCAGCCAACTTTTATGCAGCACTCACAAAAATGAGATTTTTTAAATACCTTTTCAAACATTTTTAATCAGGAAATTAATGTGTCACCACATGTGCAAAAGTGCCAAAACTTACATTCAAATGCTATCATTTAAGTAATGTAAGTAGCCCTACTTTTAAAATTTGAAAGTTCAGGCAAAATCATCATTATCATGATTATGATGAAATAATAATGGAGATGTTATCATCTGATGATCATGATGCTTTTCCAGATGACTTGATCATAACTGACATTAAAATACCCACAAACCAATAGCTATGTACAGACCAGACATTTGACATTAACTCGTCAAATATACTTACATCTTGATTGGACTAAATCGATCATTAAATCTACCAACGTCCAAGTATGATTGAACACTTACCTCTAAAGTCCAGAAGCTTAGGAAGATTGTTCGCGAAACCTGGTGAGCAACTCTTAACTATAATCCTCAAGTTTGGCGTGAGTGCCATGCATCGAAACGATGCCATTGCTACTGCGCTGACATGTGCTACCTAATCGACACGAGACAGAATCCAACTCTGGATTGTTTACCAGGCTAACTTCGACCTCTAGCTCTACATGCCGCATGTCACGAATGTAACGACAACTCGGTTCTGTCTTTTGCGCGTATAACAGCGCAAAGTGTTTTGAGCGTCAGTTATGTAAAACCAGTGATACCATAACTCGGTTCTACAGATAAACAGCATAATTTCATTTGATTATTAGACTGACAATGACTACACCACAGTCAAAATCACACTGGGAGGGATGCTGGAAAAAGAAAGTTCAATAAACCCTTGCGTACGAGTTGGTTTGGTTTTTGACATATAATTTACGACAACCGTAATTGATTCAGTTTCCGTAAGCATGGCGAGCGGTAAGCAAAACATAAGTGTGAAAGTTGTTACAGTATTCATGTTTAGAAGTTCGGCCGTAAAATTGTGTTGGCATTATTAGACCGTCATAATTAAGGCAACATTGAAGAAACACATTTTAAATGCAATGTTTTAAAATGTAAACTATTTGAGATAAATTGATCAACGACTGGTTGACATTCAACAAGCAAAACCGGCATATCGGCAACTTCGTCTGTAGTAAACGCATTTTGCTTAACTAACTCTGGACCTCCCGTGCAAGATTTCGTTATTTTCAACAATTATTCAGACAGTGATATCTGCAGTTTGCTGATATTTGGATGGTCCTTTTCGATAAGATTCATGCCATCATGTTCATACACAAAATGTGCACTAAAGTAATGTCGGAAATAGAAAAAACTGTTTTTGTCACATTTATATCTACAATTTAGGTAATTAATATGTGAAAGTGTGAAATATCTGTTGAACTAAGTTTGGCCTAACTACAGTCTCAGTGGTAGGGAGATAGGAAATGTTAAAAAAAGGATTTTACTGAGGAGTATTAGTGCAGAAATGAGCAATGCGGGTTTTTTCAAAGTCCGAAGAGACTTATTTGGAGCAGACCTTGGCTTTATGCAATTAGTGTGCAATGAAATTGTATAACAATTGACACTTTTTGAATATCCATTTTGAAATTAGACTTAGCTTCATAATAAAAGATAGCAGACGTAAAAAATAACAAGTTTAATACTGAAACTATTAAGGATATAGATACCATTGAGTCTCACTAACCCTATAAAGAAACAGGTAGGAGGGGTCGTCTCAAAAGCAAAACCAAGATGGGTCTTGCTGACGGTAGTGGGGGTCGGGCTTGGGGACAGAGATATTAGCTAAGATTAGATAATCAGTAGAGACATATTCACTACACATGTAAAAGCATAAAATATATTTGAGATGACCCCTTGTGTATGTGGGCCGCACGTGCATTTCATGCCAAGTGAGTTGACGGTCTGTCGTCATACCTGGCTGAGCGACCTAATTGCCATCTATAGTCTGATCTATTTTTTTCAGCAGCTGTTCGTATTTTTTCTAAGTTTTGCCTGATTTTACGAGTAGACATGCTTTTCTGGATATCCTATTACGCATCCCACGCCCAGTTAGGCCGATGTGGGTTATTTCGACATATGCTGTTTGCAATTGTGTAAATTTTAGGGATACAGAGTAACAGCCTAAAAACAGTTTTTTTCTATTTCCGACAGTACTTTAGGTGTTGGCAATACACATATAGAATGTCATGCTAGTGCATTTGGACTTACATTTTGATCTGTCGTTGTAGGAGAGAAATGCCAGTTTGAAGTTGTTTCTCCCCTACCATGACATCTTCGAGTTTAGTTCAGCCAGCTAAACGTCGTGTTCCTACGAAGGTATACGTAGGAACACGACCTTTAGCTGGCTGAACTACTTCTAGTTCAGTACATACGGTCAAAATGCATGAAGCATTCTACATTTATTACATGCACTTTTCATGACACAGACTGTTTGAATCTAACTCTAAACATTACTGTTGCAACTTCCGCAGTTACTGTGACCTGAGTATCACCCCCTGCAATGGACGTATCACACGTGCGATCCCATTCCTCCACCTGACCTATCAGGTGCCAGGTTCTGATCACAAAAGAAACAAAACAGAATATTACTTGAGACAAAACAACTTCTGTTCATTAACCAGGTTAAGTGTAATGTTTCAAACATTGCGTTTGCGACACTCTTCAGAGATCACACTATCTTTCAAATGTTTTTGAAATCAGTTAAGTTCGAGGACAAATTTAATTAGCTGTGCAATAAGGAACTTGCCTAATCTCGATAAACATAGAGACCGTTTTTTGTCAAAGTGTTCTGGTTTTTATATATAATTCAATGTCTTTTGTTAACATTGTGTTTACTGTCTATTATTCAATGTAATATTTCAATCTTTTAAACCAAATAATGAGAAATTAAACGTTGCAAACTATTTTGTTAATTTGTGGAGATCCATGAATATTCATTGTTTGCGCCGTTCATATGGTGCTATATTAATCACAAAACAAACATCTTGTGGAGTCAGTCTTATGTGGTTGACTTGATACTTTAAAGAAGCAACCGGACAGATTTGTAGTTTTTTGATGACATCCGGGTCACCATAGCATCTTCAGTGTCAATTATCAAATCTCTAATGCAGATAACAATAGAGGCTAGTAATGTTTAAAATTATGTAAACTTGCATCAAAATGATTTTTTATATACAGTGGATAGAAGTTATCCAGCATTTGTGTAAATTTACCCTAAAAGCAAGGTACTGAACCCACGGGTACGGTTTGTCCGTGTCCATCTTATGATGGGATGATACCAAGACAGAATATGGAAACAAACTGCACTCATGTAGGATGTATGAGAAGGATCTCTTTCAAGAACAATAACTTTGTGCCCCATGCTCTAAAGAAAACATCTTGGTCCATCTCACAGAAAATATCGTGGTCCATCTTGTCAAACAGAGATTTGCCACACCACAACTCCCCAAATCTTATTGTACCGGTACACAGGATGTGCACTTGTTTGCACCTTCTTTGTGGAACACATTGGACATTTTATCGTAAACTGTCATCTTCCTGATGATCAATGACATATTGTTTTTAGAAAATTAGAGACTTTTGCGTGTATGTACATACCAGTAATATTTTTCGAAATATGTGTAGTTGTATAAAACCCCAACAAATACCTATCAAATGGTGTGTTTTTTTAAGCTTAGCAGTGTCAATAGTGAGTGTTCAGAACTAAAAACAAATCAGACCTTATAAACGTGATAAATATGTCTATTTGTTTCATTTGCAGATATATCCCAAGAAACTGTTCCAGTCAGTGAAGGTTCATCCAAAGAGGTGATTGAATGTTGTTGAATTGTTTGTTTCATTTCTCATTCCTTATAATATATATTCATTATGATCAGTGTTAATAATGCAGTGTAAGATTCGTTTGGTGTAAGCATTTCTTTAACAGTTTGGTGAAACACACAAGCATGGATGTTTGTTTGTTTGTTGTTTAACACTGCACTCAGCAATATTCCAGCTATATGGCAGCGGTCTGTAAGTAGTCTGGACCAAACAATCCAGTGATCAACAGCATGAATATCGATCTATGCAATTAGGATACAATGACATGTGTTAACCAAGTCAGCAAGCCTGACCACCTGATCCTGTTAGTGGCTTCTTACGACATGCATAGGTTACTGAAGACCAGTTCTAACCGGGATCTTCACGAGTATTCAATTATGGAAATGAGGCTGACAAAACTGTAAACATAAATTAGCAAACCAGGATTGAAACCGACAATCACACAGTCATGTGTTTCTGATGTGCATGAAGGGCATCTCGCGACACAGCAAACATCTGAAACACCAATTCCCCCATTAAGTTTTTAGAATTTTAGAGATACAAGCTTTCAGTGTTGACATAAGTACACTGACCGTTGTTCGTCCCTGTAGGGCAATGGTGAGAAGGACTTGACCCACACAGTTGCCAAGCACTACAACGAGCTGCAAGAGGCTGGTCTACAGACAAGAACACAGAGTCGAATCTTCTACTTGAGAAATTTCAACAACTGGACAAAAAGCATACTTATTGGTAAGATTGTACTGGCAGATTATATTGGTATATTTTGAGAGAATTTTACAGATTGTTGGCTCACGTAAACTGAAAGTTCAAGTGAAATCATAATGTGACACAATATCTGTTGTGTTTCCATCAGATGTTTAGTTAAGTGTTTTTACTGGGTGGATGTGACTCAATATGTATTACGTGGGCATGATTACTGGATGGCGTGTTGCTGTCATGCAGCCTTTTTGCCCCACCCCTATCCCCCCTCACCCAAGTACAGTCACTCAACACAGTTTGATTGATGTCGTGTTGCTGTCATGCAGCCTTTTTGCCCCACCCCCAATCCCCCCCTACCCAAGTACAGTCATTCAACACAGTTTGATGTATGTCTATATTGAGACTTAATTTTTCAGTGTTATCTGGACATTTGACATGTTCTGTTTTTATTGCCATTGAAACTGTTTTACTAGGGTCGTTATGGGGTGTGATATGAAAAGTGCAGTGTAATAAATTTAAAATGATATATCATATCGTATCATACATCACATGTCATGTCACATCATAGCCTGAGACATTTATGTATTTAAACTGTTTTTCATGAAAAGGTGACATTTTGAAGAGACTGAAGAGTGAGAACCCTCCGGATAAAACTATAGCTGTCCTTGACCTTTGCTCAGGCAAGGGAGGTGATCTCCTGAAATGGAAAAAAGGGAAGGATTGACCGACTGGCATGTGCAGGTAATGTTTTACATTCCTTTCTTCATGTGTCTCATGCTCTCTCATTTTTCTTCTCATCTCTTCTCTTCTCTCTCTGTTAATCAATTAGTCAGTTGAGATTTTGACAGGAAACAACTGGCCATGATAAAAAATACTCTATTACACATTTTACTCTTTGTATTTGTCTACCTCACTGACTACGACAAAACTTCATTTAAATATTATTCTTTTCATTGTGTAACACATATATGACAGATATACTGCATTTAAATCTGGCCAAGGGAAATAACTGAGGTACATGCTAGCAAAGCTGTATTTAGTGTGCTTAGGTAATAAGACTTGGTAGCAGAGAATGACTGTGTTTAGTAGCGACTGCTTTTTACAGTAGTCTTGTGTTTGCCAGATATTGCCGAGACATCAGTGGAACAATGCGAGTCACGTTACCAGGAGATGATTGACAGGAACAATAGAGACAGATACCCACAGAAGATATTCCAGGCAGAGTTTATTGCTGCAGATTGTACCAAGGTACATGTGATGTCTATAGCACATCCTTCAGTTTGGGATATAGCAGGAGAGGTTCCTTTTTTCCCCTTGCTGATCTTGGTGTCTGAAAGGGCAACTATGCATATAATAAAGTACTGGGAAAGAGGAACTTGTGGACAGAACCTACTAAATGCTAGATAATTGTAAATAATGCATGAAAGAGTCGGTAGTGGTGTCAGTTGGCCTTTCTTCTTTTAAGGACTGGGCGGTGGGGTAGCCTAGTGGTTAATGCATTCTCTCGTCTCGCTGAAGACCCGGTGGTGTCTCCCGCCGTGATATTGCTGGAATATTGCTAAAAGCGGCGTAAAACTAAACTCACTCACTTTTCAGGACTGTGGGGATGGGGGATGGGAGATGTTATAGTAGCGTATCTAAGCCATTTACTAAAATCTACTAAGGTCTGTAGCTGTAAAGTTTCCTGAGTTTTCTGTTTCATGTAAATATATACAAGGCAGCAAAAGAAACGTCATTTTGGAATTTTTCCTTCGCAGAAACGGATAACTGTAAACTCATGTAATGTTTTGATTGTATATTTTTGACAACATCTCCAACTTTACCAGAGCAAAGACATTCCTTCCCAAATTCAGAATGGAACCCAGGAAATGGTCCCAAACCCGCAACCTGATCTCAGAGATGGTACGGTGTTCATCATGTTTTTCATGCAACTCATGGGCTGTTCACAAGGACCAGCCCTATAAAATGCACCCCCAAACCTGGTTGAAACATTCACATTACAACGTCAACAGGATGCCGCAACTCACGACAGCTCAGAGGAACCAGGCGCTAGGAAGACTTGAAGCTGGCCGCACGGAAGACCAATCAGTACTGATACAGTACGCCAACGTCTTAACAGCGGGAACCTCCATTGCCGTAGACCTTACTGTGGACCTATCCTCACCCCTCTTCATGGGCGTGAACGTCTACAGTTTGCCCTACAACACCAAAACTGGTGATACAGGCAATGGAGAACTGTTCTGTTCACAATTGAGAGTCGGTACTGCATATCAACTGCAGATGGCAGAACAAGAATATGGCGACGACGTGCCAGCGTCACTCAGACTAATGTGTTATGGAAAGAAACTCATGGGGAGGTGCAAGCATCATGGTATGGGGTGGAATATGCCTGAACCACAGCGTGGGTCCTGTGGTGTTCCAGAACCTTGGTCCAGGGAGAGGAGGCAGCATCACAGCGGTGCGCTACATCGACCAAGCTCTCAGACCCCACGTTGTACCACATTTCTCACGTCACCGGAACAACATTTTCCAGCATGATAACGCCTGGGCCCATACTGCCAGAGCTACACGGGACTTCCTACAGCAAACGGTGTCAACAGTATGCAGTGGCCAGCCCTTAGTCCTGATTTAAACCCAATTGAACATCTTTGGGATGAAATTCAGAAGAGACTGAATATTGTCATACCAAGTCCGAACACAGCCGATTTATTGCGCCAGGCCTTTCTCAGAGTGTGGTTCCAGGTGCCAATGGCCTTCATCAATCGATTGGTGCACTCCATGCATAGACACTGTGCTGCAGTTATTGCCACTCGTGGTGGTCACACTAGATACTGAAGTCAAGAGTCTGAATGGACTGCAAACGTTCACATAATGTCTTGGAATTGTGCTGAGTTATTCATTGATGTGTCAGGATATTGTACACAAAAAATGTTTTTGATTCGCTTATTATGTCCATTTCTGTAATGATTTGATTACAGTGCCTATCTAATTTTGAATTCATACTGACAGGGTTTTTTTGCTGCTGAGTATATATTACCAGTGTGACTGGACAAAATGAAGGGATTTACTGATAACAGGACCAAGAGGGGAAGAGGATTAGTTTTATGTTGTATGAATGTTGAAAACCAATGTTAAAATACATTTCATATAAAAATGTTTGAACATCTCAGTTTTGTACAAAATAACCATTTTTCCCAATTTGCTTGCAAGGGCACTTAGATCGGAATTCCAGATAAATCCCTGGAATGTAAGAACCACATTTCATGTTTCCATGACAACTGATATACAGGTACGGCTGCGGGACCGCTACAAGGACCCTTCCATCTTGTTTGATGTGGTGAGCTGCCAGTTCTCATTCCATTACTGCTTCGAGAGTCTGCCACAGGCAGAGATGATGCTCCAGAATGCCTGTGAGTGTCTCCGACCAGGAGGATACTTCCTTGGAACCACACCAAACTCATTTGAACTGATGTGAGTGCTGCCTTGTATGGGATGTGATAGATTCCATTGTGTGAGGGGTACAGAAAGTGTAATTGAACTGATTCATTTTGGGATTAAGTACTGTTATTGTGTCAAGCCTCTTACACCCATGCTTGTGGTAAGAGGCAACTAACGGATTCGGGTGGTCAGGCTCGCTGACTTGGTTGACACGTCATCGTATCCCAATTGCGTTGATCACACACTATGCTCTTAGAGCATGTCCCTGAGCGCTATAAAAGTACTCTTATTATTATTATTATTATCAATGCTCATGCTGTTGATCACTGTATTGTCTGGACTAGACTTGATTATTTACAGATCGCCACCATATAGCTGGAATATTGCTGAGTGCAGCATAAGACTAAACTCACTCACTCACTCACACACACTCGTACTACATATGTTCATGCTTAAATATTTAAATGCAGAGATTTATAAGTGAGGGCCACAGGTCTTTTTATCTGAGAAGCTCAGTAACCTATAGTCCGTTTACTGCACAATCATACCAATGAAATGGCAAATAAATATACATTGGAAAGCAACAATTCGTCTTGAATGGTATGTAAGTTATCATGATAGCTAATCAGGGAGTGGTATTTCACTGATAACAGGAACAGGAAGGGGAAGAGACTTTAATGTTAGTTTAACGATATTGTGTTCACTGCAATGATATGGTTCTGTGTTTAAATCCTCTGATTTGCGAAGATAAAAAACAAACAAACCAACTTTGAACACAGTAAAGATTTTTCCCAGTTTGACTGCCGTGGGTACTTAGTTTGGATTTCTAGATAAGGAAAGGAAAAATCTCATAAAACAAACCAACTTGCCCAATAGCATTCTGTCACTTCGGGAAAACATAAAGAACATTTAATTTAATAGAGGCGTATATCTCTGTTCAGTCGCAGATTGAGGGACTCCCCCGACAACTCTTTTGGTAACGAGGTCTACCGGGTGACATTCGAGTCTGACAGCAAGGAAACCTTCCCATTGTTTGGTGCCAAGTATGACTTCCATCTGGAGGGAGTTGTGGACTGTCCTGAGTTCCTTGTGTACTTCCCAGTCTTAGAGAAGTGAGCAGACGACAACACATCTACAGTACAACTCATGCTTATTGGGACACTGTACCAATACATTTTGAGCTGTAGTAAATTCAGATTGATCAAGATTTCTGTATCTTTATCCATCTGTGCTTGTTAAGTCTGAATTTATACCTTTACTTGTTACTTCTTTGGGTTTGAAATTATTATAAGTATGCTTGTTCGAGATTAGTAAAATTCAGGAACAACTGATATTTCTTTGTGGATTCCCAGTTTTACCATTACATTGATGGCAGATCTGTCACAGAAAACATAAACAGTAGGAACAGAAACCTATAAAGATCTGGGTTAGAATTGGTCTTCAGCAACCCATGCTTGTTGTAAGAGGCAGCAAATGGGATTGGGTGGCCAGGTTCACTAACTTGATTGAAACGTGTCATTGTATCCCAAGTGTGTAGATCAATGCTCATGATGTCAATCACTGGATTGTCTGGTCCAGACTCGATTATTTACTGACCGCCGCTATATAGCTGGAATGTTGCTGAGTGCGACATTAAACAAACAAGCTGCAAGAGTAGACACCAGGCCATGAAACCAAGGAGTCCTTTAATGTTGTGTATTATCATTGCAACCGTCTCATCTGCTTCATATATCATGTTTCAGAATGGCCAGAAGTATGGTATGAAGCTTATAGCAAGAAAACCTTTTGCTGATTTCTTTGAAGAAAATAAAAATGGAGAAGGCAGGTCCCTCTTGGGAAAGATGCAGGCACTTGAGGTTAGGCCATAGTGTCTCTGTTATATAAGGGGGAAGTGAAAGAAATTGATATAGGGAGGCACTCTGACTGATGTATATTGACAAGTAATCCACTCCATTATGACAATCCCCATCCCCGCCAAGAAGTGCCAGGGGATATAGGTTTGAACTCCGTCCGTCCTTCTGTCTGTCTAAGATGATGGGACAGATTTTCTCAAAAACCGTTATAGATAGGGAAACCAAATTTGGTGACATAAACTGTAAGCATATGTCAATGAAGTAGCACTTTTTCTTGCAAAAGAGGGGCGGTGGGGTAGCCTATTGGTTAAAGCTTTACTTTTGTTCTTGCGAAGCTCATTTTGATTCCCCACATGGGTTGTTGGAATGTGTGAAGCCCATTTCTGGTGTCCCCACTGCCATGATATTGTTGGAATATTGCTAAAACTCGGCATAAATCCATACTCACTCACTCTCACTCACTCACTCACTTCACTCACTCACTCACTCACTCACTCACTCACTCTTGCAAAAGATGAACTGAATTTTGATGAATTTATCATAAGATGAAAATTTGTTATCACTGATAATTTCTGTCTCTACCATGCATAACATAACAGCAATTTCAAAATTAAGTTGGATACTTAGGGATTCTGTATTAACTTTAATACAGATTGTAGTAATTAAAGTATCCCGTGTTGTCATTTATTAGTAAACATCAGCTGTGAATGAAAGCTGTGCAGATTTTAACTTACACCACAGAAACATTCTCAAAACTTCACAATATTATTTTGCCAATATACCAGTTCACAGAGAAATATTGCAGTATGCATCATTTGAAAAGCATAAATGAAGCTTGTTATGAACTGATTTGTGGAGATCAAATCTTGTTTATTGTACCTCTGTATCTTCTGTAGGCCTACCCTGCAGATTCTGGCACAGATCTTGTCAGCTCCGTTCCAGACAACTACAAACACGCTGTGAATTTCCTCGAGGCAAATGACAACTCTGGAGATGGGGGTCGTAAACCTAAAGTGGTATGTGTCATATTTTGTTTTATTACCTACGAGGGCGAAAATATCAGGGTTCATATTTTTCAGACGATGCCCTATGGCAAAATATCACTTTGTCATGGTGACGTGACGTCATGAACAATGCTATGACGCCACGTTTCTTCTACATGTGGTGACGGCGGGTAACCAGCCTATTTATGAAAGTAGATTAGGGGTTATTTTCCTCAATTTGACGACTTCGGTAATAAATAGAATATTATATTCGTGCCTATATCATACTATGTTTACGACACTCATGCCTAAATATCGGTATATCCCTCGCTCTCACTGCCCCAACATTTAGTCACTCATGTTGTAAACATAGTATGATATGGGCACGAATATAATATCTGTAGTTTGACCTTACACATGTGAATCAGCAATGTCATGTGTTTAAATCGTAGATTTGTCTGAATCCTTGGTTTGTCTGTACTCATACTCATAGGTTAATCAACACATTCACTGGTAAAGGGGGCAGTTGGGTAGTCTAGTGGTTAAAGCGTTCGCTCGTCACGCTGAAGACCTGTTTCGATTCCCCACATGGGCACAATGTGTGAAGCCCATTTCTGGTGTCCCCCACTGTGATATTGCTGGAATATTGCAAAAGGAGGCGTAAAGCTAAGCTCACTCACTGACTCACTGGTAAAGGGGATGCTTTTGTATATTTGGCAGTTTGCGTTTGGGTTTTGTGTTAGATACATTGATGATATCAAGTAATCATGTCACTGTTGTGTGTATTGTGAGACTCCCACTTTTGTAATATTTCCTTGATAATGTTTGTTGATAGATGTTTCTGAATGAGTTGATCACTCAACTGTCATATGTGTGAAGTCTCTACACGACGTGTCTTACAGATGTTCATTAGTTTCTTACCTGTGGGGCGGTGCTTAATAGTTAATAGGTATCTGCTCGTCACGCTGAAGACCCGGGTTCTATTCCACACATGGGTACTATGTGTGATGCCCATTTCTGGTGCCCCCATCGTGATATTACTGAAATATTTCTAAAAGCGGCATAAAACCATACTCACTCACTCACTCTTAACTGTGATTTATGGATGCTTGTTTTTCCAGTCAAATTCACCTACATGTGAATCCAAATTATATGGCTTTAGACTGATCAATAAATGATCTCTGAGCTTAACAAGTTCTCATTGCCATTAGTCCCTTGATAACCCATGCATGTAGCTGAAACTTTAACGCTGAGGTCACATGACAGGGCTCGATTTAAGAGATGTTAACTTACTTGCACTGGGTGCAACCTAAGATAAAAACCTACTTGCACCAGCCCAATTCCAGTTGCACTGCTTTTATTGGAATATGTAATGAAAGAAATATGCTATGAATTATTTAGATGTTTTATTCAGAGGTTTACCCACTCAAATTGACTTGCACCTGGTGCAAGTTAGACTAATAACAAGGTTGCACTTTGTAATATTAGGTTGCACCAGTGCAAGTATCAAAGCACTAAATCGAGCCCTGCATGAGGAGTAGCAAGTAGTATGCCAGATGAAGTCACTCATGACCATCATATATTAAAGTACCACTGTGATTATGTGATTGATTGTATGCATCAATTTTATGCTGAAACAGTGCAATTTTACAATGTTTAAGAAACAGATTACTGCTATGATGAGTGTTATATACACTGCATATCAGCTAGGGATGTAACGATGCATGGAACTATCGATGGATTGCAATGGTTGAGTCTCCGATAGCAATTAATCGATGGTAGAAACGAAAAACTATCGATGCATCGATAGTATGTTTGACTATCGATAGTTTAGTAATTGACTTCCGTTGATAAATATGCAGTGCAAAATACAGGAAGTACCAGATTCGTTCACTTTGATTTAGAGTTATCTGCCCCTTTTATGTTTTACTGATGTACTACTATTAGATGAGCCACGACCTGACAAATGACCCCAATTTGCTCATATGGGAACACCCTCCAGAACATTCCATTTGAAAAATGAGGGAAACAGGTTGTCGTCTAAAACTTGAAAAGTACAATTTCCTCATGCGAATCATGTTTTGATTGTTATATCATACTAAGTATGTGTACAATTTGCCCATGCTTCCCTAACTTGGACATGTTACATTAATTAAAATCTGCAAACATTAAAAAATTGACTCGTGTCAAGATGGTGTCTTGCTGAACTAAATCGCTCTACGAGACACGTGTTAAACAGAAGCGGTATTGAGTTCATGCCCCAGTCAGCATGTATTGCACATGCTTAATCGCCAATCAACCTGTGTAGCAACCAAGTGTATTCGTCTAGATTCCCTGCCCCACCTACTTGTCACAAACGTCGTGTACTGCGCAGGCTCATCTAATACGAGTCAAGCAGTAATTGTTTACTTGATCTGGGTTTCAAGTTTCTTGTCAGTTATTAAAAGAGACTGAAACTACATCAAATTGTTTTTGGTTCATATAAACTATACAGTCATTTGGGAAATGACTTTTTGAGACAATGCAAGGAGAGAAAAAAGTTGGTCGCAATAGTATGTTGCAATAGACTTACGCTATCGCAATAGATGTTTCCCCCTCAGTAGTCACCCCTAATATCAGCCATATGTACTTACAGAGGATGGAGGAACGTAGGGTACACAAACCTGTTACAATTATTCACCACTACAACACTGTAAAGATAAACTGATTTTGTTGCAGGGTACTCTGTCCAAAGATGAGTGGGACGCAGCAAGTAAGTTGATTGTTTATTGAATATATGGTTTGACTGCCATGGATGGAGTCAACGTGGTTTGTATAAGTACAAGTCATCTTTAATTGGTTGCTGTATATAGTATATACCTTTTTTGCATCTGCCTCTCATTGGTTGCGCAGTGCAGTTTATGAAAACTTCAAAGATTTCAAATCTCCACACTGATCGGCTGGTGAGAAAGTTAACCTGAAATCCCCTGTTGAGGGTTTGTCACATGTTGATAAAAAAATGTATGGCTGGCTTAAAAGAATGATAATCAGAAATATTGTTCATTCATGGGAATCATTATTAATGATTATCGATATGAAAATTATGTAATCATTGGTATCATAAATGAACAATTGTAACGAAATAATTTTAAAATTTACTCAGAAAATACACAAAGTCAGGTCTTTATTCATGAATTACTCCTGAGGTATGTTCAGGAAGGAGTTTTGCATAATATGTCACCTCTAACCACTGATGTGAGATAAGTTGATTTCTTTCATATTTTTAGTCACTTTTGCTCAAAATTACTTCTCCGATATGTATCAATAATTGATCGGTATTCATTTAATTATGATCTACATGTATATCGATAGCCAGCCCCAGAAAAAAGTACCCAATCAGAGTTCACTAAAAGAGACCTTTCTAATCAGCCAATCAGCGATTAGAATCGAATTTCCTGAAATGAAAGAACTAGGACCTGAATAAATGTTTTGGTTTCCATAAAATGAACTGTTATGTTTTGAGGGAAGTTTCATCTACAAATGGGTGTGGAAATGTTGTCATGTCTTTTTTTTGCATTTGTTTTGTTCAGACCAAACTGCATGATTCTGAGTCAGGTGGTTAAGATTACAAGCTGAAAGCTGACATCTGATTAGTCAAAAACAAAACATCAATCATTTCGATTGGGCGGTAAACATTTGCCTTACTAAGCCAAGAAAATTGTACTGATGGGAAGGTCTGTATGTTTACAAAGGGACATCACGTTTTGATATACATTTTTGACAATTTCACTGGGAATGGTACCATCAGATTAAAATTTTACCAAAACATTATGTGCTAGACATTGATATTACTCGGTTTCAGCCATATACTGCACCTTCATCTTCAAGAAGCTGGATAAGGAGGAAGTGGAAGATCAGACGACAGATGAGCCCCGCCAGGCTCCTAAGAGAAAGCTGGAGGATGCACAGGAGGGGCCTGAAGATGAATCTCCACACAAAACACAGAAGGTGAACGAATGACAGCCTGTGCTGGGGACTCTGGTGTGAATTCCGAGATGAACTGTGGGATAACATCAGCTCCTTGAGCACCACCTGCCCAACTGCATCATGGGAAAGCCAGTGCCCATGATCCCGGTGCCTAGCGTGGGATACTTGTTGTAACCATGGTATCAAGAGCTTACATGCCTCACTTATGTTGGTGGTGCAACTTCGACAATGAACTTTGACATCTTGAGATTCCTGGATGGAAACTGGAGCTTCTTGATATTTACAGCAGAAAATTAAATTTGATGTGTATTGTACTCACCAGAGACGAGTGAGGTTTCATTGACAGTAAATGTGTCAGAGATGTGATGGACAATTTGCTGTAATGTTGGTCTATATTGGTATATATGTGCTCTGTGTATGGTCAGTGAGAGAAATACTAGATGAACTATTTGTAAGATGTTGGATGATGCCCAGAAGGGGTCAGTATCCAGTTATTTATTCCTGTAATATCTCCATCACATGTCAGAACTGTCTCAGATTTGGACATATTCAGCTAATTTAAACCAATGCCATGATCTAATAGCTCCAAGTGGCATTAAATCAGATTCATTCACCTACTCTTTCCAACCAAGAGCCATATGTGCTCCTTTCACAGCAAGTCATTCATTGTCTTCCATAAACTAGTCTCATTTTCATGCCTTTGTAAAATTGTTTCTAATGTTAGTTCTGTAACCATGGCAACCATGTCAAAAAATTATCAGGACATTTTTTTGCTTTGGCGTGTAGCTCCGAGGCAGTGTGCCCTAAACATTTGTGTTCTGACTTAAAACTGATCTGGCCCGAAGGTGCTTGACTGTTTTGATTTTGTGTACATATACTTGCCGATATTAGACCATCGTAAATATCCTCGCCAGGTGCAATACAGTGAAGTGATCTACTGACAACATGACAATGTTTGGTTTCCATAGATCAAACACACAATACAGCAGAATAGGAACTTAAGTGAGTACCATCCAGTAAGTTACAGCAGAATCCTAATATTTTATCAGTGCTGGTAGTATTACATAACATTTGCTTTTCTTTAGACCAAAAAATTCAAAATGTCTCACATTATGAAATAAATTCAGTTGTAATCATGTGATGTGTTGTTTTTCATAACTCTGATCAACATGTCACTTACTAGTATTTGTGGAACATGTGTTATCTCCGGGTTGGGGCACTGTAACCTGACATAGTGTATTACTGTACCTTAGACTCTTTGTCCTGGCTGACATAGTGTAACACTGTACCTAAGTGTCTGTATCCTGGCTGACATAGTGTAACACCTGTAACCAAGTGTCTATATCCTGGCTGACATAGTGTAACACCTGTAACCAAGTGTCTATATCCTGGCTTACATAGTGTAACACGGTAACCCAGTGTCTATATCCTGGCTGACATAGTGTAACACTGTACCTAAGTGTCTGTATCCTGGCTGACATAGTGTAACACTGTAACCAAGTGTCTATATCCTTGCTGACATAGTGTAACACTGTAACCCAGTGTCTATATCCTGGCTGACATAGTGTAACACTGTAACCCAGTGTCTATATCCTGGCTGACATAGTGTAACACTGTAACCCAGTTTCTATATCCTGGCTGACATAGTGTAACACTGTACCCTAGTGTCTATATCCTGGCTGACATGTGTAACACTGTAGTATACCCCAGTGTCTATATGTTGGCTGACATAGTGTAACACTGTAGCCTAGTGTCTATATCCTGGCTGACATAGTGTAACACTGTAACCCAGTGTCTATACCCTGGCTGACATAGTTTAACACTGTTCCCCAGTGTCTATACCCTGGCTGACATAGTGTAACACACTAACCCAGTGTCTATATCCTGGCTGACATAGTGTAACACTGTACCTAAGTGTCTATATCCTGGCTGACATAGTGTAACACTATAACCCAGTGTCTATATCCTTGCTGACATAGTGTAACACTGTAGTATACCCCAGTGTCTATATCCTGGCTGACATAGTGTAACACTGTACCTAAGTGTCTGTATCCTGGTTGACATAGTGTAACACTGTAACCAAGTGTCTATATCCTGGCTGACATAGTGTTACACTGTACCTAAGTGTCTGTATCCTGGTTGACATAGTGTAACACTGTAACCAAGTGTCTATATCATGGCTGACATAGTGTAACACTATACCCCAGTGTCTATATGTTGTCTGACATAGTGTAACACTATACCCCAGTGTCTATATGTTGGCTGACATAGTGTAACACTATAACCCAGTGTCTGTATCCTGCCTGACATAGTGTAACACTATACCCCAGTGTCTATATCCTGGCTGACATAGTGTAACGCTGTACCTAAGTGTCTATATCCTGGCTGACATAGTGTAACACTGTAGTATACCCCAGTTTCTATATCCTGGCTGACATAGTGTAACACTGTACCTAAGTGTCTGTATCCTGCCTGACATAGTGTAACGCTGTACCCCAGTGTCTATATCCTGGTTGACATAGTGTAACACTGTAACCCAGTGTCTATATCCTGGCTGACATAGTGTAACACTGTAACCCAGTGTATATATCCTGACTGACATAGTGTAACACTGTTCCGCAGTGTCTATATGTTGGCTGACGTAGTGTAACACTGTACCTCAGTATCTATATCCTGACTGACATAGTGTAACACTGTACCCCAGTGTCGATATCCTGACTGACGTGAGTGTAACACTGTACCTCAGTATCTATATCCTGACTGACATAGTGTCACACTGTATCTCAGTATCTATATCCTGGCTGACATAGTGTAACACTGTACCCCAGTGTCTATATCCTGGCTGACATAGTGTAACACTGTACCCCAGTGTCTATATGATTGTCGACATGGTGTAACACTGTACCCCAGTGTCTATATGATTGTCGACATGGTGTAACACTGTACCCCAGTGTCTATATGTTGGCTGACATAGTGTAACACTGTAACCCAGTGTCTGTATCCTGCCTGACATAGTGTAACACTGTACCCCAGTGTCTATATCCTGGCTGACATAGTGTAACACTATAACCCAGTGTCTGTATCCTGCCTGACATAGTGTAACACTATACCCCAGTGTCTATATCCTGGCTGACATAGTGTAACACTGTACCCCAGTGTCTATATCCTGGCTGACATAGTGTAACACTGTAGTATACCCCAGTTTCTATATCCTGGCTGACATAGTGTAACACTGTACCTAAGTGTCTGTATCCTGCCTGACATAGTGTAACACTGTACCCCAGTGTCTATATCCTGGTTGACATAGTGTAACACTGTACCCCAGTGTCTATATCCTGGTTGACATAGTGTAACACTGTAACCCAGTGTATATATCCTGACTGACATAGTGTAACACTGTTCCGCAGTGTCTATATGTTGGCTGACGTAGTGTAACACTGTACCTCAGTATCTATATCCTGACTGACATAGTGTAACACTGTACCCCAGTATCGATATCCTGACTGACGTAGTGTAACACTGTACCTCAGTATCTATATCCTGACTGACGTAGTGTCACACTGTATCTCAGTATCTATATCCTGACTGACATAGTGTAACACTGTACCCCAGTGTCGATATCCTGGCTGACATAGTGTAACACTGTACCCCAGTGTCTATATGATTGTCGACATGGTGTAACACTGTACCCCAGTGTCTATATGATTGTCGACATGGTGTAACACTGTACCCCAGTGTCTATGTGATTGTCGACATGGTGTTACACTGTACCCCAGTATCTATATGATTGTCGACACGTTCTAACACTGTATCCCATTATCTGTATGATTGTTGACGCGACACGACGAGCTATATGACGGCAGTCTGTAAATAATTGAGACTGGACCAGACAACCCTGAGATCAACAGCATGAACATCGATCTACGCAATTATGATACGATGACATGAGTTAGCGAGCCTGACCACCCGATCCCGTTAGTCGGTTCTTACGACAAGCATGGGTGCTGAAGACCAATTCCTGAACACAGGAAACCCCTTTAATACAACATCGGTAATCCAGCTAATGCATGTGCAATTCCCAGAAGATATTTAGATTGGCAGTGCGTTGTCGGCAAGTTATCAAATAGAAAGCCGTGGATGTATTTGTAAACTATTTTTTAAATAGTTTACAAATACAATTTGTGAATGTTTTAAATGTGAATTCCTTTAAGGTGTTCGATACATAGGAAAATGTATACTGTTGAGATTAGGAAAAAATGTTAGTCATGTTTCGCGTTCTTGGTGGGATTGTCGCTTCAGAACATATTGATGGAATATTGCTAAAAGCGGCTTAAAACCATACTCACTCACTCACTCAGAACCGGTTTACTGTGACAGTCATACATGGAGCTTCCAGAGACCGTCATATTGGTTGTCATGCAGAACTAACACGTAAATGGGGGAAGAACTTGGAGGGCGGAATATGGAGAAATTGTGATTAGTGGTGTGACGATTCATCGATACATCGATCCATGGACCGCCGATACAGTGAATCGATACAAAGTTTTACATTGTCGTATTACCCGATACGAAACTTCAAATGGGCAACGATACATCGATGTTTAACTTTGAATATTGCCGAATCGCGATATCTGTCAAGAAAAAAGACCCACTTTTGTTTGATGATTAAAATATTTGCTTACTTATTTTCGCTTCATAAGTAAACGTTTTCTCGGAAATTCTTGCGTCAAGAACTGTGTCAGACATAGCGCTCATATGTTATTATTATTCACAAAGTCCGTGTATAAACTTAATTATCTCGTTTCCGAATGAACATTGGATAACGCTGGCGGAATTTGACGAAATACTTTAAAATGGTTTTGTTTTGATATTCATGTGTTTTATAGTTGGTGTTAGAATTAAATATTTTAGTATCGTGATGCGTATCGTATCGTCACCCTTATATCGGGATTCGTATCGTATCGCAGCTTCAGTGCACGATACTTTGGCAATATATCGTCGTGACAAAAAATTTAGCATCGTGATGTATCGTATCGCAGGATGTATGCCAGTACAAGCACTACTTGTGATGCTAACATGTTAATCTGCGGGGTCGACTTTTCTCTCAAGACATCAGGGTTCATCTTATGGGTTCGACCACGGTCGCTTGATTTGCAAAATAAGTATGAAATCAAATACGGTTTCATCTGAATCATTTACAGATATGATAGTGCAAAACACAGGTGTAAATCATGAACTAGACTTCCTACTTTTCGCATGCGATATGATCAATTTTCACCAATTGTTTGTGTCAAAATGTTCCTTAGTGTTTTCCGGGTAAAATCTTTTGATAACCATGTTTTATCTTAGAAACTTTCTGAACAGACATATATTCAAATGAATACATCTTTTAGGGATGTTTTACACAATAACATACAATACAATGTTGAAGTTCTCAGGGTCCTTTAATATATATGGATAAACTCACCAAAAGCTGGAGTTACAATGTAAGCGTCTATGAATTACTCTCAGTTAATTGTTAATAGTTAGTTCATTTAACGCATGTTTGACATTCATATATATTAGCACTAGATTTCAGATCTCTTTCACCAAATGACATGTAATATAAACAAGATCAAAGGATACATACTATCACTATTTAAATATGACAGAAGAAATCTAAATTTCTTAATGGCCTAAATTCGTAACATCATTATCCAGTTACTATTTTAACATTTAATCTCTGAAGATATTTATTAGTGTAAATCTACTCCCATTTTATCACAAGACATATGTCGCTGTATATTATGTTTAACAACGTGTTTTCCGTAGATGAACTCGCAAAATGCCGACTCTATGTAAGATAACATCGGATGGGGGCCTCTTCTAAAAATGAAAATCTCTTCGGATTATTTTACCCTGATCCTTTATTTATATATATAACTTCGACAGGAGGTAAAATGACACGCCTCTGCTTTTTTTCATAAATTTTGCTTTAGCTACTCTTGTTTTGTTTTTTCTTGTCTGTTCTTTTATGTTTTGTTTGTATTTTCAAAGGGCGGCTACTCTCATCCCGTGTGTAAGCAATCGGAACACACCAGTAATAAAGTCCGCAAAGTGAAGCCTGCTAATACATTTAAACACCAGCTTGTTGTAGCTTGTTGTGCATGTGTCAAAGCATATGTTCATGTATATATGTAGATTATATAAAATGAATTATTTATCTCGCTCGTGTCCGAGTTGTACAATGGTGGTAAGACGATTGTCGGAAAATCGAAGATCCGACACATAGACGAGGTTTTCCGAACGTAACCGGAAGTTGACAAATTGTTCGACGAGCGTCTCTTTGTCTGCCGCTTAACGGCTGTCTCTTAATCCTTACCATCGAGAGACTAACTACTCTCTTATTGTTTAATCATATTTGTTTTATCATATTTTATCCCTCTCTTAATCATACAGTCCTCCATTTTTGTGTCTAAGTGTATATTTATTTCGTAAATATGGCCGATATTGAAAATGGTGATCAGGAAGAAAGTTTTACAGAAACCAATGGAGATTTCGACACGAGTCAGTTTGATCCCGAAGCCACTGACGCCGACACCAGTGCAATAGTATCTGAAGATGTTGGCGTGGAAGATCCGGTCTGTATGAATATACAAGATATACACTTGAAACATGCCTACAGCTGTTTAATCACAATAGATAGATTCTTATATTTCGTTAAAAAGTTTGGTTAGGTTCAAATATACGCCTACTGAGCGTCTCGATATGTACTAGTTCGTGCAGATGATTGAACTGTGTTCTCCATCTCTACTGCTGCAACAATTCCTGACGATTCAAAGAAAAAAACCAAAAAATCTTTTGAACAATATTTAATCTGCGAACAATGATGTTTCACTAAACACTTGTCAGATTGTCACACTCGAACCTTCTGAGGCAGCATCTGTTATATATGTTGTGACAACAATGAGATATTTGATGACTGTTGCAGGAACTTGAGGCTATCAAAGCCAGGGTCAAAGAAATGGAAGAAGAAGCTGAAAAATTGAAAGAAATGCAGAAAGAAGTTGATAGTCAAATGAATATGAGCTCTTCATCTATATGTGGGTTTTAGTCAGTAAAGACACGATGAACATTGTTCTTTTGACACTGTGCAGTGTTAAGAAACCATTTGGATTTTCATCATAAGTTTTAATCACTTTGCTCAAAACATCATCCATCAACAGGATCAATGGCATCAGTATCAAAAGCTTTGTTGGCATGCTAAGAATTTGTATTTTTATTCATTTACATGTCCAGTTATCAACCTTTGCCATGATTAGAAATGTATTGTTTTAGGACTGGTATGCCCTGATTGAAATTGGCTAACAATGTTGAGAATTATGGATGAGCGTTCTACATGTAATGTTTTGGTTTTTTTTAATAGGTTTATTAGTTTAACAGCCAACACATTTCTCTACATTCAATTAAAGAAACTTAAACTTGACAAGTACTTCAATTATAGGTATCTTCCAGCATGTAGAACATCAAACCCCATGAAATAATTTGTTTATTGGCTTAATTAAATACTTTGTGGCTTTCTATATGTTGTTTTTCACCATTGAATGTGTTAAATACACAAGTCTAAAACTTCAATCAAATAATAAGGTCAATAGACCTCTATCATGAGACTTATCAGTCCTATAAATTGTAACTTACTCCAAACTTTACACAGACAGACCTGTTCATTTCAGCATCTTTTCCAAGCGTTGATGAAAAAATAGAAGCTGATGCTCGTTCAATATATTGTGGTAATGTGAGTACATTATTGGTAACGACAGTCCTATTTTACAATGTCGATTGCTTAAGTTAGTATTAATATTTTCTGTACATAATTTTGGTACGTGTGGTATGGCAAGTCAAACTTCCATTGCATTTTATTTGTACCAATACTGCACTGTGTGAGTGACCCAATTCCCATATCACCTCAGCATTGACAAGTGTTTTTAGCTGATCATAGTGTTAATTCCCCTCTTACTTAACATTTCACAAAAAAGCAACCACCTTCAAATGTGTATGAAAAATTTTAAGCATTCCAACCTTCATCATGAAATATTTTACATTGATATTACTGCTACCCATTTATGCTTTTTTAAAAATTTATGAATCTTAGTATTTTCTTTTGTCTGATTGTGTTTATCACTTTTGTGCAAAATTGCTCTTTTAACATTAGAGTGAATGTTTTAGGTTGATTACGGTGCCACAGCAGAAGAATTGGAGCAACATTTTCATGGATGTGGCTCTGTGAACCGAGTGACCATACTATGTGACAAATTCACAGGCCATCCAAAGGGGTGCGTTATCTTTGAATGTCATGTATGATTTAAGGCTTGTCAGATTCTACTTTGGAGTTTTAGCTAACATATTCCAAGAAGTGATGTTTCACATGTTGGACTTCTGATTTTCCATGATTGTAACATAACCACTGCTGATCTTGGAGAAAAAAGTACTTTCAACCATGCAAAGTTATATCTGTACCTGGTAGAGTTTTCTGTTTTTTCTTGTTATTCCACAAAGAATTGCTAAGAGGATGGTGTCTTTCAAAGACTACATCATTCTGAAACAATCACAGAAGTATTGGCTGAACAAAAGTTGAATAGTTGTAACTAACATAGTTGTTGATGCAAATTGAAAGATTCCCAAGTTTGACTGGGGCAGTGGGTTAACTAAGTGGTTAAAACGTTCGCTCGTAACGCTGAAGGCCCGGGTTGGATTCCCCACATGGGTACAATGTGTGAAGACTATTTCTGGTGTCCCACACCATGTTCCTGGAATATCGCTAAAGCAGGGTAAAGTTATACTCACTCACTCCAAGTTTTGACTAGTATTGAAACATTTGGAAATCTATGAAGGCAGTATGCAAACCATGTTTTACAACATGCCAGTTGCCAGAATATAACTCTTGAAACTGCATTATTTGTCAAACTTTCAGTGTTGCTCAAACATATAGTTACCTTATGGCTGCAAGGAATGTACTGCTCATCTTCAAAAGGTGCAATTTTAAAAGTTTGTCAAGATAGGAGATACATGATTCTGATATCCCAAGAAATGATGTTTGCACATGTTGGACTTCTGATCCTCTGTGATTGTAACATATCCGCTACTGATCTTGGAGACCTATACAAATTTTCAAGATTTACACATCTATATATGATTGTTTCCCTAAGAACGAAGAAAAGGGGTCTTTGAATTGGTCAAGATATTATGTGTAGTCATCAGCAAAAAAACCCTGAAAATAAGTTTGGAGTTTCAACAGACGGTTTTAGAACATGACTCTTCTTATGGCACTGCATGTTTATTCAGTCTATTACCTTGTATGTTGCAAAAACTAAAATATTCCCTGTCCGCTGTTAGAAAATGACCCTCTTAATAAGTTTCTGGTTTGCAGTGTGCATTTGTTTTTCATCTGCAACATGTTTAAGTTTTGTAAGAAGCATTGTAAGGAAATAGAGGTTCTGGGAATATTGGACTTTCAAAGATTTCACCATTGTAAATCATACATATAGTGATCCTGAATATTACCCTGAATAAGTTACTAGCTTTCAAATATTGCCATGTTTTGTGTATGAATTTTGAAAGATGTATTTTGAAAAAGCCATCAGTTTCCCCTAGCTGCAAACACCCCATCCCTATATCTTTACCATGTTTGTCCTCATTATTTGTAGATAGACAAAATTTTCCAAGAAGTGATGTTTGCACATGTTGGACTTCTGATCCTTTGTGATTGTAACATAACCGCTACTGATCTTGGGGAAATGCTGAATTTTCAATATGATTAAACATATCTCTGTACCTGGTTCCTGATTGTGTTTCTTCTATTTAGGATTTCAGAAAAATTGTGACTTTCAAAGATCTCACCATTATCAAACGCACCTGCATGTAGTGATTATAAAAATACCTTAGATAAGTTTTTAGCTTTCAAATAGTGCATGGTTTTTCGTATGACAGTTGTAAGGCATATTTTGAAAGACTATCTGTTTGCCCTAGCTGAAAAGAAATGCACGCACACACATACACATATATACACCATGCCCCCCAACACCCCATCTTTACGTGTCCATATTATTTATAGATAGATTTTACCAAGAAGTGATGTTTGCACATGTTGGACTTCTGATCCTTTGTGATTGTAACATAACCGCTACTGATCTTGGAGAAATGCTGAATTTTCAGTATGATTAAAGTTATCTCTGTACCTGGTTCCTGATTGTGTTTCTTCTATTTAGGATTTCAGAAAAATTGTGACTTTCAAAGATCTCACCATTATCAAACGCACCTGCATGTAGTGATTATAAAAATACCTTAGATAAGTTTTTAGCTTTCAAATAGTGCATGGTTTTTCGTATGACAGTTGTAAGGCATATTTTGAAAGACTATCTGTTTGCCCTAGCTGAAAAGAAATGCACACACACATACACATATATACACCATGCCCCCCAACACCCCATCTTTACGTGTCCATATTATTTATAGATAGATTATTCCAAGAAATGATGTTTACACATGTTGGACTTCTGATCCTCTGTGATTGTAACATATGCTGCTGATCTTGGAGAAATGGCTTTCTATTATCAGCTGACCATCATGATCATGTTCATATTTTGTGCTTCCAAAGAAATACTGCAACAGTTTTTTCGATTTTCTAATTCAAGACAAATGTTTTGTTCCAGATTTGCATATATTGAATTTGCTGACAAAGATTCAGTTGCAACTGCAATGGCTTTGGATGACTCACTTTTCAGAGGTCGACAAATTAAGGTAAAGCAGCATTAGTCCTTTAGTAAAGCTGGTAATTTTCTTTTTTTTCTTACCTTCATACACACCAATTTAGAACAGCTCTGAGAGAATTAATAATCTATGCTAGTGTCTTAGGTTGTGATGCTAGATGTATTGTTTATACCATATGGTTTTCATAGAAACTCATCTCAAATGAGTGTACAGTGTATGGATTGTTTATTTATTTCAGATCCATTTTATGGTTTCAGGTCTCTCCAAAACGGACAAATAGGCCAGGCATTAGTTCCACAAATCGCTTCCCACGCAGTAGAGGCAGAGGCAGGGGACGTGGGTTTAACCCCAGGGGAAGAAGACCATATGGGTTTGTTACCTTTCTTTTTGATGTTTTGCCAAGTTACTTTAAATTTGGGAATTGTATGTATTTTATTAACCTAAAGTAGTTTCCTTTCAAATGATTAATAGCAGAGACCTGGAATTTGTTCTCACAATTCTAGTAAAACACATACTTTTCTTAGTGCTTACACGCCTTGCTGAAAGACGAATTAGGAAATTTTCTGTTCTGTAATATCTACATTGATCAAACATCTTCATATCAGTCAGACATTCTGCTGACTAGAGTTGATGTTGTATTACCATGCAATCATAGATATTTTGAAAATGTTTTAATACCTTCAACTGATAAATTTTCACTTCGTCATGTTTTCCTTTGTATTTTTGGAATGATATAGCTCTAAATATATGCCATTATGAAACAAAAAACCTACATCCCCAGATATTTGGGAGACACAATGAGCAGTTACTATTCATACCTAACTGCAATTAATTATGACTTATCTAGGGTTTTGATGAAAAAATCTCACTGGTTCAGACTAAAAAACCTGTTTTCATTATTTTCTTTTATACTTTCTGTTTCATAAACAGGAAGAGTGTAGCTTTTGTTGTAGATATTGTTGTTGACATGTAAACATAATTACAATGTGTTATGTTATATCATGTCAGTGCAGATGTCTCTTATGATGATACATTTCTTCTCCAAGAATTCAGAAGTAAAAATCACTTCTGTTAACATTGCTACAGTTGTCATTCTTCAGTCGCTTGTGACTTGTGATGTGTAGGTACAAACAAGTATAGTATGTAGTTTCCTGAAGGTATCCTAAGTAATGATGTGTACTCAGTGCTTCATTTTGTCGGTAAAATGTTACATCAAGACCTTTATCTGCACAAGATCAGTAGTAATGAAATGTTAGTAAACTTTGAAACATTGAGGAAACATATAATATTTGAGGTCTTTCAGTGGCATTTAGAAGTTGTACATTGATGTCCAAGATATTTTTATGGATTAAACTTCTTTTTAATTTCTCTCACGACGTTTCGAGACCATTCCAGGTCCCTTCATCAGGTGAACTGGCAGTTAGGACTATGACGTCGTCACTTTAGCATGAATTTTCATCATTATGTAATTAACTCTTCAAACTCACTTATACAGTACTCTCCCCAGTGTACTGTGATGTCACTTGCATTGTGACGTCATAACTCAGTTATGACGTCATAGTGACGACGTCATAGTCTTAACTGCCAGTTCACCTGATGAAGGGACCTGGAATGGTCTCGAAACGTTGAGAGAAATTAAAAAGAAGTTTAATCCATAAAAATATCTTGGACATAATATTTGAGGTTATGCTTTTTGTCAGTCTTTGTTAAATTGAGAACAATTGTTTGTTTCAGGAGATACCGAAGAGCAGCCTACTATTCCCCTTACTGAAACTAAATAACAAGAAAGAATGAAGGATACTATGGTGATAACCATGGGGGTAAAATAACTCCAAAACTTACCTAAAATTCTATCAGAGTTACAGCCTGACTTTTTATCAACATCGACGTCAGAAGTTTTGTTCATGTCATACCACCCTTTTATTCTCATAGCAGAATCAAAATCCATAGTAGTTTGTATGTCCCATATGGATTAATTGTGCCATACTGCATGATATTTCCATCTCTTTTTAACATACTTACTATGGCATGTGGAGGATTGGTCGTTTGAAAGTGTGAGTGAGAGGTTGTTTTGAGACAGGAAGATAGTCAATGAACTGGTGCAGGCAAGAAATAGAAATTTACAGTTCCCTATTTTTGTATCTTGTTTTTATCAAGGCCAGAATATGACTTCCCTGTATTATAGTGGAATAACTGTATTTCAGTGGTCTTATTTAACTGTGGACGTTAAAATACTGTTGGTGTTGTCTTTTAATGTGTACACTGTTGTCAATGTGCGCTTTTATAGTGTAGTAATCTGGACTTCAACAGATACTATGAATGACACTTGAAATCCCTCTGAATTATCACCCATAATAGTGGTTGAAAACAAACATTATTTCATATTTTACCTTCTAAATATTGCATCAAGTTATCTCGGGTGAAAGTCACCTCATGGATATAGTTAGGTATGTCTGTGAATACTACCATAAGGTTCTTTTCTTAATATTCTAAAATACCTTAAGACATTCCCCTTTTAATGTCCTGAAGATTAGTCTATTGCTTTGACTGTGAGTAGTAAGTCGTGCACTTCCTGCTTATTGATGCATTCTTTTCCAGGTGAATTATCCCCTATATCCGTGTTTTCTCTTGTCTGCAATTTTAACATAGATATGTTGTTGATATTATGCTAATCATATTCTTTTTCAGACTGACAGTATTTGACTCAAAATATGAAAATATTAAAAACAAAAGAATTGAAAAAAATGTACAGAAAGAAAGATATGAAAAGAAAAACGTGTAGAAAAGAGAAAAAAAATGATGTATAAATGTGAAGAAAAAAAATGTAAAAATGTTAAATAAAGATGTAGAAACAGATATTGTTCTGTTATCATTGAGCAGCTTTAGTTGTTACATTTTGGATAACTGTCAACTGACTTGTCTGGGCATACATTTACTGGACTTCTTGTGGGTGCTCTGTAAGAACACTAAACCTAATGATCAGTGGAGGTCCTTGGAACATGACGTATTGACAAATGTACATTGTAGTGTGGGGAGAACATGCTTCCAGCAGCTCTTCTTGGCCTGAGGGCAGACAGAAATGACATCGAATAATGAATAATCGGTGTGTGTTCAGGTTGACCGTGAGTTGGGTTTCCCAACTTTATTTCCATTCTTCCTTTCAGAGGGTGTTAAACGACTCTTTGTACACTTTTGGTGAAGCCAAGAGGGTATGATGGTGACTAACCAAGTATCATTTTTATGGAACAAAGGTGGAGGGCATGTATTTGTTTGTATTGTCTCCCATAGCAACTCTGTTTAGTAGAATGGACAACAATCCACATAATCGGATTCTGATTCTTTGCACCAGATTCCGCGACGTCACATTTTCGATCCTTGACCTATTGGCGTCACACTTATGTTGTATTAAACCGATTAATGTCCATGACTGCCCACACCGATGTAACCGAAAAATGGCCAAGAAAAGAGAACCTTCAACTCTACTTTTTCATGGGGTATATAGGCCTTTTGAGAAGACACATTCCAGGGACCGAACCTGCTCTCCACTAGACGATTTAAAGGGTCGGCTCAAAGCAATGTGATTTCTTGTTCAGACACTTTAATGGTTTAGTTTATGGCCACTTGGAAAACATGTACTTGTTACCTAGTCTCACAGTCCCTGAACCGCATTTTCTCTTCTGTTGGTCCCTCTCTGCAGTGCTAAAACCATATATCAAGCAAGTTAAGCTTCTCGGGTTCAGGTTCAGGCCCACTAGGGTCCTTTTCAGTTTGAAAGGACTTGTTTGTTTCTATCAACATTATATATATTCTGAGACTAAGCGTTAGGTTTCTTGTTTACATGCCTGGTGCTTGGCATTTGGGGAGAGAGCAGTTATTGGTTGGGTCGAGTCAATAAGTGTGAGTTGGGTATTCGTACATGCCAAGCTGCGACGTATGAAACACCACAAATCTGCCTGTAAATATCGTCGCTAGTGTATGCAACCGCCATGTAATTAAACAAATGGGGAGTTTAAGCCCACTACACCTCATGGATGATGAAATATCCCATTTCAACAGTTCTTCATAACATCCTGTTTTCATTCGCTGTTGACAAATAGGAAACTGGTGTAGGAGCTATAATCCGCAGCTGCATGAGACGCAGGAAGGGCGTAGGCATTATGGTGATTAACCTGGGTCATCAGCCTGACGAGCGAACGCATAGTCTATTCTGGCCTCAGTCGTCAGCAAAAGCGGGTGAAAATGTCCTAAACTGGACTATATAGTTAGCTTTGAATCCTGAATCTGTTTAACGCTGCATTAGGTATTCAAGCCACATTACGTCGTTCTGTAAATAAAAAAATCCACTAAACAAACCGGTGATTGACATGAGGATCGATCTGCACAAGTAGAATACAACCAAGTCAGCGAGGAGCCCTCTTGCGACAACTTTTTTAGCAGAAGAAAATTTTATCCCTGATCTTCATAACGCTTATGAACTGAAGAACACCAAACATTGGCAAAGGCGTCTAACTGTCGGCCAGAGAAAGGGTAGACGGGGATTGACCGAAACATTTCAAATGTTAACAAAACTACTAAGCCGAAAACAGCATCCTAAACACTGCAAACTTGGGGTCCAAAACACAACGTAGATACCAATATGAAGTACATCACCATCGAATAACCACTGCATTTTTTGCTTCTTGCTAGTCACCATCAGTAATGGTTGTATACTTTATATAACACGTGTTATATTTGGGATATAACCATGGCACTGTATTCATGGGTGTATACTTTATATAACACGTGTTATATTTGGGATATAACCATGGCACTGTATTCATGGGTGTATACTTTATATAACACGTGTTATATTTGGGATATAACCATGGCACTGTATTCATGGGTGTATACTTTATATAACACGTGTTATATTTGGGATATAACCATGGCACTGTATTCATGGGTGTATACTTTATATAACACGTGTTATATTTGGGATATAACCAAGGCACTGTATTCATGGTTGTATACATGTACGTCTCAATCCAACCCGTGAAGATCCTTGTTAGAACTGATCTTCAGTAACCCATGCCTGTAAGAGGGACTAACGGGATCGGGTGGTCAGGCTCGCTGACTTGGTTGACACGTCATCGTATCGCAATTGCGTAGATCGATGCTCATGCTGTTGATCTCTTTGATTGTCTAGTTCAGATTGGATTATTTCCATATAGCTGGAATATTGCTGAATGCGGCGCAAAGCTAAACTCACTCACTCACTACTTCACAATCAGATCACCGGATCTAATACATGTGATTACAAATGTGTTTTGTTACAACCAAAACAGATATGAATTAGGAAAGTGACTATTTTAAACGAAAATAGATAGCGGTGCTGAACATATTTTCCTGGTGTGCCTTTAGTCAAGTGAACCGTACCTTCAACATATGCAGTATATAGCGTGCTAGCCCCTTTTATCGTGACTAATGTACACTAGTGTTGGGAACTGGTTGAAATCTCACAATTTATGATTGATTCATTACCAACGAACAATCATCGAAAATAATTGGCTAGCGTCATTTTTCAGATTTTCCTATCCAGGTTGTTTTTGCAGATATGAAAAAACATGATGCAACTTGCTACTTTAAAGTAATGACTAATGTATCATGAACATAAACTTCCCGGAGTCTTTAAGAAATATTTAGTCATGGCGTTTCAGTTAGTGAAGTGAATTTTCTAAGAATTAAACACGTTTTCAGGCCCTGACACTTCAACGATATGTTCCATTGTCAAGTATTTTAAAGACTAAAACAGTAGTTCCAAAATCGTTTATTTTCGATTATTAGAAAATGTGATCGATTGCTTGGTCGTTTGGTCACTGCGACCAATCTTCGGTTATTTCGATTAATCGGAACACCACTAATGTACACACCACCACCGTGCATTTTATATAAAAGAAAGAGGTCGGTAAACATTTTAAGCAACGGTGCTCACCTTAAATCACAATGCATGGTAAGAATGACTAAGGGGTCTATTTGCATATACTGACCTGCAGAGGTAACAGAGATAGACAACAGGCGCGGCAGCGTTTATAGATAAGGAGTGACTAGGCACTATAAGTTGTCACTATCATGTTTGGGGGAAGATTTAAACCACCCAACCTCAGATATCCACTGTACCAAATCTCCATTCTATACACCAGATAATCGACCATGGCCGTGTTGATCTTGAACTTGCTCTGTGCATAACTTACATTCACAAAACTTCAAAGATTGTTCTTAAGAATGCTCAAGTCACAATCACACAGGTTTTTTAGTGCTTAGTTCTTTGCTTGTGTTTGAGATACCGTGAGCCTATTTAATTCGCCTAATAGTTTCATAATATTCAGTATGGCTGGCATAGACAATACACAATCCACCACTGAATATATTCTGATAAAGAACTGTTAGGAAACATGGTACTGGGTACGTAACTTAGTTATTATATCATATCACTGGATGTATTCTGATAAAGAGCTGTTGAGTGATTTGGGTTTTACGTCGCTTTTAGCAATATTCCAGCAATATCACGGCGGGGACACCAGAAATGGGCTTCACACATTATACCCACGTGGGAAAACGAACCCGGGTCTTTCTTCGGCGTGACAAGCGAACGCTTTAACCACTAGGCTACCCAACCGCCCCAAAGATCTGTTTAGAAGAAACAGACTAAATAAGGCTCAAAACCTTAGAAAGATCTTACAACCTTACAAAACACACGGTATTCGGCTTGTCCGGAATAACACGAGTTGGTCACGAATGCTGTTATTATGTGACCTCGCTGGCTGTTTTCCACCGGATGTACATGAAAGTTCTTACATTGTGGGTCGCCTAAAACCTGGGTATCACATATGGCCTTACCCTCATGAGGTTAATGACTATAAACGCCCGTTGAAACACAAATAATGAGACCTAGGTCCTGGGGAAATATACGTGTCGTTCTAATGATAGGGTCTTGAAACGCCAACATTGGCACCAAGACATGGTCATAAGCATATTAAGAAGTCGTAGTACCATTGGTTCTATGAACAGACGGATATGTTATTGCAGTAGCATATGGCATCGTAAGTGATCATGTACCTTGCTGCTAATTTGACCCCTGTGACTGTAATGCACCCATAGTGATTAAACACCCATCTTATAGCTTGTATAACATGCAAATACTTTCTTAAATTCCCTGAACACGCAAAAGCACGTGTGTTTGTTATTGTTGCTCACGCATGCTCAGTCGAAATATACACAGAAGCAGTGCGCATGTCTATGGAGGTCAGCAGGTCACACCAGTACATCACGTTGTTGTCCGCTTTCATGACACAGCAGTATAAAACTGCAGACTGGAAGGGATATTTCGGGACAACAGAAGCTCACCATGATAACCAATAGAAGTACCGCTATGCTGAAACAATCCAACTCGCTGTCACTCCGTTTTCTTTCGACAACAGTAACTGCCAAGTCTCAACAACACCCTGAGTCGGCACCTGTACAGAGCGACCAGAGACTGCAGAAATCTCACCTTTTGATCGAGGGATTTCAGGGGAGCGCAAAGTCGGTTTCTCTCAACAGAGCACGGCTGCTGCTATCCACAGCATTGAAACATTCACAAGAAGGACCGGGGTTCCAAGGCATTCAAGGTAGAAAACCAAGTAAAATGTTTAGGTATGATCACGTGTCTGCTCGAATGTGATCATGCACTGACCCTGTGGCAGGTTGTAGTTTAGAGTTCTGCTTTGCGACCTTGGCACGGCCACGAAAACTAAATAATATTAGGTACAAAATGTATAACATTTTACTGTATGTGAGAGTACCATTTATCTAATTCATCAGCCATATAGGTTTTCTTAGTCGTGTATTGTCTTCAGGGGGTTACTCGCGTTATAACGAGGTGATATTGTAAATACACAGACGTTGTAATGTAAATAATCAGTGGTGACATTTTTTTATAAGTTTTAGTGAATTATTTTACATTTGATCAACGTATCATTGTGGGTGAGGGGTAGATATTGTCAGACAACAATATTGATATAACAGGAACCTGTAGAGTAGTTCAGTGGTTAGTGTTCACTTACCATGCCAACACAGGTTCAATTCCCTATCATGGAAACTATGTGTGCCCTGTGGTACATCGAGCACAAGGCCTACATCGAGCACACCTTGGTATAGTGCAAAGTCGTCTAGTTTTATGCTGGACTAAGTGGTGTTAAACCTCACTCACTCACACCCAGATAGCATTCAGACGTTGGCCTAATGTTGGCAATGGTTTTGCCAACATTGCCAACGTTTGGCCAACGTCCGAATGCTATCTGGGCAGCAGCCTAATAATAATCCATGCCATGGCCACCAATGTTGCGATTAGATGATGACTGTATTATACAATGTGTTGGTTGGTTGTTTAGCACCGCACTCAGCAATATTCCAGCTATATGGCGGTGGTCTGTAAATAGTCGAGTCTTGGCCAGACAATCCAGTGATCAGCATCATTGATCTAGGTAATAGGGATACAACCGAGTCAGTGAGCATGACCACCTGATCCCATTAGTATAGGGGTAACGCTGTTTTTCTGTTATAGGGGTAAGGCTGTTATCATTTGCAGAAACCCTAGGTCATCAATTATGTGCCATATGGAGGATTATAGAATCCGCGGGCCATTATCATTTGTAGCAGATCGCTCATTTCTGATAACTAGGGGACGTTTTCATGATAATTCCATCCATTTTTTGCTAAAATCCTACTTACAACAAGCATTGGGTTACTGAACAATGCAAAAGACCAATTCTAACCGGATCTTCACGGGTTACACAATGGAGATGTAGTATGACACACTGTCACCAGTGTATGAAATAAGGTCTGACTGCCCTAGACGGGCCAGATTTCCGACGGATGGTCTAAATTTACTGCAAGCCAGTCTGATGGTCTTTTTAAGTTTTAGATGTTCCATCATGTTTCTGAGTAAATATATTATCTCTTGGTGTCTGGTCTGGTTAAATCCATTTTGGGCTGGTAACATTTTGAAGTTACCAGCCCTGATGTCTAGCTGGGTTTTTGGCTATTTCATACACTGCAGTCACATAATGAATCTCTGTACAGGGTTTGACCTCCCAATTTCATTTACAAAAATGACAAGCATATTAAAACTCAAATTCCAATAATCTGTTGGTACTGAAGACCAAGTTGTCTGCAGAGCAAGAATTAATATCTATCTATATATATATGAACAGTGTGTAGCATGCTGATAGTATTGTGTTCCCTCTGATATATATCATATAAACAGCAATTACATATGTAGTTTCCTCGGATGAATGCAGAATCGTTGTCATCCATGGAACAGATGTTGCTGCTTCAGTTATACATATCTGAAACTGACAGAAACACCTTTTGAACTTCTGATTCAGTACACAATCAATATACAAGGAGGAATACTATAACCATGACATCTCATTTTATTAATTTGATCTTAATCTTAATTTTATTAATATTAATATTTTCAGTGAGATTGAATTTAAAAAAAAATTGTAAGTCCAAATTTGTTTGCGATAAAAACTGATGGTAGAGATGTATTAAACAAATTCTTCTGAAGTTGATTCTGAAACTGAGTTTTATCTGTTTATGCCAAAAGCTTCAAAGTATGCTATCTTAACATCACCAATCAAGATACAAATTTTAGTTGTTGGACATCATGTCTGTCTGATCACCCTTGTCTGGTACACTTTGAATGACTGCTTGAATTTACTCAGGCATAGAATCGCTATTGTTTTTTGTATTACATTTTTTTAAGAATATTTTATTCCTGTAGGTTATGGCAAAGACCCTCGTCAAGCATTCTGTCGGAGTTTTCACACTGGTGAGCAGCGCCCTCTTGTGGACCAGCCAGATACTCGTGCAGTAGATGTGGACAATGAGACCAGTCCACAGGGTATCCAGGGCGATGGCTGCGTTAACTTCAAGCTATGGATGGAGAGTTGTCAGCGATACGGCCTGCAAAACTGTGACCAACAGCTACAGGGGATCCAGAGCGGAAGGAAAACACTGTCCCAGGTGCTGGCAGAACAAGATGAACTCATTCACAGCATCTCTGAGAAGTATCGTCAGCAGGTGTCTGCTCAGCACCAGGAAGAGGCTGCCGAGACCTGTAGTGTCCAAGGACTGCAGGGAGATTTGAATAGTTTCCCCATAGTTGATACCCCCTGCCCCCAGGGAGTGCAAGGGGAGGACTGTGTTAGGTTCAAACTGTGGCTGGAGAACTGCCACCGCTTTGGGTTCAAAGAGTGCATGGACCAGCTAGATAGTCTCAGCAAAGGAAGGAAATCTCTTGGTCAAGTGTTTGCGGAACAGGATCAGTTGATCCGAAGTGTTGTCACACAGTACCAACAGCGGCGTGGATACTCCACATCAGCCCCTGACTCTAAGTCTGACCCCAAGGTTGGTCAAACTGAAACCCCTAAGCTCACTCAGGCAGAGCAGCTTAAAAAAACCTTTAAAGAATATGGAGCGACTGTGATAGTATTTCATACAGGCATATCCCTGATGTCTCTTGGCGGCTTTTACCTTGCAGTGTCCAGGTAGTGCAGTGCATTGTGGTCATTGTTTCTTTGCATAGTATGGGGAAATGGGATCATGGACTTGTTGCTTAATTTGTTCATGGATTCATTGCTTAATTTGTTCATGAATTCATTGCTTAATTTGTTCTTGGATAATGGACTCATTGCTTAATTTATTCATGGATCGTGGATTCATTGCTTAATTTGTTCATGAATTCATTGGCATAATTTGTTCATTGATCATGGACTCGTTGCTTAATTTGTTCATGGTTTCATTGCTTAATTTGTTCTTGGATTCATTGCTTAATTTGTTCATTGATCATGGATTCATTGCTTAATTTGTTCATGAATTCATTGCTTAATTTGTTCATGGATCATGGACTCGTTGCTTAATTTGTTCATTGATCATGGATTCATTGCTTAATTTGTTCATGAATTCATTGCTTAATTTGTTCATGGATCATGGACTCGTTGCTTAATTTGTTCATTGATCATGAATTCATTGCTTAATTTGTTCATGGATTCATTGCTTAATTTGTTCATTGATCATGGATTCATTGCTTAATTTGTTCATGGATCATGGACTCGTTGCTTAATTTATTCATGGATCGTGGATTCATTGCTTAATTTGTTCATGAATTCATTGCTTAATTTGTTCATTGATCATGGACTCGTTGCTTAATTTGTTCATGGATTCATTGCTTAATTTGTTCATTGATCATGGATTCATTGCTTAATTTGTTCATGAATTCATTGCTTAATTTGTTCATGGATAATGGACTCATTGCTTAATTTATTCATGGATCGTGGATTCATTGCTTAATTTGTTCATTGATCCTGGATTCATTGCTTAATTTGTTCATGAATTCATTGCTTAATTTGTTCATGGATAATGGACTCATTGCTTAATGTGTTCAAGGATCGTGGATTCATTGCATAATTTGTTCATGAATTCATTGCTTAATTTGTTCATGGATTCATTGCTTAATTTGTTCATGGATCATTGCTTAATTTGTTCATGGATTCATTGCTTAATTTGTTCATGGATCATGATGCTTAAATTGTTCATGAATTCAATGCTTAATTTGTTCATGGATCATTGGGTCATTGCATGACATGTTCATTGGGAGGGCTTACATGAGTACATGTGTTCTTAACCTCTGTATCACTGGATACCTCATGTCATTTTCTTTATTGTTGCATCTTTCCCGTTGTGAGATGGGGGTTGGTGAGGACAGGAGGGCCACTGTATTGCAGAGTTACATTCCACAGCTGTCAGTGCAAGAAACCCTTATAATCGTTTGAATCAAAGATTTTCCAAAGTTTGACAATGAAAGGTTGTCTGCTACATTCCCCTGTGAAATTCTTCAGCTGTATGTCACTTCCAACTTTCTTCCGGCATTAAGTTAACCAAATGTGTTATTGCTAATGGGCGGTGGGGTAGCCTAGTGGTTAAAGTATTTACTCGTCATGCCGAAGACTAGGGTTCGAATTCCCACATTGGCTAAATGTGTGTAGCCCATTTCTGGTGTCCCCCACCGTGATATTGCTGGAATATTGCTAAAAGCGGTGTAAAACCAAACTCACTCACTCCCTGTTATTACTAAGCATTGTAAAACAAAACTTGTACAATCGTGACATGGGTGGGGGTAGAAATCAGATGTATGGCTCATATTCATTTTGAGGGAGTTTTGAGTTGATATTGATCATAGTCTAAGGTGTTACTTGCAATCTTTGCTTGTTTTTTGACCAAATACTTTTTCCCATCCCTATCATTCCGCAGAATTTTGCTTTATGTTTGCTGCTTACCCAAGTGTACAGTCACATTTCAGTGTGAGACATTAACTTAAACATGCCTTCCTCTTCATACTTCTACTGACAGTACTACAGAGTTTTACTTGCACCAAAATGTCGCAGGGCACCAAATGGCTAATTTCAAGGGCCCTTAGAGGAGATATGAGGGTTCTGGAAAGAGATGAAATAAAGAACACATCAGCCAACAACAGGACCCCAGATTTAGGATTCCATGATATCATATGGGCTGTTATCAGTTCAGTTACCTTCACAAAAGATACTTCTACTGCTTGACATGATTTAAAAGCATGAGATTATTGCTAAAAGAGGCATAAATATAAACTCACTCACTAAAAGCATGAGATAGGTCACATAACCAATAAAAATTTAATTTTTACATGAGCTAGCAAAATCCTTCAATTGTAAATAAAGGTCTTATATAACAAGACAAATGCTTTTACTTCACCAAAAATGTTCACTTTGTAGGTGATTAGTCTTTTTTGTGTAATAATATGTCACTGGATTATGTGACAGGTTATCAAGAACAAAGATGCTTTCATACACAAATGGCAAGTGTCATTGACTTGTGTAACAAACTTTTTACAACACTTGACATGAAACTAATGAGAAGCAGTCTCTCTGTCAAGCTTTGCTGATTGTGAGCTTCACTGCATATGTCAATGCTTTTGGGGAATAATGTTAACCTGTCATTGCTGTATGCTCCAGTATGACCAGGAAACAAACACCTCATTATATTAATGCTAAGGCCTAAAAAAAAAAGCTTGTGGTTCTGATTTCCCGACCGACCCTAAATATTCCCGCCAAGCCTAACAATTTTACTCACCACATAATAAATTAAATTTATTTTCTGACACATGAGTAATGTAAAGATATTTTGCAAAGAAAAACAAAAACCCTACCTACCTACCCTAGTTCTGACATGTAGGAAATTGGAACCACAACATTTATTTTTTTGGGGCCTAACATGAATTTCATGATATACAGTGTATAATTATATAGATTCAGGATTTAATTAATCTTATGTTTATGCCAGTACAAATGATATGTTTCGTATCCATGAAACAAGGGGTAGTGTGGTAATTGGGTGGTTCAAGGGTTAGCTCATCATGTTTGAAGTGATTCCCCACAGGTACATTGTGTGGAGACTTTTCTGGCACAGTCATGAAAGATGAAAAGAATTTTAACATAATGAAACCTAATGGTTTGATAGTTGTACCTCACACAATCCTGGTGTAATTTGATGATCTTGTATTTAATTTCTACTAAAGATACTTCCCTTATGTTTTGTGACATTGCTGACTACAATTTTCCCCTTTTGCTTTTCAGTGGAATTGACATGGTGTCACTTTTGGACAAGATCGGGATTGGGAAGACTTTGGTGGGATCAGAGGCTGTTGTAGCGGGGGCAGGAACTTTTGTGGTGGCTTATGCCGTTCACAAGGTGTTCGCTCCAGCACGAATTGCCATCACCGTCTCCGTAACACCCTTCCTTGTCAGATATCTGAGGAAAGTTGGCATCCTGAAACCCCCCAAACCCAAGGACATAAAACCTGTTGAAAAGTGATTTTGGATTTAAACATGATTAAGTCAATTAGACCAACATGTTTTGAAGAAGGTTCTGTGTTGGCCAGACATGGATCAAAATGACTTGTATGAGACTAAAAGTCAGGCTTCTATGTGTACGCACATCATTTGTTATGTACCGTTGATTTTGTTGTAGGGATGTTGTCCAAATTACAACGAGGTATGAGTGGCCCAAAGTCTTACATGCCACCTGATCGGTGTGTAGAGTTATGTCCCTTGGTCATAAAAGAACCTGATAATTATGGGGTTGAAATCCTGTCTTGGGTTGTCATTTCTGTACCTGCCTACCTAGACCGCCATAATTTTAGACCTTCCTCTAACATTTAAGTTACCATGCTGGTATATAACTGAAATACTTTATCAGAGCTCTGCCATGTCCGAATCTGCACATCTGGCTGTACAGAGTTGCTTCCCTTGGATACAAGGCTATGATAATTATGGGTACATGATGTTCACCATTTGCATTGTTGTAAGTGATGCAAGTCAATAAACTAAGAACAGGATTATCAAATCTTCTGCTGAAACATTGTAATTAAGAAGTTTTACATATTCATTTTGCATGTTCCGATTGGTGACAATCTGTTTCTTGCTGTGGCATTGGCCAATTTGATGTTAGTGTGACGGCAACGTTATCAGATGTGACAGTGGAAATCGATCAAATGGACAAATGCTATAATGAAGTGTTCAAGTGAGTGAGTGAGTGAATGTTGTTTTCCATAGCATCATGAAGTGCAATGACAAAAAGTCAGCCAAGTCACACGTAATTTCTTGACCTTATGTTCGCATGGCGACCAATATGACAAGGAATTCCACATTGATCTTTATGTTAAAAGTTGGGTAGTGAAGGTCTTTCATTGGCTACTAGTCACATAGCCCAAGATTAGAGAAAATCTGGAGGGACGTGTTGTTCTGTCCTGAAATTTAGATCATTTACTTGAGCCGCTTTTCCAGCATGACCTGTGGTCTGGGTTGATGTGATAATGCCGCCCCTCCATTAAGACTGTGGCAAGACCTTCCTTCCCACTTTTCTACACTATAGATAGCATATTTTCTGTTTATGTATTTTGTTAAAGTGCTTCTGTGAATGTATCCTTACATTAATGATTTGAGATTTTGTTATTTTTGGATGGATCAATTGCTCTAATATATTTTAAGATGTAAAGCATTATCTCTGAAATGAAACCGTTTTTTGGTGAGGAGATGTGTTAAAGAAATAATAGATATTATTACTGTTATTATTTGTTAGAGTATGATTAAAACTATAACTTCTGTAATTATTAGTTAACTATTATACTCTGGACAGTAGAAAGCATATTTGGTAACTATAACCTGTACCTCTTCTCTTTACTCTGAGTGAGATTATAGGATTAGTTTACTGAACTCTCTTGGTAATTCACTTAACTCTAGGAAATATGGCATGATAATGATGTTGGACAAAGAATAGTTCTATCTGGTGGTCATATTAATTCCTATAGTACTTTCATTCACCCTGTGTCACAGTTGATGTAGTGCAGATGTTGATATGTGTAATAGTGTAACTGTTAAGTGAGACTTCAATATCTGTGTCATGAGGACACAGTCATCTTCTCAAATTTCAAACAGCTAATTTTTAATCTATTTAGTGTGGATAATAAAGGTAAAAGATAAGCAGTACCGATGTTACGAAATGTTTGTCAGATATTTCCTGAGTGTCCATACTTCCTTTTTCTGTGACTATCATCCTATATCATATTATACGTTATGCTGTGTTGTACAAAGCTTCTTACTGTGTCAGTCCCATGTTATTCAGGTGATTCATATGTAGTTATTTTGTCTGATTCTATGCTTATTTGATCTGTTCTGCTTACTTAGCTCATCATGGGGCAGTGTATGAAATAAGGCCCGTCCGACAGCCCGAGACGGTCTAGATTTCTGACGGACGGTCTAAATTTACAGCTAGCCAGCCCGATGGTCTGGTAAAAATTGTAGATGTTCCATATATCTGAGTAAAATTCAGAATATTTGGTCTGGTTAAATCCATTTTGGGCTGGTAACATTTTGAAGTTACCAGCCCTGATGTCTGGCTGGATTTTTGGCTTATTTCATACACTGCATGAGGTAACTTTTTACAGCCACAAGCCCATCTCACTGACTGGCCCACACAGAGGGTGTTTTTCTCCATAAGACATTGTTATGAGATTGTTGATTACAAGTATAGAAATGCTTGGTAATTCCATTGTCAGCAAAGAGGCTGAGGGTATACTTGTGAGTGTTTTCGTTTCATGACATATTTATTCTATGTTATAAAATAAAAACAATGAATAAATTGTGGTTGTATTGTAGTTGTCATGAATGGACGACATCTGCCTGGACTGGTGAATAATCTACTAGTCCAGGGTCACAATCCACAACACATTCTTAGTGCTACGACATTCATAGGCTAATGGGAAACTATAGAGTTGCATAACGTCAAATGCTTTGTGGATTGGGACCAGGTTGTTTAAGCCTTTGTGATGATGAAGGCTGTGTTTGATGCTGTACATGAATACAATTAGGGAAGACCAGTAATAGTGCCCTCGTTATTTAATGCCTTATGCAATATTCCAGTTTAATGATGGCGGTCTCTAATCCTATCATTGACATCACGAGCAACCATCTCCACAGCTGGGACATGATGACATGCATCCACCTGTTTGACCACCTGATCCCATTAGTTGCCAAGCATGGGTTGCTGAAGACTAATTCTAACCCTGATCTCCTGTGCTGTGATGTTATCAGTACATAATGTAAAACCCTACCCACTCACTGCCTCAAACCTATCTGCATCACTTCTAACTGTCCAGGGAGGATGCCTTGGTTAAAGCGTCTAAAGACCGAGTTCGAATCCCCACATGGGTACGTGATAGTGCAGGGTTTGGAAATTAACTGCAAAAACCATTTCCTGTCTAACTGTCTGCTGATTAACAGTTAACATTGATAGTGCAGGGTCAGTTTCTTATTTCCTGAGCATTGGGAGATTAGGTTAACATTGTAGGGTAGCTTTCTTATTGAGCATTGGGGGCGGTGGGGTAGCCTAGTGGTTAAAGCGTCTGCTCGTCATGCTGAAGACCCGGGTTCGACACCCCACATGGGTACAATGTGTGTAGCCCATTTCTGGTGATATTGCCGGAATGTTGCTAAAAGCGGTGTAAAACCATACTCACTCACTCAATATTGAACATTGATCAGCTGATACCAGAGATTAAAATATTAAAATTTCTTCTTACTAATGTTCAGAACAAGGTTTCATAGCATTGGAAATTATATTAGTCATTTTAGGTAAATTTAATGTCAGAAGGGTGCCCTTGAATTATTTCCCAATATGGGTACTATAGATGAAGATCATTTCTGGCACTTCTACCAAGATACTGCTTGAATATTAATTATGAAACTTACCTAAAACTATCATCGCGCACACTTGTCTCAACATGAGAGTATAAAGTGATTGCAATAAACCCTTTTGAAACAAAATGAAGGTTCCCTGTGACTTACACAATGACTTCGGGAACATAAGGGCACAAAGAATGAAGTCGGCTATGGAAAATTGAGGGAAACATCTGCATATGCCTGGTTTTACCCATTTGTCGGTACAGCAGGGTACCGTTGTACAAAACAACCATAGAGCAAAGTCTGTGTTAAGATATGGGAGTTACTGTCACCTTAGGTCTAAGATCGTTTTGTACAACGGCACCCTGATAGGTCTTGACATTTTGATGTTACTGGAAAATGGACGTTTTGTCCCGTTCCTTCACAAAAAGCCCTTGCAAATTTCTCCGTTCGTCCGTCTGTTCTGCCCATAGGATAAAACACCCTCTGTGTTTATTTTTGAGTTGACAGGTGATAATATGATGTTTTCTGAGCAGTTCCTCCCACCGCTGCCAGTTGTTACAGGCTCCCCAGTGACGTTGTTTATTTAACAATGGAATGAAGTCTGCTAAATGTTGTTTCAGAGAACTGGCTTAAATTGGTCACTTCCTCTTATGTTTGATTTTGTTGGGCAGGTACTCATTGTGGCATCTACATACCCCCCAAAAGCCTTAAACAATTCTATAATCTCCCAGCAAACTCCAGTATCTTTACAGCAGAACTATCGGAGTCCATGGCAACGAAATGGCAGACCAAGCTGCCAAACTTGGACTCTACTAAAAACACAAAATAAAAATACCTTACTCCAAAACAGACCTGACAAATAAAGTCAACAATATAATAATAAATAAATTCAATTATAACTGGCAAATAATAGGAAAACATTATCCACTCTACCAATATTAGACTGGTATGAACTGTATCAACTGCACAAGAGCATTACGTGCTTGGTGATTTACATTTGTGAAGTATGTGCTATTACATATGCTATTTAATGTCATATCATATCATATCATATCATATCAGGGGCGGTGGGGTAGCCTAGTGGTTAAAGCGTTGGCTCGTCACGCCGAAGACCCGGGTTCGAATCCCCACATGGGTACAATGTGTGAAGCCCATTTCTGGTGTCCCCCGCCGTGATGTTGCTGGAATATTGCTAAAAGCGGCGTAAAACCAAACTCAGTCAGTCAGTCAAGACCTGACCATCCACAGAAACATTCCCAATGAGGCAAGAAGACAAAACAGTAATAAAAACAACACGAATGGATCACAAAAACTGGCCAAAAGAATTAAAGGGTTTCAAATCCCATTTAACAATAATTTATGGTACGTCAGTACAGGAAAAATGTATGCATCAGAATACAGAGAAATTTCCGCTAAAACATTTAAAAAAGATAACGATGTAGTTCCTATGTTGAGCTTCAAAATTACGTAATAAAGCTTCCAATTCAACCCCCTTTGACTCGAACTGTTGAAAGGATTTTTGTCGTGAAAGTTTTAATTACAAACAAAAAGGAATTTAATGTATTTGGGTTAAACTTGACGAGCTAAAAAACATTCTAACAGCAACGATAATTACAAGTAGGCTTTTGAAGCACCTTACTCAATATACAATGTCTGCTCAAGGTACAACATTGGTATTTCTCGGCCAGTGATTCATGATGCTGAACATGGTTTCCTCAGCCGAGATTGCTTAACTTTGTCTGATTTGTGGCTCATGACTTCGCCACAGATGAGGCACTGATTACTGATAGACTATAAAGGGGAACAACGCTCTAACTTTGAATTGCTGTCAAACGCTGCCCAATAGGGCTCATTAGCTGCTGTGAATCAATTTGCTTGCTTGCCAACTGAAATGACGTATGGTACAAGAAAGCCTTATGATGGCAAATATCACTGTCCATGCTGAAAACAACAGTATGCCAGGGGTGATTGTTTACAGATAACCCTATTGTATATTACTTAAAATAAGTTGAAGAACACAGATTCTTTCATATTGGTCTTCAGTAACCCATTACTCATTGGATCTGGTGATAAGGTTGACACTTGGTTGACACAGGTCATCGTATCCCAATTGTGTAGAACGATGCTCATGATGTTGATCATTGGATTGTCTAGTCCAGACTCCAGACTCAATTCTTTACAGACCGCCGCAATATAGCTGGAATATTGCTGAGTGCGGCGTTAAACAACAAACCAACCAACCAATCATATCATTATAGTTAAACTGCCATGTCTGTCATGTTAACTTTAGCAAAGACGTATCTATACAGAGTATATATATTTATGTCTTTAACTTTAGTAGTGAAATGAATGAAACAATCAGGTATTCTGTATTTTTATTTCTTTAAGCTGTGAATAAACTGCTGTTTGCAATCCCTCCCTTGCCGATGCCCAAAGTGAACAAAATAACATTCGTGTAAAACGACCGAACATCAGAGGTTTCTGCGATTTGAACTCAAAAGTGAATATTCTCTTTGAAAGTCTGGTTCGGTGTGAATATTAGAGTTACCTGCCCTTGTGGACACTTCAGCGGCAAGAGATGACCGTCAAACTCACATGGTGTCGGCTCCTGATCACATACAAACAATGTCGCAGTCTTTCTACGATTGCTGTGTCGGGAAAGGATGCGAGGAGGAGAGACACAGGAAAATCCCGTGTTGCGATGAGCACAAATACCTTAGACCATAGGACATTCTGTAAAGAACTTGTTCGGTGCGTTGTGACATCCACTTTTTCGGACGTAAATCACAGAAACATTCGTAAAATCTCCTCCAGTATTTAGAGATGTCCAAGATATCAATATGACAGGGGTTTCAAATGTGTTTTGCTTATGTGTGACTTGCTCAATATTGTTATAGTTCAGACGGCGCCTTTACACAGTATTCCATTTACTCCTCTTGTAAAGAGTACGGCAGTTTTCATACGCTTTTGGTGGAAATCATACATTAGAGTCTGTTCGGAAGGGGATTCCTACTTGCAGAGACACTCTGCATCTCACCACTTAATCTTGAAGTATGACACAAGCTCGATCTGAACTCATTATTGGATTATTTATAATTTGGAATCAAACATTGGTAAATTAAAGAGTCAATATATTTGGTGCATCCTCGCACTGTGTCCCTGCTCATATACATATCCATAAAAAAATGCTCATAATTTTGGAATGTCGTGTGAAAAAAATGTAAAAGGACATGAGAAGGGTTTTAAATAGAACTGACAAGCCTAAGGGGAGTATTATTATTTCAAGCACATAATTGAATCTAAAAACTTTGGCCCACCACCCTGGGGTAAATGACTGTCCCTGAGAAGTTTGTCCATGTTCACAGAAAGCATGACTATGAGAACTACCTGTGCTGTCTACTGCTGCCTGGAGCTACACAGAGAGCAGCGCTCGCTCTGAGGGCATTCAATGTTGAGCTGGCACAGGTAAAGTTAGTCACTTGTTGATATAGGATATAACACCTGTAGTTTTGTTGGAATTGTGATGAAGGGGAAACAGATTGATATAAGGGTCATGTTTTTCAGGAGTTATATAAGGTAACTGTAGAGTAGACTATATGTAGTGCATTAATAATCCTCATGACAAGTGGGAATAACCATTCCTGCTCATGTCTCTATGGTGTATAACATAAAAAAACAATAACACTTCAGAGAGTATATAATTCTCAAAAGAAATTAAGGTGCATCCAAATCTTTAGTAATACTGTAGTTAATCTGTCATACTGATTAATGACAGTAATATGAAGAATGGAAAAATCCTTAACTCTTCTGAGTAGTGTATTGTCAATATATCACTGAGTTTTCCTATGTGAAGGTTCGGGAGACTGTGTCAGACAAGCAGAGGGGAATATTGAGAATGCAGTTCTGGAAAGACAGCATAGATCACATTTATAAGGTAAGATTTAGGTCCTGTGTGATGATTCATGCATTTAACTCTTCAAAAGTGTAACAGAAGAATGTAAGAATATTTGATATATGCCAAAGTCCATAATTTGAAGCATGCTCATAGACCTACCACTGTTATTACCTCAACAACCCGCGCTTGTCATAAGAGGCGACTAATGGGATCAGGTAGTTACACTTGCTGACTTGGTTGACACACGTCATCGTATCCCAATTGCGTAAATCGATGCTCATGCTGTTGATCTGGATTGTCTGATCCAGACTTGATTATTTACAGACTGATGCCATATATAGCTGAAATATTGCTGAGTGCGGTGTTAAGCAACAAGCAACAAAAAACAAAATCAGTAAACAGATCAGTGCACTGACCTTTCTTTCAAACCTCCCTTGGAGTATGTTAATAAACCTATCTGTGAATCCTCTTAAACATATGAGCACTAGTGAGAGTGTTTGGGCCATAGATTCCAGAGCTGTAACTATATCCTTTGTCATGTTACAGCACAAACCTAGTATACATTAGAATCTGTCTTTAGTAAGGAATGCTTGTCATAAGAGGCGACCAACATGATCGAGTGGTCAGACATTCAGTGAGTCACTATATCTGCAATTGATTCTCATGTAGCCATGCCATGCCATTTAAAGATGGGAAGCCGCAAAACTCTTGAGCCTACAGGATGACTTAGCTTCAATTTCAGTGGATATTAGTGTTCAAATATGAGTTGTTTTAACCTGAGCTTACTTGACCAAACAGAATTTTACGAGATTCAGGTGTCAGACTAGTGGCTGGAGTACAAGACAGGGGAATACGAAATTAATAGCTGTCTTGACTAAAACGGGACTGTGACTTCTAGTAGGTTCCCAGCTGTAACCTGGGCCTAGATTTTCGAAGCTGTCTTACCGCTAAGATAGTCGTAAGTTAATGTTAATGTATGGTACGTATGACTATCTTAGCGCTAAGAGAGCTTAGAAAATCTAGGCCCTAGCTCCTAGCTCTATTGTATCTATTGTTACATTGTTACCCAAATTATCAACCTTTGATTTATCAGTGTCTATCAGTGGCCTTGGACCACACTGACATACAGTTCATGGAGATGTTCTGTCTGTTCCAGGGCTCACCCCCCAAGACACCCGTGGCAACCGAGTTGGCAGGTGTAAGTGTCTCTTGTGTCTCTCTCTATGGTGCTGACAGCTGTCACAGCCTTTAGACAGCAATCTACTGGGGCTTTTATTCAAGTGACGATTGTTTGCAGTATTTCAATTCAACATCAATCTCATTAAGAACTATTTCGCTACAATATAGTACTTCTCTGTATGAAGAACTAAGGACGCTCCTATTAGAGGTCCTCTCAGGTGAACTTTCGCACCAGTGTGTATAGTATTAGGCTCCGTCCGTCCATACGTATGAATTGGAATATCTTAAGAACCGTTGACTAGATTCTTTTCATATTTGGTACCTGGCTTCATCACAGTATAAGAAAGGTCCAAGTCAGGTTTGGTGACCTTGACAAGGGGACTTTAACGTTTTACCAGCATGTTAAGCTATCTCAAGAACCGTTCACTGGATTTTCTTCATATTCAATACCAAGCTTTAGTGCAGGGAAAGTGCAGGGCCCAGTCGATTTTGGTGGCCTTCACCTAATTTTCGAGGTCATGGTGACACTTTGCAGATTTCAGCATGTAAACCTGCATGTTAAGCTATCTCAAGAACCTTTCACTGGATTTTCTTCATATTTGACTCCAAGCTTTATCTAGGGAAGGCGCAGAGCCCAGTCAATTTTGGTGACCTTCACTTAATTTTCAAGGTCACAGAGACACTTTGAAGATTTCAGCATGTTAAATTGCATGTTAAGATAGTCAGCAAGATATCGCAAAAAATATTTACAGGATTTTCTTCATATTTGACACCAAGCTTCATCTAGGGAAGGCCCAGGGCTCAGTCAATTTTGGTGACCTTCACATAATTTTCAGGGTCACGACAAAGATTTCGACCTGAATTGTCAGCAAGATATTTCAAGAACGGTTCACTGGATTTTCTTCATAGACTTTCAAGACTTCCCTTGAATGTTTTTCAATAAGCAATTTCTTTAGTACTATTTTTGCATATTTCATACACTATGACATTCATGTCAAGGTCAAAGTCAGTCTTGAAAATATGTGTGTGTTTGAACAACTAAAGAGCAAGATATCAAGAGAGGTTGACTGGTCATGTTTTTGTTGACATTTACCTTCATCTTAAGCTTTCATTACTTTATAAGTTTGATTTGATAATTATGTCACCTTAGTGACAATGCTTGTTAATTCTTGTTATGAGTGAGCAAAGCATTCAGACCAGCTCACTGATTTCTTTATATGTACTAAAACAACAGGCCCTGAACGTAGATATGAATGTAGCTACTGCATTATCTTGTTGATATTTTATGCACCCCAATGCTTCTGTGAGCCATGGCGTCTGCTTCCAACAAGGAGCAAAACCGAAAGAAAATTTGTAGTCTTGTTTGGTTTCATTTGTACAATTCGAAATTTATTATTTGAGTTGGTAAAGACTGAAGTCAGTTGGTTTAGCAAGCAAACACCTGATGGGCTCAAAACCTATTCATCCTGCATTTGGATTAGGTGTTAAAAATTAATTATGATTCACCTTATGCTAAAACTTGAATACAGAGAGGTATTTCATACAGGTAAAAGATCTTTTATTTTAACTGGGTAATTTTTAGATGTAGGGAATGGAAAACCTGCTGTGAGACGTAACAGTGCTCACTGATGCTAGAACTGTATGTAAAGTTTCATATAATCACGACTTGATACTAGTTTTTGTTGCCATCTTGTTATGTTTTGAATTATCTGTGTTCCTGAAGAGATTCTGTTCCATTACCAGCAGTTCGTGAGATTCTTGCTGGTAAGGTGAGGTCGGGTAGTCCAGTGGTTGCTTGTCAAAATATGGACCTGGGTTCTGTTCCCTTCATGGTGTAAAGCTCAATCTTGTTCTTGTCACGATACTGTATAAAAGCATCACATTAGTCTGAAGACTCTCTCATTCATACTGCTGTGTTACATCTTCATCTCATTGTGATGTCAAACGGTGTGAGCTGTAGGTGAGGCAGCACGTGTAACCAGTATCGAAGGCTACAGAGGTACAGATAAGCTGCGTATCTGCGTAAATTACGCAAACATTTATCTGAAAACCCAATTCCCATTAAGTCTATTGCGTACAAGTACGCTTGAAGTTGTGTAAATACTCAATAAATGTGATCTTACATGCGTACACACAAAAATGTCAAGTCGTAGCTTGCGTACCGGTGGATAGATAAAATAGCTGACATATTGAGAGGCTCTATTTTAGGACATGAGCTTGACATATTGCAGTCTTTCTTATCGTTTCTCATATTAGATATCAAAGGTAAATCACAAACACTATTATTTAAGCTATATTATATATTTTTCCTTATCCTGACTCATGCTCTTTTGCTTGTCTTCTTCTTCTTGCGAACATAGTGGAAACACTTGTATCTCCTTAATTGAAGCTCCCTTCAATGTAAAATCACTAATTAGTACTCACCACGAGTTGCTCCCCTTTAATCCCTTTTGGCGGGAAAGGTGTCGCCACCTTACACCTCGTGCTTCACTCTCTCCTTCTTCGCCCAGTGAGCAGGATGCTAGAGCGCCTGTGTCTCCTTACACAACATATCCTTTGATTTTTCTTAGTTTATTACTTCTTATAGTGTACTATAGAGGTATAGCTAGTATCCTTCAGTAATTTGTATTGATTATTTATCGTATTTCTACTGTTTATTCACGTGTATTCGTGATTGTTCAGCTAGTATTACGTTGATGAAAATCTGTACTATTTGTAGATTACGTTTTTCTGCCTCAGATCCGCATGTAATATGCCCTAGTTGTTCTACGCCGTGTGCGTTTGATTCACGTTGCAGTTATTGCATGGATTTATCTAATTCTGCATTTAATAAATACTATCTTTGCGTCTTAAGACGTGCTGCAGATAGGTCACGCAAACAAGGGCTAAATATGGCTGATACTCCAGATACTCCATCTAGTCAGCTGCTGGCGATCGACCCCCTACCGTCTGGTGTTCTGCTAGAGACATCACCACAGAAGATGTCTCTGGCATTCACCATTTCGGCCCTTTGGTCCTCGCTCAACAGCTGACAGTCCCTCGTAGGCGTTAAAATATTACCATCACAAGTTTAATATGTATTATATACATAATTTAGCTAGCTTATAACTCTAAGGAGTTCTAGAGCTATGTATATATATTTAGCTTAGGTCTTTCACCCCTAAGTATATATGGATATTATTTTTAGTTGTACAGCGACTCTATCAGAGTCACTTATATATATATATAATATACGTAATGTTTTTTTCAATATATATCAATGTAATACCCAATTATGGCATTATATAACCTATGGTTTATATACAGGAAATATCCTAAGTCAATGCCTTCATGAAGTTCCCATACCAGTTATTACAGTTATATTTATACAAAATCACTAATTATAAATCCAAAGTATTCTATTACTCCCTCCTCCGTTCCGTAGGATTCTACAAGCAAAAGAGCATGAGTCAGGATAAGGAAAAATATGTAATTTTTAGAGTAAAATTGATATTTTATACTTATCCTGACTCATGAGGTCAGCCCTCCCATCCTCCCCACATAACACTTTGGATTTCCCTGTAAATTCAAGTGTTGGGCTCGCAAAATCAGGAGAGAGTGAAGCACGAGGTGTAAGGTGGCGACACCTTTCCCGCCAAAAGGGATTAAAGGGGAGCAACTCGTGGTGAGTACTAATTAGTGATTTTACATTGAAGGGAGCTTCAATTAAGGAGATACAAGTGTTTCCACTATGTTCGCAAGAAGAAGAAGACAAGCAAATGAGCATGAGTCAGGATAAGTATAAAATATCAATTTTACTCTAAAAATTACATTTTTAAAATTAATGGAAAATGGCAAAATACCCAAATGAGTTTGATTGAGGTGAGTACAATTTATTTGGTTACTCAAAGGAAAATTAGGATACCCAATTGAGATGAACACAAGGGAGTACATAACTCAATGACCCAAAAAGTTATCTGTAGCTCTGGGCTAGTTTATATGTTCTGCGTTTCAGGCTATTCATCACTTCAAACTGACAAGGAAATGGCTGACACGGATCATAGAAGCAAGGGTAGGATATTGTACAACCATTTGTAGATAATAGTGGCAAGTGACATGTATGATGTATGTTTGTATGGTGCAGGTAACATGCGCTTTCCGACATAATCGCGATTTGCACACGGGTTCGCTGCTGTCGTGTTGCAGGCACTGTGTATAATGTCTGTTTGTGTGTGCATTGATGAGAAGTATGACATGATTTTGTGCGTTAAAGGCCCATTTCTGATATGAGTTTGTCTGTTGCAGGCAGATAACCTGTCAGACCAGGGCTACAGGAACACTGCGGAGGTGGAGGCGTATGCTGAGAACACTGTGTCTTCCATCATGTACCTGCTCCTGGAGTGTCTCGGTGAGATGGGCGGACATAAACCAGGAGGCTGACCTTCACCTTCACAATGGTGAAAGGGAGGCTCTTCCCACAGGCTAGCTTGGTTGGTTTGTTGTTTAACGCCGCACTCAGCAGTATTCCAGCTATATGGCGACGGTCTGTAAATAATTGAGTCAGGACCAGACAATCCAGTGATAAACAGCATGAGCATAGACCTACGCAATTGGGATACAATGTCATGTTTCAATTAAGTCAGCGATCCAGACCTACCAAATCCTGTTAGTCGCCTTTTACGACAAGCATGGGTTGGTGAAGATCAATTCTAACCCGGATCTTTACAGGTCCACAGGCTAGCTAGTGTCTAGTCCAGTTCCAGATGTTGTAATATATCATGTTGAACTGAGACTTGTGGAAGCAATTGATTTGTTACATTTTGTCTGTGTAATTATAGTAATCTGAGATATTGTTTTCATAATTAGGATACCTTATTGTGTTGCACAAAATATACTCTGACACATGCATGTTGTACTCCAGTTGTCATTAGGGATACAAGGCAACTGTAGTGCTATCATGTGAACTACAATGGCAACAATATTTGTACTATGTTTTCTTCAAGGAATAAAGAATGTACATGCTGATCATGCTGCCAGTCACATTGGCAAGACTCAGGGCCTGGTCACACTGCTACGTTCAACACCATACCATGCTAGCAGGAGTCGGGTGTATTTACCTCTAGATCTGATTGTTAAGGTAAGCCATGCCAGCAGGTGTTGAGTGTATTTACCTGTAGATCTGATTGTTAAGGTAAGTTATGTTGATAAGACTCAGGGCCTGGTTACACTGCTACGTTTAGCACCATACCATGCCAGTAGGAGTCGGGTGTATTTACCTCTAGATCTGATTGTTAAGGTAAGCCATGCCAGCAGGTGTTGAGTGTATTTACCTGTAGATCTGATTGTTAAGGTAAGTTATGTTGATAAGACTCAGGGCCTGGTTACACTGCTACGTTTAGCACCATACCATGCCAGTAGGAGTCGGGTGTATTTACCTCTAGATCTGATTGTTAAGGTAAGCCATGCCAGCAGGTGTTGAGTGTATTTACCTGTAGATCTGATTGTTAAGGTAAGTTCTGTTGATAAGACTCAGGGCCTGGTTACACTGCTACGTTTAGCACCATACCATGCCAGTAGGAGTCGGGTGTATTTACCTCTAGATCTGATTGTTAAGGTAAGCCATGCCAGCAGGTGTTGAGTGTATTTACCTGTAGATCTGATTGTTAAGGTAAGTTCTGTTGATAAGACTCAGGGCCTGGTCACACTGCTACGTTCAACACCATACCATGCCAGTAGGAGTCGGGTGTATCTACCTCTAGATCTGTTTGTTAAGGTAAGCCATGCCAGCAGGTGTCGAGTGTATTTACCTGTTGATCTGATTGTTAAGGTAAGTTATGTTGATAAGACTCAAGGCCTGGTCACACTGGTACGTTCAACACAATACCATGCCAGCAGTAGTCGGGTGTATCTACCTCTTGATCTGATTGTTAAGGTAAGCAATGCCAGAAGGGATCAGGTGTATCTGCACCTAGACCTGATTGTTAAGTCAGACAATGCCAAAAGATATTGGGTGTATCTGACCAGGGGTGTGATTGTTAAGGTAGACAATGCCAGGTGTCAGGTGTATCATGCCATAGATGTTATTGTTAGATAGTGCCAGAAGATGTCAGGTGTATCTCACCTGAGTTGTGATTGTTAAGGTAGACCATGCCAATAGGAGTCAGGTTTATCTACCCCTAGGTATGATTGTTAATGTAGGTTATATCATCCCTGAGCACTTCATGAAATGAAATGTGACACTATACCCAGGTGGAGTTTAAATCCAAGACACATTGGTGACTGGTTCGCTTGCTCCAGGCCCAGCCACCTGCAGTATGTATATCACTCACCAGTCACAATCATCTGTTCCCAGCACAAGGTATCCCAGGAGAAGATCATCCGAGGCAGAGATGAGCAGGCAGTGAAAGATGTCATGTACGATCTGGCCAGCTCAGCACACAAGCACCTGGCAACAGTGAGTATCTGCCACCAAATAGTGTGGGTCAGTCAGTGAGTTTAGTTTGGAACTGAACACATGATCGCTGGATTGTATCACATGTAAGGGAAGCAACTCTACAGTGCAAATTACAGCACCTTAGACAAGAGGGCAGTACGTCCCCATACAACACACTACCTGTAAGTACTCTACTGGAACATGGTATGTGCAGATATGTATATGTATCAGGGGTGGAAATAACCCAGTGCCCGACGCCCGAGTCCAGTGCTTTTTGCTGTTGGGAAAGCATATTTGTCTGTCACACTGTACCGGTGTCCAGTTGACTTTCCAATCTTAATTATGTTATTTATTTAAAAAATCAACAAGAAAATCGGCCAGTATAGTGGAAAAATTATCAGGGCAAGTGATTTTACTTGTGCCACTGTACCGGAGTACACTAGCAATTTTAAAGTTATTTCTAGCCCTGTGTATATGTGTTACCTGTGAGAGTATTATTGGAGGCATCCTGTTTCAGGGTGTGTATATGTTCCCTAAAAGACTCAGGGTTTGTGTATAACGACTTTAGGGTGTGTGGTCAAATGGTTTACTGCACTGATAACTTCAGTGTTTTCTCATATTTCATCGTGTTTTCCCTTATGCCTTAAGGGGGTGGTGTGGTAGCCTAGTGGTTAAGGCATTCTATCATCATGCCAAAGACCCAGGTTTGATTCCCCACATGGTTACAATGTGTGAAGCCAATTTCCTGTGTCCCCCGCTGTAATATCGCTGTGATACTGCTGGAATACCAAAAGTGCCTGGCATAAAGGTAAACTCACTTGCTCAAGGCAGGTGCTCTAATAGCTTCAGGATTTGTCCTAAATATTCTTGATCTTGTTACTGGTATTGAATCTCAAGCATCCATGTCTGTGGGGTATGTCACAATGTCTGTTTACTTAAAGGTGTTTTGTTCCAGGCAAGATCATTCTCGAAGGATGTTCCAAAGGAAGCCAGTCTGGTGTTCCTGAACACGGTGAGTACATTTGAGTGAGTCTGGACTACTGTTGAACAGTAACTAGGTGGCAGTATATCACATCACCTACCTCCAATCTAATCCTGTATTCACCACAATCAACACAGCTGTCCCCAATTTCCAATCTCATCCCACACACAGTTTCAACACAATTTCCCCACCTCATTCCTTATCCACATAAATGTTGAAGGCCAGGTTTAGAACTGGTCTTCATCAATCCAGGCTTTGTGAGTAAAGGATTTTAGGGTCAGGCCTGCTGACTGGGTTGATGCATGTCATTGTATGACGGATGGGGATGACATTCAGCTGGAAAATTACTGAGTATCACATTAAACAACATATAAAACATGTCCATCTACCCGATCATCTTTCACATCTTTCCATATCCACCATCCTCACCACTATCCATTATCCACCATCCACCACTATCCTTTGTCCACCATCCTCACCACTATCCATTGTCCACCATCCTCATCACTATCCATTGTCCACCATCCTCATCACTATCCATTATCCACCATCCTCATCACGATCCATTGTCCACCATCCTCACCACTATCCATTGTCCATCATCCTCATCACTATCCATTGTCCACCATCCTCACCACTATCGATTATCCTCACCACTATCCATTGTCCACCATCCTCATCACTATACATTATCCACCTTCCTCACCACTATCCATTGTCCACCTTCCTCACCACTATACATTATCCACCATCCTCATCACTATACATTATCCACCTTCCTCACCACTATCCATTGTCCACCATCCTCATCACTATACATTATCCACCTTCCTCACCATTATCCACCTTCCTCACCTCACCTATCCATCATCAACCATCCTCACCACTATCCATTATCAACCATCCTCACCACTATCCATTATCCACCATCCTCACCACTATCCATTGTCCACCATCCTCACCACTAGCCATTGTCCACCATCCTCACCACTATCCATTATCCACCATCCTCACCACTATCCATTATCCACCATCCTCACCACTATCCATTGTCCACCATCCTCACCACTATCCATTGTCCACCATCCTCCTCACTATCCGTTATCCACCATCCTCACCACTATCCACCATCCTCACCACTATCCGTTATCCACCATCCTCACCATTATCCATTATCCTCACCACTATCCATTGTCCACCATCCTCACCACTATCCATTATCCACCATCCTCACCACTATCCATTATCCACCATCCTCACCACTATCCATCATCCTCACCACTATCCATTGTCCACCATCCTCACCACTATCCATTGTCCACCATCCTCCTCACTATCCGTTATCCACCATCCTCACCACTATCCATTGTCCACCATCCTCCTCACTCTCCGTTATCCACCATCCTCACCATTATCCATTATCCTCACCACTATCCATTGTCCACCATCCTCCTCACTATCCGTTATCCACCATCCTCACCATTGTCCACCATCCTCCTCACTGTCCGTTATCCACCATCCTCACCATTATCCATTATCCTCACCACTATCCATTGTCCACCATCCTCACCACTATCCATTGTCCACCATACTCTTCACTATCCATTATCCGCCATCCTCACCATTATCCATCATCCTCACCACTATCCATTGTCAATTCTCCTCACTATCCGTTATCCACCATCCTCACCACTATCCATTATCAACCATCCTCACCACTATCCATTGTCCACCATCCTCACCACTATCCATTATCCACCATCCTCACCACTATCCATCGTCCACCATCCTCACCACTATCCATTGTCCACCATCCTCACCACTATCCACCATCCTCACCACTATCCATTGTCCACCATCCTCATCACTAATCATTGTCAACCATCCACATCACTATCCATTGTCCACCTTCCTCACCACTATCCATTGTCCACCGTCCTCACCACTATCCATCATCCTCACCATTATCCATCATCCTCACCACTATCCATTATCCACCATCCTCACCACTATCCACCATCCTCACGCCTATCCATTATCCACCACCCTGACCATTATCCACCATCCTCACCATTATCCACCATCCTCACCATTATCCACCATCCTCATCACTATCAACACAACCAGTCCAAAACACATACCCTCACCAGGACAATGTAACAATGTGACAATTACTAACAATATTTGTGTGTCTACATTGTTTGCAGGTGGTATGTGAATGGTATCTGAAGTCCTTGCAGAATTGTGACTTCAATGTGTTTGATGGACGACTGCAGCAGAGAAACAGTCTTTTGCCGCTGCACTTGTGGCTCCAGAAAAGACGGAAGACTTATTAGCTGTTTAGACTTTATGCTAATAATGTGTGGAATCAAGGCCGAAACCAATGGATTATCAGTGCTTTACTAGAGACCTTTTGGCAATAAGAGACTTGTTGAAGAATGAATGTTCAGTACTCATTGTGTATTTACTTGATTCTAGTTCCACGACTGTACGGAACTGACTGAGGGAGGAGCACAGACAGAAACAGGCACCCCTCAAAGAATGGCACGTAATGACAAAATGTTTATGAAACATGGAAACAATCTTATGATCATTCTCAGTCTCAGGAAATCGATAATTGTTTTTAGCATAAATGAAACGAATGAATATATTATCCTAAGATTGACACGTCAATAAAGTGAATTTGTTGACGGTGAATTTGCGTTCTTTATCAGGCGCATATTTTGGTAAAGATATGGACAACTGTAAAATGTCTGTCAGTCATAGTTCCTTTCATAGTTCCTGCACCTGCAAAGGTTTCACTTATCACATGATGCAGCTACATAACAATAGGAACAAGGCGTTCAAACAGACGATCTAAAGTCTCAAAGCAATGATGTGTCAAACACTTTCGATGAATGCATGACCCTAGCTCAGTCTGCACCCATGGTTGTACCACTCTCAAAAATTCTTGAGTAACATTGAGAGGTGTGGTTAAAGAATACCAGTGATAGAGGAAGGTATATATTTTTTTCAAAACGTAAATAAAATGCAAAATAAAAACAACACTGTTTGCATTAGAGAGCATTATCATTAACGTATCTCGAAGGACTACTCTGAATTATCTTCCCAGTTATTGTGTAAAACCTAGAGAAGACGAACGATCAGCAAGGACCATACCAAATCCTAACAATAAGTCAAATCTGGAAAGTTTTCAGATGTCATTCTTAGATTTCAAAAAAGTGAACCTATTTAATCCATGAGCTTAAATATAACCTGCAAGAAGAGCAAGTGGCATCAGTCAGTCTTGATATAATATTTCAGAGGTTTGGTTTTAAATGCCAGCGTTCTAACAATTTGAAATTTATGCTTTCTGGGGTCAGAAATTCGACAGAAACACGTATTTGAAATTGGATGGGCGGGTGAAATATTGGTAAATACACATCATACAGCCACTTATCAACGGCAGTATCCAGATTCCACGTACAGATGGACAATTACTATAGTTTTTCTACTCGTTAGTGATTTGATTTCTTTTGGGTGAACTCGTGGACGAGACTAGAATTCCCATATGGATTCTGTATGGGATCGAGCAGGTGACCTCATGCTTGCCAGAAAGCTGTGTGATTATTGTAGATGATACCCCCTCTCATTGTTACTGAGGTTCTCGCTGTCGGTATTACGCTTCCAGTCAAAGCTACTAAACCAGGGGCGGATACAGCTTTTTGAGAAAGGGGGGGTGCACACTTCATTTTCACCAGAATTTCAATGGTCATTTAATAAACTTTCAGGACAAAAGGGGGGTGCGCACCCCTTCACCCCCACTCTGGATCCGCCTATGTAAACCCATTATATACAAGTTCCTTCTTGCGGAAACGTCACCTCTGGTCTACCAGATTTACACCATATCAATGGAACACTGATAAGGAGATCCTTTTCCCCACCGTCCCACTACGATATGTCAAACTAAACTGATTTAGGCACGTTTGATAGGTGTGAATGCCTCGGTTCGGAGTAATTGTTTCCTATTATTCTGCACTGCCTGTTGTCTAGTAAGGAGTATGGTAGTACAGCCAACCTCGGCCTATCCTCTGACACACGACAAAATGAGCAAACCCCCCTGAATCTGGATCTGTCTGCTGGATTTTGAGCCAAAAAAATGTCACCAGAAGTGCTCAGCTTTCGTGAAATATTTTGGCGCCAAGTTTGTGTGGTTGCCATGGATACCGTCATTGCAGAAGAAACATTGTCCTATCTGAAAGCTTGTCTTCGCCGCAACAGTGCCTGCCACAGCCGCAATGTGGTATCCTGAGGTTGTCCAGGACCATCATGTGACACTGCTGATTGCTGAACTCTCATGGATGTTGTTACACTCAGCTAATCTGTTTCATGCAGCAGCGCCACAAATCCACATTAGACATAATCAGTATATAATTTGTGGATGCTGTTTTTCGAATGGGCTTTGCTCTGGGCTGAACAACATCTAAGATTTGGATATGGATAAAAGCAATTATTTCATTCATGAAAGTTGTTCATTTAATAAAATTGGCAATTTCAAAGAACGGGTGCAACAAATATTGTTAAATATATTGCATATCGATATAGTCATTCAATTCATTCAGAGCTATCCACTGTTGATAACCTATATGATATATAGAGAATACTACACGAGGTCTCATTACATACGAATTATACGAAACGAGTGTCCTTACTATTATCTGACCGAGCGAAAGCGAGGTTAGATAATATAGGAAGACGAGTTTCGTATAATTCGTATGTAATGAGACCGATGTCACTTTATTTATTACCCACGTCTTACATGCATTAAATTGACAAATTAGCGTATTTTTGTTATTTTTGGTTTCAAACCGAAAGCGGTTTCATAAAGAGGTTGCGATAACTTATATAAAATCAGCAAACAATATATAGTAACATTGTCATGGAGGAGCTTGAAAACATTGGGAAGATACCCAAATCAAGTGTAGATTCAAAGATAGAGAAGAGCTGCTAACCTTTCATGTCATAGAACAACAGCTCAAGCCTATAGTAGGACTACGTGACAGTGTATAACTTACTATCCTTCGACGAGGATGTATACAGTGTGTGTGAACTAACAATGAAAACACACAAAACTATGAACCACTGGGCACAGATTATGATATATACCCTACTTATTCGACGGAAGACTGGGGAACTTACCTGGAATACAGTGCTGAGCTGGACCCCGACATGTACCTGTGATCAGGGTACCTAATTCCTGTAACAATATACACATATATGCAGGAGAGACTCAATGGTGGAACAAGGAGTGTCACACCATGACTGAACCGATACTGGGTCTCGTCTATGGTGATAAAGAAAAAAACACATACAAAATACGGATTTGTATTGATCCAATTGACCTCAACAAGGCTTTGAAGCGACAGCACCCCCATGAGGACAGTAGAAGAAATCATAGCAAGAATGCCCAACTCAAACTCAGAGATTAGTGAGATATATCCAACATGCATGCACGTTCCGTGACGTCAGTGGGTTCGTCTTTGAGACGTGCAATACGTTGTTGCACGTGCATTCCGGGAAAGAGAAACAGAGCAAATGAATGTCACACAATACTGTTACTTTGGAAAGCTCAACCCCTTCCCTTGCGATCGTTCAAAAATTTAAACGGCTATTGAAACGCATAGCATGCCAAGGCTCACGTCTGCACAACGTCATGAGGCCATTGCGATGGTCCGTGGGGGAATGTCTCAACGACAAGTGGCTGCACATTTCCACTGCCACCGGAACACCATTTCTGCACTGGTGAGACGCCACCAGAACACAAATGACGTCATCGATCGGCCACGTTCTGGACGTCCACGTGTAACAACGCCAAGACAGGACATATGGATAAGGGTGACCCATCTTCGCCACAGGTTTCAGAGCCAGAACCATCCCAGGACTTCGCCGTATCCACCCCAACACAGTTCGACGACGTGTACGTCATCACGGGATCAGACCACGACGTCCCGCCATACGGCCTATCCTGACACAACGTCATCGACAAGCTCGCCGAATGTGGTGCCGAAATCATGTCCGCAGACCCTTGTTTTAGTGGAGAAATGTTGTTTTTACAGATGAGTCCAAGTTTAACATTTCCCATAGGGATGGACGTGGACGTGCCTATAGACGCGTGGGAGAACGTTATGCACAGGCCTGTGTCTTGGAGAGGAATCGCTTTGGTGGTGGTTCCCAGATGATTTGGGGTGGAATAACAGCACGCCAAAGGACTCCTTTGGTGATTGTTCAGGGCAACTTAACTGGTGTGGGCTACAGGGATCAGATTCTTCGACCTGTGGCAATTCCTTTTCTGCAACGTCATGGCCCTGGGTTAACATTCCAACAGGACAATTCCCACCCTCATACGGCAAGGGTTGCTATGGATTTCTTCTAACACCACAACGTTGACTTACTGCCTTGGCCTGCAAATTCACCGGATCTCTCCCTGATAGAGCATGTTTGGGACGAGATGGATCGACGTCTACGCTGTCTTCCTCATCCGCCAGATAACGTCCTTGACCTTGCAACAGAACTTGAGAGAATCTGGTGTGACATCCCACAAGCCTTCCTTGCACGTTTGATAGGCTCTATGCGTCGTCGATGCACTGCTGTTCTCAATGCCGATGGTGGATATACCCGTTATTGAGCTTTGACCCCTGTCCCGCTTGTGGACTCGTGACGTCATTGTGATTGACTTTTCAATTGAAATTCTCCCGACTTGTTATGGTCCCATTTAAGTTTATATGTACCTTTGACATTGTTATCGTACTTATCAACTGGGATAATATTTTGACAATGCACAGTTTCTTTATGTGGCTAGTATATATGATATAACAATATATATATGTATGGAGAGCTATTTACTGTTGATAACATATAATATAACAATATACACATGTATGGAGAGCTATTCACTGTTGATAACTTATATAGTATAATAATATACACATATTGCAATAGGTATCTAATATAAAATTATACACACAAATGGAAAGATATGCAAAGTGCATTGGGTATCTAATATAACAATATACACATTGACGGAGGGCTTTGCCATTTTCATTAGATATTTAATGTTAACAATAAACACATGCACGAAGAGTTTGTCCAATTGTTATCTTATATGCATATTTGTGGACAGCAATAGTTCTAGTCATTATAGTAAAAAATGCACCCCCTACATACACACGCGTACACGCAGGCACGCACACACACACCAGCGTTCGAAATACCTGCCCGACCGCCCGGGACGGGTTATTTTTGGGAGTATCATAACCTGCACGCGCACACACACAGCAATAGTTCTAGCCTTGATAGTAAAAAATACACACACACCCCTACACACACACGCACACGCGCACGCACGCATATTCCTACGCCAATAAAACAAGAACAGCAGCAAAAAAACCCGAAAAAACACAGGCAAACAATATCTCCTTGCCAAGGAAATAAGAGGCAATGTAATATCACAGGCCCTCGTGTCTTTGCGAGGAATCAGATTAAAGATTTTAACAATATCATTTATATAAAATCTAAGATGACCCCCGAATCGAAATGCTTCACAGTACAATACAGTATGACAAGGCCGGACACTTCGGTGTACCCCACCCGCCTGCTTTGCCGATCGCTACGCTACCATCGCATGCAATCGATTAAAACTTAATGTAAGTTATCAACACGGGTTTCAATGTCCGTTATTGAAATCCTGAACCTACACGTGGACCTTGTAAGATCATGTAAGGTTTCCTTCACCTTCAAACTGAAACACAGCATAACTGAAATACTGTCCTGGTACAAAGTTGTCTGTTCATCAACCTGAAGCAGCCAAACGGAGGCAGTGGTGCCCGGATCAATACTCTGAGGACATCACCTGCAGAAGACATTCCGGTTCCCTTCTGTTCTGTTCAACGCATCCCTTCGTAATTCAAACAATAGACCTTGACTGTTTCACGTATCGGACGGTGGCAATTCAGCCCCTTTTGATACAAGAATATCGAACACTTCATCATGGCCTCCAGTTTGTGCCTCCATTAATAGGGTCTGCTGCAACAGACTATCCATCCTGTTTATGTCAAATCTTTTCAAATGCAGAAGGTCTTTCACTATTGATGCGTTACCTCCCTTGCATGCCCATATAAGGCAGTCTTGGTCTTCAGCATCTTTAAGAGACAGATCAGCTCCATTTTCCACCAGGAGATTAAAACCTCATAGTGTCCAGAGTACACTGCATGCATGATTGGAGTTAATTTCAAGCGATATCTTTCATTGATGTCAAAAAGTTCCATAGACAACAAGTGACGTACAATCTTGACGTTCCCTCCGATACATGCCCAAACTAGACAGTCGCTATTGAACAGATCTGACTTGGACAGATCAGCTTCCTTTGTCACAAGAAGATTGTACACGTCAAAATGACCACCTTTAGCTGCGAGCATAACTGCAGTTTGCTCGTCCCACTTCCTCTTCCTGTTGATATCAAACGTGTTCATTGACAGCAGGTTTGCAACTATAGATGTGTGTCCACCTTCGCTCGCCAACATCAAGCAGTCCCTGTTGTTTGTATCACAAAGTGACAGATCAGCTTCTTCACACACAAGGCGATTATACACCTCGTCATGTCCATTCAGGACCGCCATCATGACAGGTGTTTGTTTGAATCTCCCACCACGGCAGTTTATGTTGAACCGCTCCAGCCCAAGGAGATATTTGACTGTGGAGAGACGTCCTGCACAGCTTGCAACATGCAGACAGTTCCGATTTTGGTTGTCACACAGAGTGGCGTCTGCTCCCTTGGATACAAGAAGCTGTAGGATTTTATCATGACCCATTTCAGAGGCTATCAACGCTGATGTCACTCCCTGACTGTCACGGTCATTGATCATATCGGGAGCTTTTTCACAGACAGTCTTTGCTATGATTTTGTTCCCACTCATACAGGCATAATGAATACTGGTAAGTCCATCTGGGTCTGCCGATGTTAAATCAGCGTTTTCATTCATAAAGAAAGTGAACACGTCCTCACCACCTACCTCTGCAGCAACCAGAAGCAAAGTTTTGCCATTATTTAATTTGTAATCTGCATTGAACCTGTCCTCTAGTTTCAATTGGGTTACAATATCGACAACATGTTTAAATTTATGGTTCTCCGCACATACCGCTGCACTTTCATAAATATTAGATTCGGTTTCCTTAATCTGTTTTTTGATTGAAAGTGCTCAATGCACCCTTAAACAGTGCATTATAATGTGTCAGTGACGTCCAATACAGAAAACACTTCCCAAAGGTTTTGTCTGTCTGTTGCACTATCCTTGTCAACTCATCACCCAATTGGGCCACAAGGGACGAGGCAATGGTGTCGTTACTGAGTGCAGGATGTGTGACTGTCCACTTGAAACATTTCTGTCGGATACCTTCAGCAAGTCCCACGACAATTTGGTGTAGAGCAGGGCTGATGTAAATCATGTTAGTGACATCATCAGTAGTTGGTGTCTGAAGCGTCTTCTTCAGTCTCACACGCTCATTCAAGAACTTCAGAGAGCAGTACTGCAGCAACAGCACATGATTCAGGTGACTTAGCGCACATGCTGCAGCATCATATACCGACGGGTGAGAGAAGGAAGCGATGTGGTCCTCAACTATACAGAAAGTGCCAGTGAAATTCCTTATCTCGTCACCAATGCCTGTCCGAGTACAGGATTCAACAACACCTTGGACAACTTTGAAGAGTTTCGCGAAGTCAGCTTCCGACAGAAATGTGACAAGGTTGAGACTCCCTCCACACAGGATGAGGAGTATGATGGCTGCTGATCTGTTGCTACCTTCCCGAATGATGGGGTCAAGGTCACATCTCAGGTAGGTCAAAGGGTTCTGGAAGAAGTCTTCAGGGTGCATCTGAAACACAGGGGTGGGGAAGAACAGACTACAGATAAGAGGAAACCCAAATCCGATATTCTTTGAATGGATAATATTTTGTATATCCTTGTCAGAGAGTTCAACTTTCTGATATTTTGCCATCCACCAACGCAAGAGACGTTTCTTTTCTTCAGGTGTCCAATATTCTTTGGTCATATCCACGACTGTTTCAGGCCTGAACAAACTGAATTTAAACCGATGAAATCTGGAGCATCCTCTGTTCCAGTTGTATTTTCGAGATGTGAAAATAAACCTAAGTTTGAAGGATGACCTGGGTTTCTCCCACTTTGAGTTGCTATTTCGAGTTATTTTTTGTTTCGACGGAGCATCGTGAATCAGGCTGTCGGCCAACACTCTGAATATTTTCTCAAGTTTTGTTGAGAAACGAAGACCGTTAAATATGTCATCAAATATAACCAGCATGTGACAACGTCTGTAGGCGATTATTTCAACGTCAAAATCTTCGATATGTTGAACAAACAGTGGTTTATACTTGGACCTTTTGCCATAAATCATTGCAGCAATGCTGGTTTGGCCATCTCCAGCCGCTCCAATGATGGCGACATGGCTGTGTCTCTCCAAAATATCCTCTGCTCTTTTCAGAACATGGATATCCACAAAACATCGCTCCACCTGATTTGTGTTGATGCGTTCTGAAACGAAAAGAAAGTTGGTTGTAATTATACATTTTACTAGTCGATACTATCAATTATCATATCTTAAATGGCTTTTCATTTCTTTCTTTGTGAATTCATGTTCATTAACCCATACTTGTCGTAAGAGGCGACTAACGGGATCGGGTGGCAAGTCAAAACATTGATTACACAACAGTCTCGTTTCCGGCTGACTGGGTTCCGTCCTATTGCGCAACTTAGTACAATAACCAGTCCAGAATTTTGAGACCAACTCATTCAGCTGGATATACAAACATTAATCAGTATTATTTGATACATATAAGCACTTGTATGTTGCAACACTACGTTCCTTATAATCCTTGCAACCACGTCGTGCAGCGTTCTCTGTCGTACAGATTGCTCTGACAAACGGAAATCTGGAAATCGTGGAAATCTCAAAACGAGGCTCGGCCGCTAGAAAGGTTTGGCGGTCTGGTACGGACTTGATATTATATCAATCACATTGTACGGTATAAAAATACACTGAATAAGCGCAAAGAACACATAACAGGTGTAATCTGTGAACCAGATGCATTGTGAATTATTTTACGACTTCATCAAACAGGGGCAGTCTGTGAGGTCTCGCCATAAGATATAGAAATACGATTTTATTAAACTTTAATATTCAAATTCATTTATAAATACAATTTTCTTATGAAACAGGGATTTGGAATTTAGTGTAACCATAGTTGTTTGTAGAGTCTCTTTTCACTTTCACCCGAGAAAATTCGGATCGGCTGAAAAGTAGGTCATTGTCTGAATTGGTTAATAACTCATGTTTCGGTTTGCGGGCTCGCTGACTGGGTTGACCACACGTGATCGGTTCCCAAATGCGTAAATCGATGTTCATGCTGTCAATCACTGGATTGTGTGGTCCAGGCTCGATTATTTACAGACTGACGCCATATAGCTGGGATATTGCTGAGTGCGGCGTAAAGCTAAACTCACTCACTCTTTTAGTATACACTTATGCAAGGAAATATATGCAATGAGGTGTATCAGCCTAGCTTCATTTGCTTTCGAGACACTACGAGCAGGTTTCCTACAGTTATCTATATTCATTATATCTATATATATTATCTATATTTCTCCGACTCCCATTCAACAAAACCATGTCCCTAATATGCGTGTCTATTTGTCAGTGACTTGGATTAAGTACCTGGGTGATTCTATTGTATCATCGCCTGTAAGTGTATTATGGGAGGGAAGAGTGAGTGAGTTTAGTTTTACGCCGCTTTTGGCCTGCCACCTGGGTGAAATCGACGAGTGCAGGGATGGTTCTGACAAACTTGGAACCATAACAGGGCCGAAATAGGATTCGAACCCACGATCGTGATGTCTGGCGTACCCACTCGGCCAAACTCGTAACATCAGTTTGTACTCCTTACACAATTGTAGAACCGTAACCCCTGGCTCTCGGTAAGTTTTTTTTTGTCTTGAACAACCTGTGTTTTCTCGCGAACCCTTCCAATCCCGTTTATGCGTAGCAGCGTGGTTAAAGCGTTCATTCGTCGCGTGGAAGATCTGCTTCGAATCCATGTGCATGTACAGCAGGTTAGGGACCGTTCATAATTTATGGCTATGAAGGGGTGATGCTTTTTATTGAGAAGCATGTACAATTTTGACTGACCCCCCTAAAATGTATGTACAAAGTGAGTGACACCCCCTTCCCTTCATGCCATGTGCAAAATCAACGCCCCCCCTCCCATATTTTTAAAGCATAATTTCTAAATATTTGTATGTACAAAATTGATGACCCCCCTAGTAGCAGTCAAACGTGGTTGTGTACGCAACATATCGCCTACTGTTGTAAGTGAAACTTACTCACCGAAACGGTAGGGTAGCCTAGTGGTTAAAGCGTTCGCTCGTCACGCCGAAGACCCGTAACCGTTTCCCCACATGGGTACAATGTGTGAAGCCCATTTCTGGTGTCCCCTGCCGTGATATAGGCTGGAATGTTGCTAAAAGCGGCGTAAAACTAAACTCACTTACTCACTTTAACTCGACCATAGTTATCTAGTAGTAGTAGTAGTAGTAGTAGTATAGTTGTAGTTGTAGTAGTAGTAGTAGTAGTAGTAGTAGTAGTAGTAGTAGTAGTAGTAGTAGTAGTAGTAGAGAAGAAGAAGAAGGAGACGATGTTCTTGATTTAATAGGACTGGCAGAGAGTTGCCGTGGAACAGGATCTTGAGTAAGAACCTGTGATCATCTTACCACATGGTTGATCTGAGACGGGTTGTCTCCTTTGTTTCCTTGGTGCCGGGCCGGTCACCGAGCCAGTCGCCGATGACCTTCTAATACATGAACACCAGTTCCCCATTTTCACCAAATTCTAGAAAAAACAAGTACACAAACTTCAGTTTACAAGTTTGCGGTCTCATTGCAGTCACATATTGCGTCCCAGTAAAAACATTAGCAGTTTGTCCATCAAATACTGGACGAGAATACAACCAGCATACAAAGTATTACCTGAGGTTTGCCTTTTTGGAATACATTCTTAAAACACACTATTTCCACACATCACGGTTTTGTGATTATAGGTTTTAATGTCAAAATAACATGTTGATGTATTATCATAATAATTCAAACAATGGAACCAGTAAATGAGGCTGCCTTCGTTATGGTAACCACATCAGCCAGTAGGATCATCTTGAATGGATCTGAAAAATCTTGTTGCGGTTCAATCGTTATTTACATCCCAGTCTTACTTAACAGTGAATAGTTTATCAAATCTATTACCAAATGATTTAAATAATCTATTCACGTTACATTGAGAGACATTACGAGGTTTTCTAAATTCGGCGAAACACTCTGTCCAACATCACCAGTTATCCAACTTATTCGAGTATGTTGATATATACTCGAGGGTATAGGATCATTGAAAATAGTATATGGAGGACTGTCGTATTTATATCAATAAACAATGTTATAATGGTTCTAAAACAGGAATTCAATTTCGGAGTATTTGTGTAGGTGTATGGGTTATTTCTGATCAGTCATTCTTCTTGTCGGGTCCAGATTATTTACTCACCGCCGCCTTATAGCTGGAATATTGCTGAGTGCGGCGTTAAACTAAACTCACTCACTTACTCATAATGACGATTGCCTCCAGTCGGTCATGTCAATTAATCCAACAGCTGTCTCCCAAACTCCTTTTCGCTTCGAACTCTGGTGCCACTCAGCTCGTTCCAAACACTATGAGGTTGGAAAGCATCGTTCACAGTGAATAGCCCGACGATTGAAGCTTTTCTTTACATGTATCAACGACGTGTGAATGTTTATTGATCTATTGTTTTAGATGGTAACCGACTGTTGTCATACATTCAGGAGCACTGATGGCCCCTTTTCAGCGTTCGATTTATATAAATCTATACACATCATATCACATACTGGTTGTATTGTGACCTGTGCATTGACGAATGATTGTGTTTTATGAGGAATTCTCACAATAATTCTTACATCTTAATATTCATAGTTTATTGAGGCCCTACCTGATCAAACACTATGAGGTTGGAAAGCATCGTTCACAGTGAATAGCCCGAAGATTGAAGCTTTTCTTTACTTGCAAGCACTGGAAGTAAACTCCTATCAAGTAAAAGATCAAATGTGATACCTTAAATTTCTTGCACTCAAAGAAGTTATGGATTTTCCTGTTCCCCGATTATTTGATTGGTAAGGGGCCGCCCTCCCTTGCTTACCAGGTCTACTGCTGTGTAAATACTTACTTGTGGGGTAAATTGTGTAAATAGCGGGTGCTACCGGGAGTGCAGGATGTGCTAACCTCTTTTGCCAACACCTGATGTCATCACGGCTTTTCTGTGGACCATTTATTTGATTTGCACAACTATTTTGTCCTTTACACAAAACGGAATCTGTATCTGGGTTGGCTAATTTGTTGTTTAACGCCGCACCCAGCAACATTCCAGCTATATGGCGGCGGTCTGTAAATAATCGAGTCTGGACCAGACAATCCAGTGATCAACAGCATCAACATCAATCAACGCAACTGGAATACGATGACATGTGTCAACCAAGTCAGCGGGCCTGACCACCCGATCCCGTTAGTCGCCTCTTACGACAAGCATGGATTGCTAAAAAGACCTATCCTAACCTGGATCTTCACGGGTATCTGTGTCATGATAAAGACAGGGTATTCTTTTGCACTGACGTGTTATGTTTATATCTATTACTTAGGATATAAACGTACTGTGTTTGGAAATTAGATGAATGTTAGGCCGAATTGATAGTCTCTAAATTTCATTTGAAGCCGAACGCGTCATGAAATCAGACATATTTTCAATTGATAGTGTCTAATGGTATTGACTGTCCAATCAACTTCGAGTATTTCACGTAGTCATGGTAGAATAGAATATAACGCCCGAGATGTAACGGGTACACTGCTCAAAGCGACGTTAAATTTAATGACGTTTAATATACCATCCAACGTTATGCTTCAAAATAAGAAATGTTGTTAGGCTGGTTTTGTGTGTTGTGTGTTGTGTATGTATATTTATAGCGATATGGTTGCGTCATTCGCCACACTACCCGACCGGGCAACACAACATTGAATACCCTGCAAGCGACCGTGACCTTAGCTATTGTTAAGCTTGCCAAGCATCGACTAGACATTGCATTATAAGTTAGTACAGTTAACAGTCCCTACAGAATCGAGGTGACGAAAAACGAAATGTACTTGGGGATTTGTTCACGGTCTGCTGTCAATAGACAGCCATTGTGATTACAAACACTGAAGTGATGTTACAAAGCGAAGTGTTAAAATGAAATAAGTATACACAGACAGACAGACAGACAGACATTTTATTCAGTAATAGGCCACTGGCCCAAAATACATTAATAAATATGATAAGAAGTTACATGCGTTTTACCAGGGAGACTATATAACGTTGTAGATTATCCCTGGTTTTACATAAAAACATCAGAATCTCTTCTTTTCCCAACATTATATAAAAATAGGCACAAATTATTTATAACATTTATGTTTGTTGAAGTCATTATGTTTATAGAGCTGTTTTGTGAAATAGGATGTTTCAAATATTTACCCAGAAACTTATTCCATATATCTAAGTAGGCTTTACAATAAAGTAAAACGTGTATTTCATCTTCAACTAAATTAAGATTATTTTTGTAGCTAATAAGTAAAAGATGCTGTAAACATCATTTTATTCCTCATAACCAGGACTAATACATGTTAATACATGTTAGTGCTAAATATAACATTTGCAAGCTTGAAATGGTAAATATTCTATACAAACGTTGTGGTTTTTTTTCGAAACGTTACAAATACATTGAACATTCAGGAGAAATAAACACGGAGAGATGTCTTATAATAGTGAAATTACACGTTCATCTCCCCACAGTTCCCCTAAAGAGTCGGGTACCCACGACAACTTGCCTGGCTTTTGACAGCGAGCGGTTTCTTGGAAATCTATCTGACCTGATTTCCTTGAACTGTAATAATTCGGAAAATAGCATTTCATTTATCAACGACGTGTGAATGTTTATTGATCTATTGTTTCAGATGGTAACCGACTATTGTCATACATTCAGGGGCACTGATGGCCCCTTTTCAGCGTTCGATTTATATAAATCTATACACATCATATCACATACTGGTTGTATTGTGACCTGTGCATTGATGATTGATTGTGTTTTATTAGGAATTCTTACAATAATTATTACATCTTAATATTCATAGTTTATTGAGGCCCTACCTGAAATATTCTTTGGTTATGGGGTAAATTTCCTTTCCCAAACAGACATAGCCATGGTAACGTGGCAATAGGCAGCAGCTTAGTGTGTTTACAAACACGGAGGTGATGTAAAAAGGCAGAGTGTTAAACGAAAGGAGTAAAAATTACAGAAACATAATTTTATTCCATATACAAAGGACTGGTTATACAGGAAACACAGAAGTTGATAATGTATGTTAGTGTTAAACATAAATATACATGTCAATATATACATATCACAACTGCAAGCTTGAAATGTTCAATAATCTATACAAACGGGGTTTTTTCGGCACGTTAGAGACATTGGTAAGAATGAGAAGATTAGCGAGAAATTAACTCCTAGAGATGTCATATAATAGTAAAATTACACGTTAATGTCCCGTTGGGGGTAGGGCACAGTTCCCCTAAAGAGTCAGGTACCCACGACAACTTGCCTGGCTTTTGACAGCGACCGGTTTCTTGGAAATCTATCTGACCTGATTTCCTTGAACTGTAATAATTCGGAAATAGCATTTCATGTATCAACGACGTGTGAATGTTTATTGATCTATTGTTTCAGATGGTAACAGACTGTTGTCACATATTCAGGGGCACTGATGGCACCTTTTCAGAGTTCGATTTAGTGCATTGACGATCGGTTGATCTCAGTACTATGATTTGGGATTCGCTGTGGGGAGTGTGGCGTTCAACAACAAAACAAATTTCTATGGAATTCATACAATATGTATCAATTTTAATATTAATATTTTAGTGAGGTCCTACCTGAAATTTCTGTGGTTATGGGGTACATTTCCTTTCCCACACAGACACATCCAGGGAGATGTGTAGAGACGTCATATATGCTACTTTCTGTTTCCAATTACCTGTATGCATGGTCCAATGAATTGACAACAATCAATTAGAAGGTCACGCTGACATATATGTACTGTACAGAGGTAACGGAAATGGCTTGATATTGGTGTTGGATGCTGTCGTTAGTCTATGTTAATGTATGGAAGTTACGGTCACCTTAGCGCTGAGACTGTCGTTAGTCTATGCTAAGGTGTGGGAGTTACGGTCACCTTAGCGCTAAGACTGTCGTTAGTCTATGCTAAGGTGTGGGAGTTACGGTCACCTTAGCGCTGAGACTGTCGTTAGTCTATGCTAAGGTGTGGGAGTTACGGTCACCTTAGCGCTGAGACTGTCGTTAGTCTATGCTAAGGTGTGGGAGTTACGGTCACCTTAGCGCTGAGACTGTCGTTAGTCTATGCTAAGGTGTGGGAGTTACGGTCACCTTAGCGCTGAGACTGTCGTTAGTCTATGTTAAGGTGTGGGAGTTACGGTCACCTTAGCGCTGAGACTGTCGTTAGTCTATGCTAAGGTGTGGGAGTTACGGTCACCTTAGCGCTAAGACTGTCGTTAGTCTATGCTAAGGTGTGGGAGTTACGGTCACCTTAGCGCTAAGACTGTCGTTAGTCTATGTTAATGTATGGAAGTTACGGTCACCTTAGCGCTAAGACTGTCGTTAGTCTATGTTAAGGTAGGGGAGTTACGGTCACCTTAGCGCTAAGACTGTCGTTAGTCTATGTTAAGGTAGGGGAGTTACGGTCACCTGGGCTCACTTTGTGCAACCCCACCCAGCATCTGTTTTATACTGTGTAACACGTCTATGTGTGCACCTTGCCGTGTGTTTGTTTGTTGGCTGGTATGTTGTTTTACGCCGCATGAAGCTATATTCTAGTTATTTCACTTACATAAATGAGTCAAACACATGGTCAATAGCATGATCAAAGCACCAGGTATCACAGTCGGACCCGAACACTTATGACACAAGTTGTATTTGGTCGGTGGGGTAGCCTAGTGGTTAAAGCTTTCGCTCGTCAGATCGAAGACCCGGGTTCGATTGACCACTTTACAAAACTTAATCTGTGAAATAAATTCTGGTTTGGCAGGTCTTCAGTAACCCATATTTGTCGCAACCGATGCTTGACGCAAAGGGCTCGCTCGCTTGGCTGACACATGTCATCGTATCAAAATTGCGTAGTTCGATACTCATGCTGTTGATCAGTGGGTTATCTGGTCCAGACTCGATTATTTACAGACCGCTGCCACATAGCTGCGGCGTGAACAAACAAACAAACAAACAATGTTGGACAGTAACGCTTGTTTCACAATAAGATGACGTATGTTCGGTATCTCCAAAATCCCCTTGGTAACAACTTTTTGCCCAACTCTAGGGCATGACAATGAACATGATGATATGTAATTATTCACGAAATATTTAAAAAAATAATAAAATACAATATTTTTATGTTAGAAGTTTTGTTTTAATTATGGCCGGGCTAATATAATGCTGCTCTTGAATAGTGAATACTCAACTAACGTGTCTCGAATAAGAGATATTGAGTATTCTTCACAATGTATTTCAGTCATTTACAGATCGTCGGTATACTAGCCCTTTATCATGACAAGCCGCAAAAACATCGTTTTAACACACAAAGGGTTAACTCAAATGTTTGTACGCAGGGAAGAAAGACATTATGTATCATTTCACAAACTGCCTTGGAGTACAAACAATATTCTTGTTTCTGACCTATTATATCTAACTTTGTAAACATGCGAACTATCGGACAACTATCTATATATAATGGCTACATCTCAAATACGACCAAGGACTCCTTTTCACAAAGCGATCGTAGCGCTACGACAGTCGTGAGACAATGTTGAAGTAAGAGACTTATGACCGTCTCAGCGCTAAGATCGCATTGGGGAACGGAGCCCTGTTCGGCGAGGCGTGGACAACAAGTTCTGATACAGTTTGAACAAAATAGAATGCTGAGCGAGTGCGTGCGTGTGTGCGTGCGTGCGTGCGTGCGTGCGTGGGTGAGTCACTTTCAACAATATTTCATTTGAGGGAGTTTGAGGAAAGTCCAACATGCTGCAGGCCACGACCATGGCAAGGTACTGACGGACCTATATACAGGGCGATCTTGGATTCGGATCCCCAATCATTATACCTCAGGCGTGTCCAAGAGACGTAACCGTGAACAGAGAAATGCGGCAGCTTCAGATGACTGGGCCATCCATGCCCCCAAATCGTGCAATAATACAACATGCTCGATAAACGTAAACAATCAGTAACAGGCAGTTGTGATTGTATTATTATGGAATCCTAGAAGGGAAATTGTTGCGTTGTCCCCCTCACAGAAACAAGCAAAAAGTAGCAAAATTGACTAAAGTGCGACAATGCATCAATGAGACAACGCGACATTTTGTCCATTTGTCGCGCTTTGAATAACATTTTTTATTCATCCAAAGGGCGACAATGCGACATAGCGACAATGTCCCTTCTTGGATTCTATAGTTTGGCATGAAATGCATGTGGATCCGTTTTTTTGTAAATATCTCTTCATCATGACCTTTATGACCCAACACTGCCACTGTTACAGGTCATTGGCTCCCTCCCTCTGCAAGCCGTCTGCGTTCTGCTGTTTATTTTGTTGACAGTTACATAGACAGATTCTTTAATACAAATGCATAAAATCGGTGATTTACAATGTGATTAGGTTGTCTGACAAAACATCCACTTGCACAGTTTGAGATCGATTGGGTCATTGGATGAAGAGATATTTACAAAAACCGGGTCCACATGCATTTCATGCCAAACTATATATATTATCCTTTGCACACACGAGTAACAATTTACTGATATTATTAAATAATTGAGACTCATAGGTGGTCCCTGTAGTCACCAGCTGTGGTCACCAGCTGTAGTCACCAGCTGTGGTCACCAGCTGAAGTGCAGTATTGAATGACCTGGATACGGTATTAATACCAGCAGGGCGGAAACAGCCCTACTGACATTAGACCTCATCCATGTTGTTTTCTCCAGGACACTTGACACAGTCCGAAATTATGGGATAGAAGTGCTAAAAGACTTTACATTAAGATATAAACGCCCTTACATCAATAGCATCTCACAACACATTATCAAGCGCGATATTTTCGTCTGTTGTACCATCGTTGATGACGTCACTATTTTCGCAAGGAGATAACCCTCTCTTACCAGGAACTGCTCTCAGGCAGTCGTGGCACCGCGGGATGGATGCTGGATGGTGATTGGCTGGAATGTTTGGGCGATACTTTCCACTTGTGTCGAAGACGTAACCAGAGTCAAGGTCATTTTTTGAACCTTTGCTTAGAGGCTCGTGGGAAAGGGGTTGGAGAGAGTTTGCAGGATCTTTCCCAGTCGCACGGTGCCCCTCGGAGTCTGTGGGGGACATGAGACAACGTAGGAGTGAGGATGATGGGACGGTGTCTCCATAAGAAGACCCAAAGCCACATAGAGGCCCCCTGCCGACCACAGCGTTCTTGATAACGCTGACTTCGTAGGTCTCCGCAATGGCGTCTCCCGGGCACACCTTCAGGAGAAGTTCTACAAAATCAAGTTTAAGGGTACAGTTATCTTTGATGGAAGCCTGCTCATCCTTATTCAGTACTTTGCTGTCGACCAGCAACATCTTCCTCTCGCTGATGTTACGGATTTTGAAGACAAATGGGTCCCTCCCATCGTTCCAGATCTCCGCGTACGTCCTTGACATACGCTCGTCGTTCAACCGAACGTCTGCACATGAACTTCGACCTACGGTCACCTTCTCTCCAACATGTTTTCTGATCACGTGACAAGGGAAGTACGCTGAGATACTGTTACTGAGGGTTGGTTGGTAGAACATCAGCAGACGACTGGGTGCTTCCACTGTGGCTGCAGACGTGTCTTTCATCGTGGTACTCTATGGATGGAAAACATATCTCGATAGGGCAAGGTAACTGTCAAATCTAAAGACCATTGTTTGCCCAGTACAAAGGGAAATAACAACGTATTATACAGGGTAAAGACAGTATTGTATAGACTGACGTACACAAGAAATGTAGTGGAGCGTTTTGGCAACATGCAAACAACAGACGTGTAAGTCACAATCGACACACTTTTTAAATTATTTACGTTGTTTGTTATGAAGTAATCCCCCAAACTGGGTACGTTCTCTCTGTTTACGTCAGACCTGTTTAATATATAGAACGGCGTCCATTGTCCTTTTTCATTCTTTCGCTTTCAGGGTTTACACTTTTGACATGACAAAGGACATTAAATGGTTACAACAGTTTGAAAAAAGGGAACTGTAAGCAAGTCTTTGACCCAAGATACACATTACCCTAAGACTGTATTGCCATGATCGTCTTTTCCAAAGAAAATGAGCTTTCGCTAAAAGTTTGTTCTAGTGCTGATGTTAAGAAATCTTTACGACAAATTCTAGTCTTACCTATGCATGTGAAGGTCAAATTCTCAAATCTATGAGACCCGTCAAGATCAGGGTTAGAATTGCTCTTTAAGAAAAGATCTTTAGTAACCCATGATTATCGTAATAGGCGACTAACGGGATCGGGTGGTCAGGCTCGCTGACTTATTTGACACATGTCATCGTATCCCAGATGCGTAGATCGATGCTCATGCTGTTGATCAGTGGATTGTCTGGTCCAGACTCGATTATTAACAGACAGCCGCCAAATAGCTGGAATATTGCTGAGTGCGGCGTAAAACTAAACTCTCACTCACTCAAACCTATGAACTTGTTCTAATTGGATATTTTTATAACATTTATAAATACAAAACGCACTTTTCACACCTTGTCCCTTGCTTTTCATAATGAGTGACATTATCTTTTTCTTAGACCTGTGATTTTACTTTTTTATTTTATAATATTTCAGCGAAATGTCCCCATGATGTATTCGCAAATTCGTTGGTAGTAGCCATTCTGACCTTGAACATGTCCTTTGCTCACCAAACGGGAGGAAATCACAGACGTTTAACACGTCATCTCCAGAGAATATTCGATTGTCGATTATTAGCCGTAGAGATGTATGAAAACTGTATAAATGAATCACTACAAATCAGAGATAACACCGAGTGTTCATAGAATACATCTTTCACGTCGTTTTTTAAATTGTTTGCATATTTCGTTAATTAAGCAATGTGTGTGTGTGTGTGTGTGTGTGTGTTGTTTGTGTGTGTGTTTTTGTGTGTGTGTGTGTGTGTGTTTATTCATTCCCATAGTTACATAGATGCAAACATATTATTGTAACAGAAATGAGTGAGTTAGCGTAACCTCGCTTTTAGGAACACTCCAGCAATATCATAGACATCAGAGACAGGTCCACACAAAGTACCCATATGGGGAATAGAACCCGGGTCAACCACTCAACCACTGGGCTACACTGCCGCCTCGGTAACAGAAGCAACATACCAGTAAATTACATTGACACATACCAGCTTCTACAGGGTGGTTGAACATAGTCAATGATTGAGATATGGGATGAAATCTAAAGTTTTCAGATAGTTAATTAAATTGGGAATTGTTTTTTTTGATATTACCTAAATAAATATGTCTATTTGCAGAGAAAATTACATGGTTTAATATTTTGTTGGCTTGTGAAGTACCAAACCAAACCAGATATTTTGTTATTTTGATGTCTTTGTTGAGGTATTTATTGATCAAGATCTCAATAAATACTCCAATTAAGCAAATTTGGTTGGCAAAAGCAACTTACAAGGATTCTGTTGATTTCGTTTTGGTATTTTAAAGACTCCGAAATAGCGCAGCATTAACCTTTTAATTTAAACCCTGTCCGGTAATATGCTGCATGCACCGAATGACCTAAACACAAACTGATTCTGACATAAACGCCCTTTAACAAACAGACAATTATACCAGGAAGGTAGTTCGTCTATTTGGGTCAGTTGGATGGTTTATATAAGTATTTCAAAAGTGGGTATCTGTAAAAAAAAAACTATTCGAAAACAACTTCTGGATCCGCCACAGTGCTGTTTAAGACCGGCCACGTGACTATGTTTACCTCCTGTTTTAACAAAGACGAGAATTGTTGCATGCCTTCAACATAGCATTGTTACTTACGCCTTTTGTGTTGGAGGCCATAATCCCGGAAGTGCGAAGGTCAGGGTCACTAACTGTATATCTCCGTTCCCGGAAAAACCACCCAACCCGGATTTCTGGAAGAGCAGGATGTATGTATTACTTACCAACACTGATAACTGTGAGCATAAGTGTGTTTATATTATTAAGCAGTTTTCACGTGGCGTATGAACACAACAAATGCTATGTGGTTCACGTGGCGTATGAACACAACAAATGCTATGTGGATGTTGTTGAACCAGATATCATTCAGACATTACCATCAGCCATTCACTCCACCAATATACAGATCCAACCTATGTTATATTTGGGATTGGACTTTCTTAGTAAAGTACATATTCTGGTACTTTTGTTGGGTTGAGTCCCATCCGGGATTCGAACCCACTCTCTCGGAGTGAGGTACCTAATCGCCAGCACACATACAAAATCAGCGGTGGAATTCAAAAACCCACAAAGTACTAGAATCTACTGAAAGGCAAAAGAAACGTCGTAATATTAGAAATGACATTTGAGTATCAAAGGAGTATTTGAACCTATTTTTTAAATATACACCAGAAGTCAAGTTTGAGGAAACATGCATTGCCCAATAAAGTATTGTTTGAGATTGAAGTTAGAAATGTTTTTGTTTTTTTGGAGAGGGAAAAGTTCCCACAAACACAACATTGAAATCGAGATGCACGTGCATCATAAATGCATTCTGGCATAAATTGCCGGCTTGAATGGCAATCGTTCACTTGTTTTCTGAACACAGCAGCTATGACTAGGTTAACGAAAGATCAACCACAACAAGCTATTGGACGTCCGCACGCTGGTCAACATGCTCGAGTCATTGCTAATGACTTCAGTTGCAGCGTACGAACGATAGAACGTCTAAAGCCTTGTTTACATGCACCCCTTTGCCCCCGGGGGTAAAATACCACATGGGGTTAAAATACCCCTGAGAGGCAAATTGTGTCGTATAAACGGGTCTAACAGGGGGGTAAATTATACCCACATGGGGGTATTCTGCCCCTGGTCAAGAGGTGGAGCAAATTCAGTTACCCCCGGGGGTATTCCCTGGGGTAAAAGTGTCATGTAAACGGTCTATCAAGCTAAATACAACCAGGGGTACATTTATAGAACCATCCATCCCTGCTTATAATGGAATGGTTTTCCAGGAAATCTAGACATGCATTTTGTTGGTAAGTATGTTGTTGGTATGCACTACCCACCCTGTCATTAATCTGTAGCTCTACACTGGAAACAACATGCCTCCGATAAACAAGCGTTTACGACGTGGTTAAGCCTGGACAGATGATGAGACAAAGGGTCTGCTTAGTATCTGCGGAGACATGCCCATCCAGTCCCTTCTGGACAGCCCCTCAAAAGCTGATACAGCTGTTTATTCAAAGGTGAACAAAGTAATGCATGAACTGGGCTTTGAGAAAACGGCCATACAATGCACAGAACGAACGAAAACACTTAAAAATCATATGGACAGTGTAGGGATTCAGTTAAGAGGAGTGGACAGCCCCGAAAACTCTGCACATTTTATGAACAGCTAAATGAAATTTTGCGACATCACCTGGAAAGGGCATTCAAAGTCTCCAGCAGTCAGTTGCATCAGATACAGACATATCTGATCTTGAAGTTACTGATGATCATGTTACCGACAACATTGCTGATGATGTCGAACTTGCTGAGCCAGGAGATTATGAATGTGTTAAAAATGGCCAACAAAATGGTCATATGAAAACAAACAAAAAGGAAAACAAAGAAAACCCAAACTGCAAACAACTTTGAAAACTGTCATGGACTAGTTTGCTAAACCTAATGAAGATATTGAAACAAGGCAGATTGAGTTGGAAAAGAAACAAATTGAGCTGGAAATGAGAAAAATGACGAGAGAAAGAAAATAGAGAGCTTGCACTTAGGAAACTGGATAAAAGAGAAAGACAGAAAGCTTCTGACAGAGAACACCAATTGCGTATGCTACAGTTCATCATGAACACCATATGCCAATCCATCATCCATCCAATGTCCAACATTCTTGTCCAGTGATATCAACTTGACCGTGTGGTCCTTGGTCGCCATCACGTATCTAAACCTCATCCAGCCAGTCAGGGTTGAACATGTGGTCTGATTCACACATGTTATGCGCCTACATCTTCCTTTGAAGCGTCCAAATGTATTTCAATGACCATCCGGGCACTGCTGAAGCGGAAGTTGAAGTATGACTTCTCATCTGATTGGGTTCTCCGTTGCCGTAAAGTGTTAAGAGCTAGTGAGACATGTGACAGGCCGAATGTGCAATGATGACGACAGGCATGTACCCACTCTTTCCTTCCAGCCTGTTGTAAGCTTTGAAGCTTTCCTCGCCTATAGGACCTTCACAACATCTGGAAACACGTGTGTACAAGTGGCATAACACACTTCATGTACTACACAAGAAACTGTTGACCTGTGAATCCCAAACAGATGACCAACAATGCGATATTCTACTGTTGTGGCCAAGTAGTATATTGCCACTGCTACTCGAATCTTTTTGAATGTGAAGATGGAACTTTTCACAGAGGCGCTGGAACAAGTCCCTTGACATTCTGACGTTTTCTTTACACTGAGTTTCATCAAAACGTGTTACAGTTACTTCCCACCAATATCTACTCCTTTCCTTTTCCAAAACAAGGGGTTCTCTAGTGATGAACCCACGCACAAAGTTTGGACGAATCTCTTCCGTTTTCTAGATTTGGACAAACGTCTAGTATATTCATCCATGGTTATAGAGAAGTGACAAGAAATATCAATACCTCCCACCATGTAAACGCAGGCACAATTTTGCCATTTGCCCCCTGCGGGTAAATTTACCCCCAGGGGCAAAATACCCATGGGGGTAAAAGTGGTGCATGTAAACAAGGCTTTAGAGTGCGATACAACGCCACCAGCAGCACTGATGACCGTCCACGTAGTGGTCAACCCCGTGTAACAACACGTCGCCAGGACCGTCATATCGTCCATCAACACGTGCAAGACCTATTCGCAAGGGCCAGAGAAACAGCTTGGGTGACCATAGGAACTCACCAGCGACCAGTCAGTGACCTACCATTCGGCGACGTCTCCAAGCCAGGAACCTGTTTTGTCGATGTCCTGCCAGGAGACCCATATTCACCCAACGTCACCGCCGGGAACGTATCCAAGTGGACACAACAGCGGCAAAACTGTCGTGGGGGGGACAATGGAGAGGGGTTATCTTCTCTGATGAAAGTCGGTACTGCATTTCAGTGGCGTATTATTTAAAAAAAATAGGTTCAAATGTTCCATTGATACTTAAATGTCATTTCCAATATTACGACGTTTCTTTTGCCTTTCAGTAATAACATACAGTCAAATCCCGATGAGTCGAATCTCTGGGGACCAAGTAATAAATTCGACTTATCGATGTATTCGAGACATAGGTATGTCTATGAGGGTAGAAAAAAAGATGATCCAGTCCTAATTCCTCCGCCTAAACATTTGTTTATCTAATGATTCATTTGAACACTTTCTAAATGGCATTGTGTGTTAAGTCCCCAAAGGATCTGACAATGTACATAACAAAACTTCCAATAAACATTGTAATTGAGCACCATATTCCCAAAAAATTCGGGAACAAGTGTGGTTTGTTTACAGATCCAATGAACCATGCATTAACCACTTGAGCTTACTGAACCACCAATTATAGGTACACATATGTACCTACGACTGAGACAGAAATACAAATGAATAGATAACTCAATCAATCACCTCTCGCGTATACTGAATGATCACGTATACACCCTCTGTAGTATACTGAACCATTCACCCCGTATACTGCGCCATCATCCATTCAACTGTCAACCATTGAACCATTGAGTATAACCAACCATTCACGTCCTGGAGTATTTTGAATCATCAACCTTTCGCCCTCAAGTATACTGAACCACACAATTCAGACAGAGAGTATACTGAATCATCAGTAATTCAACCATTGCGTACAGCCAACCCAAAAATTCAACCATTCACTACCACTATTTCGACTATATCAATCCCCACATGGGTACAATGTGTGAAGCTCATTTCTGGTGTCCCCCGCCGTGATATTGCTGGAATTTTGCTAAAAGCGGCGTAAAACCATACTCACTCACTCGACTATATCAAACAGTCAACTGTTCATACTCAGAAAGTAACTCCGGATATGTCGAACCTTGACCTATTCGCTGCAGTGGACTACACTGAACCATCAATCATTCTTCCTTTCGACTAAGATATACTGACTCCATCAACCACTCATTACCTCGGGTCTATTCAATCATCAACCATTTACCCGTGGAGTATACTGACTATATCAACAGTTCCCCAGATAGCATTTGGACGTTGGCCCAACGTTGGCAATGTTGGCAAAACCATTGCCAACGTTGGGCCAACTTTCTCAAATGCAACTATCTTTGTCACTGAGAAGTCTACTCAACTATCAACCATTCACCCGTTAAGTATACTCTCAACCATCAACTATTCATTTGAATGAGCATATTGACTGTATCAATCATTCACTATCTCGAGTATTCCCAACAATCAGAATACCCAACTACTGGAATACCGCAATAACCATTCACTACCTCGCGGCGTATAACCCGCACTCAGTCACTCAGTCAGTATATTTGTTGAGCAACGGACTTTATCAACAATTCACTATCTCGAGTATTCCCAACAATCAACCATGAACAAGCTCGAGTATACCCAACAATCAGAATACCAAACTACTACAAGTATACCGAACAATCAATCATTCACTACCTCGAGTATACTCAAACCCACAATTCCCTATCTCGAGTATACTCAAAACCCACAATTCACTATCTCGAGTATACTCAAAACCCACAATTCACTATCTCTCGAGTATACTCAAACCCACAATTCACTATCTCGAGTATACTCAAACTATCTCCACAATTTCACTATCTCGAGTATTCCCAACAATCAACCATGAACAAGCTCGAGTATACCCAACAATCAGAATACCCAACTACTACAAGTATACCGAACAATCAACCATTCACTACCTCGAGTATACTCAAACCCCACAATTCCCTATCTCGAGTATACTCAAAACCCACAATTCACTATCTCGAGTATACTCAAAAATCAACAATTCACTAGCTCGAGTATACTCAAACCCCACAATACCACTATTATACTCAAAATCTATCTCGAGTATACTCAAAGTACAATTCACTCAAAACCCACAATTCACTATCTCGAGTATACTCAAACCCCACAATTCACTATCTCGAGTATACTCAAAACCCACAATTCACTACCTCGAGTATACTCAAAACCCACAATTCACTACCTCGAGTATACTCAAAACCCACAATTCACTATCTCGAGTAAATCAAAGAATCAACAATTCACACTCCGACACGGAATACTGAACTGATTGGTTTATTACATGAAATACTACATAATAGTTAAAAACTAATCAAAGACAACTGCATATTTATTAATTAAAAAGCCATTAAAACAATGACTACCAATAGTGAGTTTCTTAATCCGCCGAATAACTGCCTGGATTAACATACCTGTCTACACAACCACCATACATACATCAAACAACACTCGATAATGTACAATTAAGGACAAATATACTTCATACCTTCATCTCCCTCGTGACCAGACTCGCATCTCTGATGTAAGAAACATTGTTAAACTGTCTGACCAGGCTAACTTCCTGGTATAAACGTAAACACGCGATATCAACCGCTTTCTTTTGTCGGCCCCGGACGAGCATATCTATCCGCCCCTGCGGTTGCAGATATTTGCATTCGGGGCGCGGCTAATGATATTCTTCATAGAACTTACGGGTAAGGAATTCAAAGGTCACTGAACCCGGATGAGACCATATCTAGTATCTGTCAGTGAAATGATGAATAGAAAAATAAATAAATATTGTAAATGTGTTTGTTGGTGTACCGGGACGTTATTGATTTATTTATTTCAACATGAATTTCCTCACTAAGTCTATCCAGCTGAGAAACAATTTGAACCGCAGAACAACGTACCAGTCTTGCGCGTTCAGTTTTCATTGAGATTTATAATATATGATGCCATTACGTATCAGTTGCACGTGTTCTGATCGTATATTCACTAGTACCCAAATTGCGTATCGAGTGGTCAGGCTCGCTGGCTAGGTTGACACATGTTATTGTATCCTAACTGCGATGCTCATGCTGTTGATCACTGGATTGTCTGGTCCAGACTCGATTATTTACAGACCGCCGCCACATAGCTGAATATTGCTGAGTGCGGCGTAAAACAAAACTCACTCACTGTCACGGTATACTGAACTGCTAATGTCGTTTTTTATCAGCAAGCCAACCTAGTAATGATCTTACTACCACGGCTTACCTGACTTCTAATTCCGTTTCTAATCCAGCTAGTCAAACTACTAACGGTGTTACTATGACTACTACCGAACTGTCATTACTGGTGTTGTTACTATCACAGCAGCCCCTACAGTCATCAGTAATGTTACCATCTAAACTAACCTAAAGCTCCAACACTGCTATTTTAACCAATGAATTACCACAGCACAAATAAACGAGTCTCACACTGTTCACAACAGAACAAGTGGAACATCTCGTGACATGTATTAGCATTCCAAGTAAGATCAAAACTGATTTATCCCCAAACATAAATAGCGTAACCCCATCACTGAAAGCACCTGTGTACATAAAAACACTCCAGTTTAGACTGGACTCGAGATTATTGCTGAGCGGATTCTCAACTCTTCCGCGTGGAGCCGTAGCAAACGTACTTACCTGTTGATTTGATTCGCGCTCTCTTCAAAGGTTCAACCTTACCTGGATTGACGCGCTACGCTCTGGATGGGGAGAAATTTACGCTGTTGATATAGGTAGGTAGGTGACCTTATACATTATTGTTCTTACATAACAACTTGAGATATAGTGACTGAGTCACTATGTTAATCACTATGTGAATCACTATATGAATTAAGGTGTAAATCACTATATAAATTAGTATGTGAATCACTACATGAATAATCATATGAATTAGAATATGAATCATTGTATGAATCACTATATGAATCAGTATGTGAATCACTATATGAATAATTTTGAATCATTATATGAATCAGTATGTGAATCTCCAATGAAGCAGTATGTGAATCACTATTTGGTTACTGTTTCAAGAATTATATGCATTAATTATATATTAATGATATGCAGTGTTTGTGAACACTGACCTCACCATCTTCAGATCACCATACAATAGGCAATGTTGTATGCACTAAAACTTGTTTATCTTTCTATTAAATACAATTAGATTATTGTAACATTGTTTCGTGACAGCTTTCGTGATATATGACATGGCAATTCCGTCATGACCTCAAGATGTATGTATATCGTATGGTTTAATGTTGCAATAATTATAGGCTAGGGTTGTAATTATCATTAAGGTCGTAATTAAGAAGACTAATACCTTGTATAGTAAGAAAACGCTACTACTACTTCCAATGATGATGGTGATGATGATGATGATGACGACCACGACGACGATGATGATGATAATAGCGACTCTGTAATTGTCTCGATTTTATCGTAACTGGCGAAGTTTATATCTGTATCCCAAACTAACTGTGTATCTCAGTAGAAGGACCCGAATAAGGATAATGTATCAAATTTGTTATAATTAATGTCTCTCTCCCCACATCCCAACTACCTCCACCCATCTCGCTCTCTCCCCCTCCAGCCCTCCCCATCTATTTCTCATTAGTGAGTGGGTGAGTTTAGGTTTACGCTGCACTCAGCAATATTCTAGCTATATGGCGGCGGGCTGTAAATAATCGAGTCTGGACCAGACAATCCTGTGATCAACAACATGAGCATCGATCTACGCAATTGGGATACGATGACATGTATCAACCAAATCAGCCAGCCTGACCACCCGATCCCGTTAGTCGCCTCTCACGACAAGCATGGGTTACTGAGGATCAATTCTAACCCGGATCTTCACGGGTCTGTTCTCGCTAACATCACGTTCGTGTAAAGTCTGATGTGCTAGGAGCACGTTAGAAGAGATCGTTCATCCGGGAACGCTAACAGGCCTAACATGTTTGTCTTTATCTATTACTCATATTTAACGGTTGATCTCAACTCAAATTAGGAGTCAACTGAGTCAATGTCTCAATTCCACACACGACACTGTCCAATGCCTAGACTAATAAGAGTGCATGGCAATTTAACATAAATCACCTTTAATTCGACCACAAAGATCTTATCACAAATGACACATTGTATGCTCCAGGAAGTGGAGGTGTCACGTACCATAAACCATTAGTAAGCCTAGTGTGAGTACCTTTAATGAACTGCTTGTCCGGGTTCATTCAAAATCGGGTACCCTGTCCCACATAACGAGCTGAACACATAGTGGTAATTTGAGAGCCTTGTTACTGCTTTGTGGACAGTTCAGGAATTCGCCGTGATTAAACCATTATGAGTAAGTGAGTGATTGAGTCAAGTTTTACGCCGCTTTTAGCAATTTTCCAGCAATATCAGGGCGGGGGGACACCGGAATGGGCTTCACATATTGTACCCATGTGGGGAATCGAACCTTGGTCTTCGGCGTGAGGAGCGGACGCTTTAACCATTAGGCTACCCCACCGCCCCAACCATTATGAGAGATAGACAGCGTGTTGTATTAGGTCAACGACCACAATAGTACATACAATATTGCTATTGTAGGTGACGACGTACTGTTGCTGTTGTAGCTGACAGCTGATGCAGCTATATTTTATTACGTTAAATGAGAGAGAAATTATATATCAACCATAATATAGATTAGGTCGGAGAAATCACTCTATTAATTCCGGAATTTGAGTCATCAAGTTCTCATGCTCTCTCTGATACAGATTTGATTATCTTAGGCGTGCCCGAATCCTATGATCGTAGGATAGAATATCGTATTCTATTCTCTATTATGATGCTTGATTTGTCTCTGCTCGTGGGTTATGACACGTCTAGCACCTGCATTTCTTTGGTCTCAACCCGAGAAGGTCCGCGTTAGAATTGGTCTTCAGTAACCCATGCTTGTCGTAAGGGGCTACTAACGGGATATGGTGGTCAGGGTCGCTGACTTGGTTGACACATGCCATCGTATCCCAATTGCCTTGATCGATGCTCATGTTGTTGATCACTGGGTTGTCTGATCCAGACTTGATTATTTACAGACCGCCGCCATGTAGCTCGAATATTGCTCAGTGCGGCGTTAAACAACAAACCAACAAAACATTATTGACTCACCAACTGTAGAGATGCTTGCCCCAGAAACCAGTTTTAATGGCTCACTGACATCTAATGGGGACGTCATATGAACTAAACAGACGTTCAAAAGAAAGTACACACCTGATTCTTTGGTAAAATATTTTCTTGAAAACAACATTGTGTTTTGATTCTGCCTTGTCACAAACATTGTGCAAGTGTTTCCAAAACACCACAGATATGGTACCCAATTACAACATTGCTAGCAAAATATTTATGGTTCTATTGGGAATAGTCTCAAAACACCAGGTGTGTACTTTCTTATGTACGTGAGTATATGTCAAAAAACCTTTCCATGTACCACTTGATAATGCTATTACCTTCGAAATACATATATTGTTAAACATATTTCATTACTTGTATGTATTGTATATATTGTACCGCTTTCATTATCGGCACTCAATATATTGATAGCTTCTGACCAAGAAATGGTTGGACACCTTTCCGTCGATAATGATAAGTATGTCTGTCCTAAAGTGTCAGGAATTGTTCCCGAGTTTCGTGGATAATTTAAAATCCCATTTCGTTTTAATGTTCTTTTTCCGTTTTATGTCGATTCCTAGTCCTACTTATTGTTGTGACCCGTGCCATTCATCTGAACCATGTGCTCTGATCTGCTGAACCTTGTTCGATGTACTTTGTGTAAAGATGATGTAATTAAACAGCTGTCAAACTGAATCAAATCGAATAGTGCCTTCTATTCAAGACAATGTCTGTTCAGACAAAATGAAATTACGATGTTATGTTGGTAAAAATATGTTATCATGGTGATGGTGGAAGTGATTAAAATGATGATGATGATGATGATGATGATGGATTTGACTAAGTCATAGTCGACCCCATGCCGTTACGATGACATCGATATCTTTGACGATACAATAGAATAAAATTCTTAACCATGTGACAGGGAAATCTAGTGTTATGTTACCGAGATTGCATGTGGTCCGATATGCTTCCCGACGTTGTTTGATTGACCTTCCCGACGTCCAGCCGAGTGGCCTACCTGGACACATCCTCCATAGCGTTGTTACGTGCTTCACGGCCGACACCTGGTGTTTACATCAATCAGATCCTGTAAACGGATTTGGCGATTATTATAACCGTGTTACATCTTAGGGGGACACATAAGGGAAGACATCACGTACTTGTTTCGAAAAAAAGACAAAAACGTTGATTACCTCAGAAGTTTTTAATGAAATATGAATTGTTTGGGATTTTAACGCCTCCGCATGTTCGGCACATGGATGGCATATACAGTAAGTGTATGCATAACACGTGTTTTGCCTGCTTAAACGGCAGAATCATCCGTCATGTGATATCCTATATTTTGACAGATAAAAAAAGAGAATGACGCTGTTGTGAAATCCGTCTGACATTGTTGTGCAATGGGACTGATTCAACCGCACTTGAATGAACACGATGAACCTGATCTTGTTGAAAACAGGATAGATGGAACGCCTACTGGGTCGTATTGTACTTGGTCGGGTCTGATAAAGTGTACACGGGACCAGTTTCACACTGGAATATTAAGGCCTAGAATTACGGGAGGCGTAAAACTATGATGATTTGTGAAACGGGGCCCTTGGTCTTAGTAGTAGGACCGCTTTTGACTTTCATTTAGTTCTAGAAATATCTGGGGCGGTGGGGTAGCCTAATGGTTAAAGCGTCCGCTCCTCACGCCGAAGACTCGGGTTCGATTCCCCACATGGGTACAATGTGTGAAGCCCATTTCTCGTGTCCCCGCCGTGATGTTGCTGGAATATTGCTAAAAGCGGCGTAAAAACACACTCACTTACTCACTCTAGAAATGTCTACAAAATATTAAACATAATCCAATGGAAATCAGAACATTGCTTAATTCCAGACCGGCCAAATGACTGTAGACTCGAGTAGGATTTATTTCTTAATGAATTGGGGTCTAGGAGACAGACTGGGTCGCGCGGTCTGAAAATAATCGAGTCTGGACCAGACAATCCAGTCATCAACAGCATGAGCATCGATCTACGCAGTTGGGAACCGATGGCATGTGTCAACCAAGTCAGCGAGCCTGACCACCATATCCCGTCAGTCGCATCTCACTTGTTAAAAGATCTGAAGTAGAGTTAACATTAAGGCGCTGTCGTGAACTGAAAACCCTACACATACAAAGCCTCTTCAAGTCTCCTGAAGTCGGGGCATAGTTGATAAATCAACACCGGTTTTGTAACCCCATGGTCAGGACACGCTATATTACAGTAGAATGAGGCTTGAATATAGTTCGGATATAGCTCTAATATGATTTGATAAGGTTGTAACTGAGCTAGGCCGGGACAGAGATAAGGGCAACTTATGTCTGTAAAAGGAGTGCCGAGAAGATCCTGGTTAGAACTGCTTGTTTTAACTGGCGACTAACGGGGTCGGGTTGTCAGACCCGACTGATATATGTTATCTTATTCCAATTGCATGTGTCAATCACTGTATTGCCTTGTGGGGCGGCGGGGTAGCCTAATGGTTAAAGCGTTGACTCGTCACGCCGAAGACCCGGGTTCGAATCCCCACATGTGCACAATGTGTGAAGCCCATTTCTGGTGTCCCCCGCCGTGATGTTGCTGGAATATTGCTGAAAGCGGTGTAAAACCAAACTCAGTCAGTCAGTCAGTATTGCCTGGTCCATACTCGATTACATACAGGCCGCCTTAATAAAAAAGGAATATTGACGACTGCGGCGTTAAACAACAAACACGCATATCTATGATATGATCGACAGTGCTGGATTAGGTTCAGAAAGTGACTGATAAGCTGGATTATAAATACACAATACCATTTGTATGCTGGAGTTGGAATATCCCTCAACGCCCTGTTACGTCTAGAGTGTTACTATTGATTATTACACAGAGGGGGGCACTAATCTGAGATAACTGTTATCAAACATGTGTGTGAGATCGAGTCCAGGGCAGCGTTCCTAGATGCACTTCATCCATAAGTTACCCCTGTTTCAGTCGAATTTACCTACGCCTGTGACGAGTGTTGATAAATGTTCTTTAATATTTCCTAGTTTGCATTGTCATCATGACTTTTGTAATACTCTGGGAACATTTCCTTGGAACTATTTATTTGCGGAGGGTCATAGTAATTACGAGTAGTAAGCAGTAAACCCGATGACGTCACTCATGACGATGTGTATCAATGCGCCAATGCAATAATGAGAACAGATGAAATATATGCATCGATTCGATGCTAAGATGGCGCGGCGTAGGATGTACGTTTGCTACGGTTATATCCCAAAACTTCCACATCCCAAAACTTCCTCATCCCAATACTACCACACACTGTTAAAACAACAACTCCTCATCACCCCTTTTCAGGTAATAGGATGGCCCAGGAAGTGCACTGAACTGAAACAACAGATAATGATACATCACCTGAGTTAGCAGAGTGGAGATTTTAGTTGAGAAGAGAGCAGTTACTAGTAGTTAATAAATCTGAAATATATATGACATTTATTCGTGCATATTTCATGTAGGCAATTGTATATTTTGTTTTCTTGTTTTACCTTGAAATGTTGTTGATTACGTTCAGAGTATTCTGAATATACAACACATACATTATGCAAGCTTAACGTACATTTAATGTACATGTATATTAAAACATGTAGTTTTACAATATAACATGGCTAATGAGTTGTGAAATTTTATATTTATTGCTTAAAAGGGGCCAACAGGCCAAACAATTCCTTTCAATTCGGATTTGCAAATAAACTGAGGGGCAAAAGAAGAAACGTCCCCAAAGTAAAATTTGAAAAAACAGTTCTTCTGTTGTCGTTATGACGGAAATTTATTTAGGAACACATCTCCCGAACGCATCCCCACGTCTCACAGAAAGGAAATCCACGTGGAGTTTTTTGTAAGCATGAAAATTGCTTTTATTCACGTTTTTTGCATGCTTCGGTGGAAACATACCCGTATGAAAGTACAGTATAAAAATTATGCTCGACTGTTCGAATTCATCACTTCAATACGTTGGACACAAAGAACATGCCTCGACTCACGGCAGAACAGAGAGAACGAGCTATTGGGATGTTGCAGCTGGGTGCTTCTCACAGTCACGTTGCAAGAATCATGGGTTGCAGCAAGAAAACCATCACCAGACTGATGACACGCTTCAGAACAACAGGTCGGACTGCAGACAGGCCTAGGACAGGGAGACCACCCGTAACCACCCCTCAGGAAGACCGCCATTTACGGGTGCTTCACTTGCGCAACAGATTCCTGACTGTGACGTCATCAGCAACAACCAGCCTTACCCATCCAGTCAGTAGAAGGACCATATCCAGACGACTCCGCCGATTCGGTATCAGTGCCTACAGACCATTCCGGGGCGTGACGTTAACGCGTGAACATCGACGTCGTCGCTTGGCTTGGGCACGTAGAGATCGGCAGTGGCAGCCGCGGAACTGGCGCCGGGTACTCTTCAGTGACGAGAGCCGCTTCCAGTTGAACAAAGCTGATGGTCGGGTACGAGTCTACAGACGTCGGAACGAACGCACAGCACGTTGTTGCTTTGGCTCAAGCTCTACAGGAAGAATGGCGTCGCATCCCAGATCACGTGATCAGACGTCTTGTGCACTCTGCACGACGTCGTGTGGCAGCATGTATCGCTGCAAGAGGTGGACACACTCGCTACTGAAGAGTTGGACACTCAAAGACACTCTGTCAGTACTGATGTGCATGTGTTGTCATGATCGAAACCCGGACATTTGAACCTCCTGTGAAAAACGTTACAAAAACTCTACTTACAGCAAATTGTTTCAATTGTTCTGTAATGACAGTCTGCATAATATGTTCAACAATTATATAAAACATTTCAACATTGAATTGCACGTGTTTGTATCATTTTATGATAAAAAAATGATCGGGGACGTTTCTTTTGCCCCTCAGTTTATAAAGTAATATGTAGCAAAAAATTCAAAATGAGAATATGAATTGTATTATGCTTACTTGAAGTTCTATTACCAAGCATACTTGCACTACCAAATCCAGGCATAAACACATAAATCAATTTTAATTAAATAAGAAAACTGATAATGTTATGGTATGGACATTGGCATTAATATTATGGTAGTGACACAATACATTTTCAATAATAGCCAGTGTTATATGTTTACTTTAAGATAAAATTTAATGAAATTTGTCAGTCAGATATTTCAGAATCTTTAAAGAATATTTAATAGGCAAAAGATTTAATTAAGGATGTCCCTGTCAAAAAACCAGGTAAAGACTGCATGTTACGACAGTGACACTATGACGGTACATGTCACCACCGCAACGACCCTATCACAGCTGTGTTCTTCTACGCTAGACTCTTCTCTGTATTCATGACTAATTAATGGATTAAACCATTACAGACTGAGGTAATCAGTCTGCTAAAGTGTGTGCAGTCAACCAGAAATGTTGTTGTTATAAGGTGTGGAAGTTTTGGGATGTGGAAGTTTTGGGAGGATACCGTTCACTACTACTTGTCTGATACCACTTACCTTACAACTGGCTACAAGATAAATCCCTGAGATTTGACTGACATGACTAAACAGTATGCATATTCATGTATTACAAGACTAGAACATGATTGTGATCGGGTTATGTCTGTAACAACTGTAATGTGTCGTATGACTAAATCACAACAATTGTGATATGTGATATGCTTGAATGTCTGTGATATGGTTAATCAAGTCTGTAATTGGAATGTTATGTGAAGAGACAATGCCTTGGCCTGTAATGTGACGGCAAGATTGATGTATCCATTATGTAAATATATATGTCTGTGATGCGTCTGTGGGGTGGTGGGGTAGCCTAGTGATTAAAGCGTTGGCTCGTCACGCCGAAGACCCGGGTTCGAATCCCCACATGGGTACAATGTGTGAAGCTCATTTAAGGTGTCCCCCGCCGTGATGTTGCTGGAATATTGCTAAAAGCGGCGTAAAACCAAACTCAGTCAGTCAGTCAGTGATGCATCTGTGTTATGAATTACATTGCTACACTTTTCTGTAATTTGGCCGCGATGTGACTCTAACATGGCCTTCATGTATCTGTGATAGGGTTGACATTGCTAGACTGCATGTGGTACGCCAGGGATACTCTACAACTGTTATATATCTCCCTGGGTACGCTAAGTATTTGACTGTGATAATGCGGTGAGACGGAGAGTGAATGAGTTTAGTTTTACGCCGCTTTTAGCAATATTCCAGCAATATCAGGGCGGGGGACCCCAAAATGGACTTCACATATTGTACCGATTAGGGGAATCGAACCCGGGTCTTTGTGTGACGAGCGAACGCTTTAACCATTATGCTACCCTACTGCCCCCTGAAAAGACAGACTAGGAGTCAGGGTGGCGTTGTGTAAATAGAAGCCACAAAACCTCTTTCCACGTCTAGAAGAAATCTCTGCGTAAAGCAGAGTCGATTGTACAGTTGTGACAATATCATGAGTTTATATTTGTTTCAGTAGTATTACAGCTGTACGATGTTGTTTGTAAACAAAACACTCAACCCATACAATGTTTGGGAAGACCGCGCAATCGTATTCGATTGTGTTTATCTTACGATTCTTCCGCGATGTAAAGTGCGTTTTGGCGATCAGACACCAACCTTTTCCACGTCCAGAAGAAATTTCTGCATAAGGCAAAGTCGATTGTACAATAAAGCATTCTTAGCCTTTCTCTTTGTATAACGCAGGGATAATCACCGTGGAATTTGAATTCTCTGTGTAACGGCACCCTGGAGTTTGGATTCTCTATGTGAGGATCTCGGACACCTCCATAGGACGTCGCGTACAAAAACCTGGCATCATTTACCACAAGCCATACCGACAATACGTTCATCCTTTATTGCTTCAGGGTTTCAACATGGGCGTTGGACATAGCAGACAGTTAGACGTAGTGCGGGCGACGCAAAAAGACGCCGCCAAACCTAAACCGGATGTGGACCGGGAAGGCAAGTTCCGGTTCCTGAAAACTGGCGATGACGTTCCCGATCGAGGGGGAGTCATTCTGCAACGGATGAGGCACTATGACCGAATGGAACCAGATTTAAAGTAAGCCCGAATAGCTCCGCTTAAAATATGTGGAATGGGGTCCACTCAGAATCGTCTAGTCTGTCTTCCAGACCCTAGTGAATATATTGAAATAGGAGTCAAACTAAATCTTAAATGATTGAGCAAATCGAGATAGGGATTTTTTAATTGAACTGTGTTCTTTTTGGATTTTATATTTATTGCTATTTTTAAGATACATATGAGATTTGTAAGTTCATTTCTGGGACTAAAAGTCATTCCATGAACCATTGTGTATTATCTTATTTTCTTGGCGAATGCCAATGTCCTCATAATTGATTCATTCTTGCCAGTTTCTTTGGACTTACTGCTTATACCTTTCGTCTGATTCATCTTCCAGAAAACCCTCCCCTGCACAAAGAAGGAAAGAGGCAAGCCATCTGGAGTCTGTCTGCGCATGTCTAGGAATCTCCGATGCTGATGCAGGTGACACAGTCATATCTAGATAAACACTGTTTTGTGATTAAGCTTGATATATTTTCTGATGTTCGATGTGAATGCTTTTATCTATCAACTTGTAAATAATCGCCCTTAACAAACATTTATTTGTGTTTGCTAATCTACCTCCATTACCAAGCACAACTATATTAGACATATCCAAATTAACTGTTAAACCCACCTTTGATACAATGAGGCTTAGATATCTAGCTGATGTTGTAGAGCACATGGAGAGTCTGAAACTAAGGTGAAAAGCAACATCAGAATTTCTATTATGTCTGGGAACAATTGGATTTCATGTGTTCTATTTTGTGAGATTTTTATTAAACAACCCTTGTTTACTTTAAATGAAACACACCCTATTGAAGCAAATGTTGCCCCAAAACCATGGTGAAATCAGATAAAATAGCATCCTCGAACTCCAATCGATCGTATCGAGACGATGGTATGATTGTATTTAGGAGAATATCATATCCACGTCTCAGGAGCCACCTCCTGTGAATAACAGCATGCACTATTTCGTCTGCTTCAGATCTCCTGTCCACAATCTACAACGTCCCGGCAGACACCTACACCGACAACGCCTCCATCTGCCTTGATGCATTCTTCCATCTTCTGGATCAGACCACGCGGCAGTACCTTGGCCACGCCCTAAAGCGAGACTGGGCCTACTTGCCACCAGAGGTCGCTTACGACTACTTGGAGATAATTCCACATACTTCCGGTGGTGTCAAGGTTGGCGAGATACTCAAGGTCAGTTTTAAAGACACGACATTCACGACTGGTAAGTTCATTATTGTTCTTGCAACCGATGTCCTATCCATTTGTGTTTACTCACTTGATACCAAAGAAATCATAAAGATGAAAACATGATGATTTATGTGAAAATGTAATAGGTCCATATTTTTTGATGCAACTAAAAATATATGCTACTTCGCTACACAATCAGATAATCAGGCGTTAGGGAAGCCCAGTAGTTAAAGCGTTCTCTCGTCATGGGTATGACGTGTGTCGATCTTTGGTATCCCCCGACATAATATATCTGAAATACTGCTGAAAGCTCGATTACTCTCCGGTGGCAGTGGTGGCAGTGTTCACCCGTCCTGTTATATTCTCAGTTCGATTCCCCACCTCGCTACAATTTGCAACCGATTCTAGTTGTCGCTGTTAATGCTTCATTAGTACTAACAGCTGGATACTTACTCTCAGAAAGTGAAAAAAAAATGTCTGTTAGACAACTTATATTTATCAAGAGACCATATAATATGGTCTCTGATTTATTGTTAGTCCTCAATATATTAATCCTATTACTATGCTAATGCAGAAATGCGTAGGATACGCCCTCCGCTGTCAAAAGTTCGATATGGCGTCGGCCTTGACCTTGCTCCTGGACCAGCCGACGGAGCAGCGCAAGGATAAAGAGCTGCTAGCGGATGTTATTGAGCTGCTAGACGTGCTGTGTCCACGCCTTCTGCTCCCACCGCAGCTCATTTTGAGGAGGTCAGAGGTTATGACCTACAGAGGTGACCTTCATGGAGCCATTAGGCAGCTGACTGGGCTCTTGGAAAAAGACAAACATGGAGGTAATCCAAGAAATGAACCGTCTCATCTTGATAGAAGTACCATACAGTGTTTACTCAGATAATCGTTTGTTTTGTGTGGTACGTGTAATGACGACGTATAGCGTCTTCAAGTGGCATTTAGAAGCTGGTATGAGGTGAGGTGAGGTGAAATTGGGTTTAACGTCGCGCTGGAGAATATTTCGCTCATATGACGACGTGCATGCGTGTGTATGTGTATGTGCGGCTGCTTGTACTAGCCCAGACTGAAGCTGGTTTTATAGTGCTAGCCCACTGAGATACCATGCCGCAGTGAAGCATGAATACCCCACTCAGACATATTATACTGACTCCGAGCCGACCAGTCCTTGTTGTACCCATTAATGCCGAGCGCCAGGCAGGGACCAACAAGTACCATATTTTAACGTCTTGTGGTATGACACGGTCGGGGATCGAACCCGCGACCTTCCGCTCTCCGGGCGGACGCTCTAACCACTACACCACGGAGGCGGTCGAAGCTGGTATGATGAAGAGGAGCAAATTTTAAGGATTAACAACTTTTAGATGCGACGTTTCGGGGAAGATGCTAACGCCAGTATCAAGCAAGTGATGTACTGCTGACGTCTCCTTGCATTGTGACGTATTTAGGCCAAATCTTCCGGTCTTTTATTATCAGTCGATGACTATCTTGAAATGCAAATGGTAACCCTGTTTGATTTTGTTGCATTATCCGTGTTATTGTTCCAGAGAGTAAATGGCAGTACCGATCAGAGGACCAGCAGCTGAAAGTCCGTGCACAGTGTCTGCAGATGACGGGACAAATACTGCACAAGATGTGTGAGTAGGCTGTCTTCTATTTATTTAATTCAAACATTCATGTCTGCTTGTGTAAGGGCAACCAAAGAACCTTGCGCTTCAGATGTTGTTTAGTTAGTGGTTTTAATTTTAGGCCCTTTTGAACAGCATTTCAGTTATATAACGGCGTGTTATTTTGATGTGGATATAAGGCCAGCAATTAAACGTTATCGTAAATTACCATTTTAGTGAAATCCACCCTCGGGATTGTGGCGCTGACAAACCTAGAAATATATTGGGGTGAATCGTGGATAAAACCCAAGATCAAAATAGTCCAGCACACACAAGGGAGGCAACTCTAATTATCCAATTCCGGCACCCACTCTTAAAACCCCAGTACGCATACATACCAGGATGTACCTAAAGCGACAGAAGCGACAGTTTGAAATCTAAAACCGTTGTTATTCGTATAGGTTGCTGGAAGGATGCCGTGTCCCCTTTGGTAGAGTCAATTACTGCGTTTGGATCCTCACAAGTGAAGGACACAGACGGGATCATTGTTTCCTTGGAGCTGATATCTAAGTGTCTTTGTAAAATAACCAATGGGGACTACCAGGACCTGAAGGATATGCTGGGCTTTCAGTACGACGATCGCTACTACCAGGCTCACGTTGCGAGTAAAGAGGCTTCAGATCTTGCCAGATGTCCACTCTTTGCTGCTAGAACACACGTAGGTGTTTATTGTTAATGATTATGTATGGAAGCCTATAAACATACATGTGATTCGGCAAGTCAAAAACGTATCACGAACGTAAATAGTATCGCACAAAAAATCAATGATCATCACGGTTGGGTAACAGTTAAACTACGCTTGACGTCAGTTTAACTAATTTCAATTGCATGTGTAATAGTTGAATGATAATATAATAGTTTATCAACGACATACATCTAGTTCTGAACTTGAAACTAGCAATATACTCTGTATATTGGACGGTAGTAACATCTGATCCTATGTTTGTTTCTAATGGTATTGTTCGTTCTTCCTAACATCACAAACAAAGCCATAAATTATGAATATCATTAAGAATTACAGATTGATTCATTTTAGAGCATTCATTGTCATCGAAATTGTATAATCGATTATGAATACATATATGTCCTCTCAAAGTTGGCGGTTGTGGAAATGACCTAAAGTGAGTGAGTGAGTGAGTTTAGTTTTATGCCGCACACAGCAATATTCCAGCTAAATGTCGGCGGTCTGTAAATTATCGACTCCGGACCAGACAATCCAGTGATCAACAGCATGAGCATCAATCTAAGCAATTGGGATACGATGACATGTGTCAACCTAGTCAGCGGACTCAGCAACCGATCCCGTTAGTCACCTCTTACGACAAGCATGGGTTACTGAAGATCAATTCTAACCCGGATCTTCACGGGTGAAATAACCTAAAGGGAATTATCGTTATCGAAATGGCAGCTAGCCGAATCTCTTAATATATATGTTGGTCATTTCTGATTTGCTGTTGTTCTCGTTTCACAGAACCAAGCAGCGGAGTCGTTGTTGATGTACACGGCCCAGCACCCTGGTAGCGTTGACCATCTCAACAATATAGAACATGTCATCTCAGAATTGACCACCGGTCTGGCTGTCCACAAATCAAGATGGCATTTGGAATGTCGCCAGGAGTTCTTTGAGTTTGTCCGATCAATATACCTCTTGAAACTCGCGTTTGGATTCTCCGACAGAGAGGAAGACAAGCGATACGCCTCAAAGCTTGAAGAGACCGCCATGTTTCTGTACGGCAAGTATTGTCAGCAGCTCGTTTCCGGTGGATTTATGGTCTGTACGCTGACCTTGACCCCAGACATCATGACTACAGCCAACTCGCTCATGGTTGATCTAGGCCTAGGGGTCATTGACCCCACAGCCAGCTGTTGTATTGAGATCACTCGAAAAGACGTCGAGAAGAAATCCACCAACAGACGCCATCTTGTTACCTTCGGCTCCTCACAGGGTAAAGGGTGTGACGAGTACTGCTCTGATGCCAAGAGGGGTGACAGAATGGCGGATAGGTTGGAACTCGGCTTACCTATTAATCCTGTGGCATATGGCATCCCAGAATCTGATGTGCCCATAGAGACATTTCAGGATTTGTGCGGCTGTGTCTTTAGTAAAAGGGGAGAGTACCCCGAGATTAACCACAGTAGAAGTATGAGAGTGGGTGGCCGGAAGTTTGATCCTGAATTGCCTCCCCTTGTGAGTACATTCATTCCCACGTATGTCGACTCACACGACAGGTACGGCTCTGATGGCAGCGACAGTGGCGTCAACAGCTGTGACGAGAACAGCATCGGGGACGGCGCTAAATTCTCCCCGTTATTGTCAGCCATACCTTCCTTTGTTGGCGACTTCAGACACACACGAAGCGGATCCGTTAAAAGTAATTTTAAAACTTTAATACATCTATCAATATGTTCTATCAGAAATATGGGAATCATTTATAGCCGGAGATATTTTAAAACAGAGAGAGAGAGTTTGATTTAACGCGGTTGTGAACTGTATACATTTCAGTTAAATCACGGCGTGTCAGCGCAGTGTGGGACGAGTGAGTGTGTTTTACGCCGCTTTTAGCAATGTTCCAGCAATATGGGAACATTATACCAACGTTGGGGAATCGAACCCGGGGCTTCGGCGTAACGCTTTAACCACTAGGCTAAACAACAGCCCTAAATATGGGATGGACACCCGTGGCCACTTGGATGAGACCCGCGAGCTGTCGGGTTTGCCACATAGTAATTGTACAACAAATGAACGGAGTACATTGTACATATATTGTTTCATACTCTCCAGTTAACTAATAGAATATGCGGACATGTCTGCGTTCGATGATTCATTGAACCTGTTCCTCCCAAGGAGCCCGGCTGTTGAAGTTCAACCCAGTGACTGGCATATGGACGTGTCAGAATACGTTGGTATGGTTGGGGCCTGTGCTGGACCTCCCGGAGAGCAAGAAGGGCAGGTGTCGGGAAGCCTTTGACGTGCAATATCTACATCAGGACGAACTCATGGGCAGGTGAGTCAACGGCACCTCTTCTCATTTATCTATCTATTCATTCATTCATTTATTTATTATTATTTATTCATTTATTTGTTTTTTTTAATGTATTTGTAGCATGTGGGCTATTCACGTAAAAAATGTATGAAATGCCTAAACGTTACTGAAAGATTGTCCATACACTTGACATATTAACCAAGTTGAAAAGGGCTTCAAGACAATAATTGGGTTAGGATTAAAAGCGTGAAAATACATGTATAAAAAAATATGACCTGACTTCCGTATTTTTTAATCCTAATATTTTCTGTCACTGGATGATGAAAATGACATTGTATTTAATGGATAGATCAGTCCATTTGTAGAATAACTGGAATATTTTGTGCATTTTGTAAATTGACTGAAAATTTCAGTCATCTTATACTTTGACTGTATAACATAGGGTGTGTTAATTGACACACGTGAATACGAACGACCGCAAAATAGAATGTCTACTCCGTGCATTAACACTGTGCGGAACCCTTCGATTGCTTTTTATTTAAGCGGTGTGTAGAGCAGATGACTTGCAGAAATACTGCCGATTGCTCTGATCTCAACTTTCTAGTCAGAGCACTATGTTGTTTCCCTCTAGAGGAACAGTGGGCTTCACATATAGTACTATCGTGAGGAATCAAGTCCTAATCTTTTAAAGGTATATTTTGCCCACACGGGGTAGGGACTTCCCATGATCCACAATATGATGTAAAGATTCGCTCCATTAGCCACGCCAGGATCCGCTGATAGTAATATGTGTTCACGAATACTTGTGTCATTTGAGGTTTTATTTCTAGCTGAAACGACACATGATACAGCTAAAATACTGTTAAACCAGTTTAACTCACTACATATATTCTCGGGCGGTGAGGTAGCCTAGCGGTTAAAGCGTTTGCTCGTCACGTCGAAGGCCCGGTTCGATTTCCCACATGGGCACAATGTGTGAAGCCCATTTCTGGTGTCCTCCGTCGTGATATTGCTGGAATAGCGGCATAAAACCCAACTCACTCACGTATTTTCTCTCTCCCAGATATGTTGGCAAGCGCTACAGGAAGCAGCGATGTCCAAGTCAGTACCTTGAGGACGTCATCTGCCAGAAGACCGCCCGGTTCCTGGTGACACTGTTCAACGCGTCCCTCCACGCCTACAAGTCAGATATCCAGGTCCAGTACGTCCCGGTCGCGCACCTGCAGATCATGTCGTCGTCGGGGGAGCTGGAGGACTGGATCAACGTGGAGCCGTACCTGGAGGGGGATTTCACCAAACTGACCAACAACCTGTCCTACAGCAACCCCCGAGGTCGAGAACTGGCGACGGCTCTCACCCACTTCTCCTTCGTCCAGTCCCGGGGCAAGCTGATGCTGGTGGACCTCCAGGGTTGGATGCCGTCCGACGGCAAGGGCGTTGTCTACCTCACCGACCCCCAGTTCCACTCCAACGGTGGGGGTAAACTCAGCAGCTGCGACATGGGGCAGACGGGGATTGAGGTGTTCTGGGAGACCGTTCATCCTGAATGTAACGATATCTGCTGGGCCTTGAATCTTCCAAGACCATGTGAAGGTTCATTAATTTGATCCGCTGCTTGATGTTTGGTAGGAACAAGAAGGTAGGCTTCGGCCTAAGATGGTTCCCGGCTCCCTTTGCGCGCGTAACCTTGCGATATGCGAGACGGGGCCCAGCTTAGGCTTCGGCCTACCTTTAGAAACCACAAACTTTACAAATTACATCACAATACCTTATGACGTAATTTGTGAAACCTTTGTTTCCAAAAACAATGCTCTTTGACGTTAGACTGATGCTTGGTTATCGAGTGTGCCTAAACCTCCTCTCAGTGTTCTGTCGTCTCTATACGCATTGTCATTGAGTAAGCCAAGCGATGTATGGAGAGTGTGCTCTAAACATAGAAGGCGGCGGCGCATTTGTCACTGGACCGATGTTTGGTGTTACAGAATGTGTATTCTATTGTAATATTTCATCTGATGAGATCATGAATAATCTTACTTGACAGTGTTGGAAATAATATAGAACGTTTACAATCAACCATTGTCGAGAATATGTCAGACGCTCGGCATTAATGGGTACAACAAGGACTGGTCGGCTCGGAGTCAGTATAAGACAATCAACAAAACTACGTCGGCTCGGAGTCAGTATAAGACAATCAACAAAACTACATATACAAATATATACACTTCAAAAACATAAAGGGACTACGGAAATAACTTCAAATTTCCAAAATTTCCGAATACGTGTTAGTTTCCTGAGCGAAGTGCAGCCGATAATGAAATATGGCAACAAATGGTATGAACACCAACGATTTTGAAGAACGAATGGGGATAAAATGGGGAAGATGTTTTATCAGTTGCGTGTATACGGCACTACTTGTCAAACATTCACCAATCACATCTGTATGAAAAGCAGAATCAATAATATACTGACAGAATATTACAGAACCAACCTTCCTAGAAAGTGTCAGAAACTGACATGACACCATGCGTACGTATATATCGTTATTAGGTTCGGCACGTGCAAACAACAGATTCGTGGTAGTAACAGGGTTTTCGGACATGAATGTTATTGTATAGAATGTTTGTCGTCAACACTCATCTTTATTCTAATTCTTTGTATTTATCGGGATCGGGGGTCAGGCTCGGTTGACACATGTCATCGTATCCCAATTGTGTAGATCGATGCTCATGATGTTGATCACTGGATTGTCTGGTCCAGACTCGATTATTTACTGACCGCCGCCATATAGCTGGAATAATGCTGAGTGCGGCGTAAAACTAAACTCACCCACTCACTCTTTGTATTTTTATTTTTATTTATGTTCCATGTTTCCTACTTTTTTCTAGGAGTATACATTGAATACTTGCGCGTCCAGATAAACACAAGTTCCACTTTAATCAGATTGGAATTTTATGCTAACGGAAACAAGTAACTGTGCTTCATATAAAGTCGTGCAGATGTTATGGTAAAGTCAGACTTGGTCATCCATCAGTGAGTGTTGCCTTCGCAAGAGAACGTTTCCAAATAGATTATGAACAAACTGGCTTGCAACGTCTTTGTGCCCCATTCCTGGTTGCCGGGCGGTGGGGTAGCCTAGTGGTTAAAGCGTTCGCGCGTTACGCGAAGACCCGGGTTCGATTCCCCACATGGGTACAATGTGTGAAGTCCATTTCTGGTGTCCCCGCCGTGATATTGCTGGAATATTGTTAAAAGCGGGGTAAAACTAAAACTCCTGGTTGCAGCACATCCTTGGCACGTGGACGTTTTCCGTCAGTCGTGTAAACGTTATTTACCTTTACAAATAGTCGGTCTTTATGATCAACACATAACCGAACATTTATTGTTTGTTGTTCACCTTAAACAAAGTGCGAGTACCATGCTCCCAACAAACACACAAACATCTAAAATGTATTTTTTAAACTTGAAGCACACTTGTAAGACAAGTTATATTTGGGATTACACTTCTCAGTAAAGTACAGAGTATACTTTTGTTGGGTTGAGTCCCACCGGGATTCGAACCCACACCCTCAAAGTCAGGCATCTAGTCGCCAGTTTGAAGCACACTTACTTTTTTTCGTCAGTATACGTAACGGTATTATGTTTGTATTTATGAATGATATTATTTGTTTTCCATTGTTTTATCGGTATCACATTTGTCTTTTTTCTACATGATTCTTTATTTTGTCCTATTGTTTGAATATTAATATGAAATAAAAAGCATTCACTCAACAACAAATGCAGTAATTCCGAGTTGTACTATCGTGCACAGTAAACACAGTGTACTCTTGAGGGGAAACGAACCCGGATCTACAGCGCCCTTTAGCGAAACCCACGAGCAGGGATCGAGCCTTGGAACGAAAAGATAACCATGACGAATCGGAGCGACCAAACACTTCTAGCGGACTCAGAGGGCGTAACTCGACCGGACCCGTGTGAAGAAGCAAATGTTATACATACATGTACAAAGTAATCAGAAAACAAGTATAGCACACGATATACATGTACATTTAGTAAGACATTGTAAGATGTGTACACATAAGACAGCAAAGACAGGAACATGTCTTTACGGTTCTTTTAAAATCCACCTTGTTTCAATTTTGACAGGAATTATTTTCTGCAGGATCTGGCCGAGTTTGGTCTTCAGTGTAAGGATACACCAATGGAATCATAGATCATTTTCCAAACTGATGATTACAACTTCCAAGCACATTTATGAATAGGAGTTGGAGTTTTACACCCTTTTCAGCAATATGACAGCAAGATCATGATCTTGAAATGGGCTTTGCATATAGTGCCCAGGTGTGGAATCAAAGCATTGCCTGTAAGAAGCATGATAAGCGAGCGCTTTAATCACCATGGCACCCTACTGTCCCTCTTTACATGAGACGCCACCTTGGTGGTCTAGTGGATGAAACGTCTGCTCGGACATTGATGCTCATGCTGTTGATCACTGGATTGTCTCGTCCAGACTCAATAATTGATGTAAACTGTTGTGTGATGGGGAGTGTGATATTTTTCAACGTTTATTGTAAAGCCCATTTGCCAGATTATTCCTAAAAGCGGCCCAGTGGTTAAGGCATCCACTAATCACGCCGAAGGCCCAGGTTCGATTCCCCATATGAGTACAATGTGTGAAGCCCATTGGCTGGAATATTCATAATAGCGGCCTAAAACCTAACTCACTTGCTAACATAACTGGAACATTCCAAAGTGGGGCATAAATATTGTGTAAGGCTAAATAACAACATCACTCTGGTCATCCAAATGTAGTTTTATATTTATTGTCTTCATGTTCAACTTTGAACAAACAGTCTTTAAAACTGCCTTTGCTGGTAAAAATATTGCTACAATATTGTTACAGTGACAGACATACAACAAAGCAACTTCCCGTTCTGTACATAGAGGCTGATACATGTAACAGGAACCACTGCCCGAAGCAGCTCAAGCAACAACACATTCACTTCTCAATTCATTCTTGCCTCGCATAAAACATAAAAAAAGAATTAAATGCACTTTTTGCATGTTCATAACAAGAGTCTACAATTGAAACAGGTCAACACTGCCAAATACCTACAAATAAATTATATCTTTTCACAGATATAACAATGTACTTAATTTCATTATTCAGAAAGAACACAGAAATATTAAATAACATTATGACACCAAAAACTTCTACTACACATTATTGGTGAGAGGAAATCAACCCATTTAACCAGAAAACCTTCCTAACTGCAAACTGATGCCAACTGCCTTCTTTAGCTATGAATAACAAGAGGGTGCTTCCAGAAAGTCATCTTACTGCCATAAGAACTGTGAGGGTCTATTTCAGCCATGATAGAAGCAATGCTCACAGCAGTAAGACCACTTGCTCGAACAGGGCCTGTTACAAACGATCTTAGCCCTACAAATGTCTCTTTAGGCCAATGATACCCACAGCACTAAATCCACTTTCTTAAGTCAGCCAATTCCATAAAGCAATCACTGTGTCCAGACAATCTCAACTCCCATAGAGAACTTTAACATACACAACAGCCAGTCACATGATTGCTTCCAGGAACTGGGATGTACTTGAGACAAGTGCACACTCAATATGATATTGAGTATTAATTAAGTCTGAAAAATGGTGAATTCAAATATTCAGCCCCATTTAGGAAACTTCCCTACCACAAAAAAACACATTAAAAAAAAAAATGATAATACAAATACACAGATTGATATATTGAGGTAAGTGCAAGTAAGCCATTACGCCCATCATATTTTGTTTCGAGGGTTCAGACATTCCCCCCATGTTCCTATGGGACTTAAATCAGCATCATTATCAAGTGATTCACAAACTTTTGCTTAGTCATCGAAATGCACTTAAGAAGGAACGATTTCAATCTATGGAACGATTTCAATCTATCAAAATGTGACTCTGACTTTTATAATATCAGTGTCCAGCTTAGAATGGACGGACTAGTCAGATTGGCTACTGGCCAAAGCTTAACTTGTTCAATGTTGTGCGGATAGTTGCATCAGAGTTATCTAAAGATAGAAACATGGCTTGCTGTTGCAGATATTTCATACACAATAACCCCATCACAGTGAATTCTACTTCCATTTTGGCACTCTAAATATTCAAACAGGACTGTGAGCACTAGCTACATGTTAAATAGTGTGAAAATACTCTAAGATAAATAGACTAACCTCTCACAAGACACATCCTGGACAACATCCTATGTTGCTTGTCAAAGATACCAATATGAGAGACGTTTGGCAAGAACATGTGTTGGAAAATGTGTTCTTAAAGACCGTATACAGGAAAATAAATAAATAATTATCCACTTCAAACCTTTAGAACTTTAAACTTGGTCTGTGAGATAAAAGTGGATAGTTTTTAAACACGGTATTGATTTGGTGAGAAAATGTTAGTGTCAGTCTGTACTCAGCAGGAGAACCTAACACACAATCATCAATTACGATCAGTTACAGATACTTTCCACAAGCAAACTGTTATATTACCTGTCCACATGATTATAGTTAATTCTTTCTTCACAACAAGAACCTGATCGGAGGTTCATTCATGTTTTCTTAAGTGCATGAGTGAGTGTGTTTGGTTTGAACAGTAACACCAACTCAATGTGGGTTGAAACCAAAAGTAATGCTGGCTATTGACATTTACTACTTTGGTGAAATCCACAAAAACCTTGAAACAATCAGGGCAAATCTTAGATTCTAACCCACATGTCCCACTCAACCTCAGCTACTGTTTATGCATTATTTTGCATAGATCCAATCAATGTTATACTGAGTAAACATATATTTTCTCTACAATCAATTCTGGCCATAAGTTATGTATCATTCTGGTGTTCCTTTCACAAGCAACGATACTAAGATTAACCTTAACTCCCATTCTTTAACATTGTACTATGGTTACCTTAGTGACTTACGATCACCTTAGTGCTTTGTGAAAGGAGGCCCTTTGATTTTCAAAGCTCTCTTAGCTAAGATTGTCGTAAGTGCCATTCATTAACATTAACTTATGACTATCTTAGCGCTAAGAGAGCTTTGAAAATCTAGGTCCTGGCCTTTGGGGAGTTTTCATGCAATTTCCTAGGATATATCATTGAAAGGAAATTCCATCACAATTCTTTGCCAACCAATGTAACAAATGACATCTGTAATATCTCAGTTACTGAGGCTAATTAGCAGTACTTTTAGTACAGTTTACAATCTGACAGATGCAAAACCTGAAAGAAGAGTCTAACCTTTCTGTGTTTAAACATCAGATGTATCTAAACTTGTCACTATAAGTTTAAAACTGCCGGGCAAGCCTTGGAATTCCAAACTTTCAATGACTTGTGTAGATAAACTTATAAAAAAAACCACTGGGGTGAGATCCACTATCTACTATATGAGGACAGGACACTACCAGCATTTAACTTTATCATGAATTCCTCGAGGAAACTTGTCTATCTCATCTAAACAGTAAGGAAATAAACATGTATTTGTCAAAAATGCACCAGATTTTTTACAAGTGGAAATCAACAGTGACCAGAACATAAATTATGTCACCAAACAGTCCCAGCTTTAACGCTTTTCTGCATCTTTTAACAAGCAATATTCTGCAAAAAGATGGGCCTACTACATTAAACAGACAATTCACCTGATAGCACTACTGAACCACAAGCCACCAATACATAAACCTAAGCAGGTATAGGAAGCTCTACTGGTAATACTGTGGTATCTATACTGAACTGAAATGCCCCTCGCATGTAGTTTATAACTATACAGGATAACAAATAAATCTTACCTATGTAGTGTTAGAGGTTAACACATAAAATGTTCACTTGATACAATACCTCTATCAAAGCTTGCTGAAATTTCTAGTAACAAACACCAAAAAAATAAAGGGACCTTTCATGATTTATGGCTAGGGGTTTGATGATTAATTTTATGGAGAAGCATGTACAATGTGAATGAAGCCCCCTAAGATTTATATACAAAGTAAGTTAACCCCCCCACATGTCATGTACAAAATCAATGCCCCCCTCCCAGAAGTTTAAGCATAATTCTTAAAATAGTAACATGTACAAAATCCCTGACCTCCCTAGAACACGTCCAAAATTGATGACACCTCCCCTACACACACACACTCTCTACCTTCCCAGAACAAAATGGGTGACCCCCCACTTAATATCATCATCACACCACCACCCCCTCCCCCAATAGCCATCTACTATGAACGGTCCCTAAACTGTTTGAGATATGAGTAACATTGAAGGGGGCGTGTCTCCAAACACCGATTTAAACAGTATTTCTGTTATATCATGGCTTGTTGGCTTATAGTGGAGGAGTGAGTGAGTGAGTTTAGTTTTACGCCGCACTCAGCAATATCCCAGCTATATGGCGGCGTATAGTGGAGGAGATTCCAGAAGTGGCACAAGTCTAAGACGTTAACCATAAGGTTTGGTTCTTGTCAATTTTCTGCATTATATCACATCTCATATACCGAACCCGAAAGGGACTGAATGCCTTGTGCCATAATACCTACTATATTGTAATAAGAGCGTACTGTTACACCCCTAAACTGAACGGCCACTCACAGTATGAAAGAACAGGAAATGGTGAAGATAGACATATACACATGTGCAACATACTGAGTTTTCTGTTGCTGCCTCAACATTATATTTGCCAAACCCAGAAACACCACAGTTGTCTTGACATGAATTACACAAGTAATACACATACAAGGTTTACATGACAAAAATATCAACTCTGTATATCGGCTATGTTAAGGCAGGGATGAAGGATACACCTGCTACGTGTATACACAAAACTATCAGAGACCAAAGCATTGGGGTGGGTTGTTGGTACTGCAACAGCATAGTCTAATCTTTAATTATTTAAAAAAATTTGGTTTAGGAAATTTAAACTTTGGATTTCCATCTTAGTTGTGGTCAGAGCTTGTTGAAATTGTTTGAATGCATGAAAAAAGTTGAAAATATAAACTGGTCCGAAAATTTATGTCACTTTATAGGTATCATGAAATTTTGAACATGCAGTTTAATAGAAATTTAAATATTGAAATAAACATTGAGAGGGGGAGAGGGGTTTCAGCTCATTTAGCAATTATTAAACATTTCCATCATGGGTCATCCTAACCACTTATCCACTTTCCTTATAGAAGGAACAGAACTAGTGGTGAGATGGTCAAACACACTGTCCAGGTAACTAACCCACTTCCTCCTCAACCTCATTAACAGATTACAGGAAATCTTTGATAATCTGCCCGATTCCAAGATCCTCTAAACTGAGGGTTCAGCTGTTGCAGGCTGAACAAATCTATTGTAACACATGCTCTGGTCTCTCATGGTATATAGGTGAGGTAGTTTACAAGAGAATTTCTATGAGATCAGCAGACAATTGAACAAATACCTTAATCCGATAAACATCCATACTTGAATGTAGTCATGATACATATCAAGAGAGTTAAAATGATTTGTACATGTGCATTTTCAGTATAATCAACTAACTTGTTACATTTGTTAGTTGCCCTAAACAAATCAAACAATTAATTCCATAAATGAATTTATTCTATTCAAAAAGACTGATAATGGACTGCATAGTAGAAGTATAAATTAACCTGTTCTTTCACATAAAAAGAAGGCAAAACTGAATATCAAGAAATGTGGTTTTCCTTGACTAACAGCTTCCTCAAATAGGGTATTTATTTGTCTTTATGGCTTCCAATATTCCTTCACATTAATAATGATCCTGTAATTATGAAACCACCTTATCCTGGTCGCCCGAAAATCCACTTCTAACTTTAGTATTTTTGAAACTCCAGTCAATGAGTGTTGCCACGGTTACCCATTCAAAGCAGGGCCATTGCTCATGCTGTTCACAGCAATGGCCTGTTTGTGGTGCTCTCTGTACAATGGCTGCCACCAAGCATAGTTTGCAACTGTACACACAGCCTATGGCAGTCCATGTATTTTAACTCCCAACTGCCTGATCATCACACTGACAAACCAGTAATGACTTTCTTCACACCAAGTAGTATTCACCCACTATTTGTTGCTTTGCATGTTAGTTTGAACTGATATCACATGTCATATATCATGCAAGTAGTGGAGAAAAGTTGAGCACGTTTCCACAAATTCTGTAATCTCAAATCAATCTGACTTGAAAAAACATAAATTTATCAGCGATATCAGAACTAAGTTGTAAACCTTTTCCTAAGTCACCATAATTTCATTCCCAACACCACACACAAAACTATTAATGTCACAAACTTTTGTGTTGGAGGAAATATTTTCAAAATTCTTTCCATGGCTGTTGCACACTGGAGGTGGCAGTCATACTGGTAGGGTGACGAAGGTGTCAAGCACGGAGGAGAGAAGGTGTCAAGCACGTAGGAGGAGAGAGGGGGTTGAGCCATAGCTTCATAATGGGACAAAAGAAGGTTATCTCCTCCTGCACCAAGGTCTTATTCCCTCCAGGCATTTCTACTTATGAAATATCCTACCGTGAGTTGTTTAAGTAACACTTTTAATGACCACAATGGAGAATCATACCAAATATTTCATTAGAAGAACTAATTATCAGGGTAACATGATTTGTTTTTCATCAGAATTCAAAGAGAAAATATACGGCTCAATAATGCACAATGACACTCTTCAATTATTTTTAAGACCTTACATTATTTAACTAATTGCCAAGATCTAGCACCATGAGCAAACACTTGCTGATTGTGTACTAGGTGCATTTTAAATATACTTCTTATTTTTTATTATTATTATTTCCAAGGCCCTGTACATCATCAATTCAATGCTAATCCACACCATCACTAGCTCGGACCAGTATGGTGCAAACCTAAAGAGAGAACTGCTCTTATCCACCATGACATGAATGCCAAAAAAGAAGCAGTTCAATATCAAAATGTCCGTGATAATGACCCCTATCAATGCTACATAATGAAAATGAAATCAATAAAGTCAGTGAAAAGATCTCCATTAATTCTTGAAACATTTTAAGAAAGGATTATGATCTTGTAAACAAAAAAAACACCTTATCCATGTGTGAGATATCTTTGACCACTTGGACCAAAGTCTCCCTGTGACCATGTGTATGAAGTCACTACACAACAAGGGTTTTAGAAGACTGACAGGATAGCACTTGTCAAGGAAATTCAAATGGCAACAGGTACATGCATATTGTCTCTAAAAGTATCGAAATAGCAGAGAATCCCGCTCTCCTGCTAAAAAGACTACAAACTTTAAAGGGTATCAAAATGCTACTTCGGCTAAAACAGTCTGGTATAAAATACTCCCCATTAAAAAAACAATCACATTCACACACATCCATGCCAATGTTTCCAACAGAAGGTGAATGGAGTCAGGCTGAAGCAGTCTTGAACTTAGACCTCTAGGATTGTTACAAAAGTTCAAAGTTGGCCTCTAGACTAGTTTCTGTACTTATATGTACAGCGTGGGGTAACCATGGTAACCAAATGTTACTGCTTTCCATTACTTCGTCCCAAAAAAGTCTGTTCTTTCATCTTAATCAGAGGTTATATGATGATAACATGAGACAACAGATCTTACATTTAGACTCATGGACATTTCCCGAAACTTTCCCCCAAAAATATTTAAAAAACAAACACTTTTTCTAATGTTTCAAGTTTCACATGTGTTGTGGAAGGTTGGTGACTTATCTGTCTTGATATTTGTGAAGAGATCAACAACTGTAACAAGTAGGGCTCTAGGATTAAGACTGCTTTAAGTGAGAACAAGAGTTTTATGCCCCACTAACTGGACATTAGGACAGGGGCAGTTTTCTGGACAAATTGGAAAGGATGTCAAATCATACCCTGGCAATATCCAATCTCAGATACCATACTTCAAATATATATAACTTACATGCAAGAGAAACATCAGAATTATTTTTAGCAATAAGACATATTGGACAGTTTTCACTGGAAACAAGTTACTGTTAACAGCAAAATACAGTATTATATATGGCCTGATTCTGTGTTTCATCACCCAACTTGAAGACACTTATTTTCAAGGAAATATCACTTGACCCAGTCTTGATTTGCATATTATAGTACTCCCACATACAAGGGAGGTCACTCCCATCATATCACACTGACAAGGGAGGTAACTCTCCCTTATTGACAACTTTCTCAAGACTGAAAGCTTTCTCAATTTCTTGTAAAAACCTGAAAATATCTGGTAATGAAACACAGAATGAAAGCATTTAACTCTTATGGACAATTCATAAGAGAGGACATCACATTATTTTATCACATAATACAGAGAAGTGCTAATAATTACGGCAAAGATTTTATCTTTAGAAGAACCTTCAGAAAAGGTCGAAAAATAAATAACGATGATTATCAGTTTCATCTGATCATGATCCTCGTCATGACTCAACTCTTGCAGTCACGCAATAACTGCGATGATTAGCTGTCGGTTGTACTGTGAAAATTGTTTGTTTAAAGACAACAGTTGCCTTCATTTGACTGCACATGCACTCACAGAACACAACACGAATAGTCCGACACAGCAGTCACTCGCATCAGTCGTCAAAACCACAGAGGTCATGACCTTCGCACCATGAACAGCCATTTGTCTTCTGTAAGCACAGCCAAGCATTCACACTACATCTTGGGCAAACACGATCAGCATGATTCCAGTTTGAAATGCACAGAGCTTGATTGGTGACAGTCATATAAATGATATTAAAATATGGGTGTTACAAAGAGACTCCAACTTTCTAAAACACATAAAAATAATCCTTTCGGATGACAAATCTAATATCTGTCAGTTTACAAAAATATCAACTGTGTCTGGAGTTCTAGTGAAGTCTAAAGTGTTGAATATTTGCAAATTTTCAAACTATGCAATTGACAAAGAGTTTGGGAACAATTATTTGTCCAATTCTCCCATATTAAATATCAACGCCATTGTAATGATGACGTTCACTGCACCTGAACTCCATGCATTCAAACATTCTGTCTCCTGTTGTAGAAAAGCACAGGTCCTGCTGCCAGGACAGATATTCCCTCATCAGATACAGGAGAAAGACAACTTGGTCAGAACCAACAAATGCTATTTCATTAATGATCAAATTTGAGATCCAATTCATCCCTGAATCGTTCCTGGTGCAGACACAGGATTTCTCAATCCTGACGAAGCTCCACAGAAAGAGCATACCCGACCTGATACATGGTCGGGTCTCAACAACAAAGGTAATACGTCTGTATAAATCGTCACAAAGAGCATGTAATTATCGTGTGTAGCTTCAGACTTGGTCCTAGTTGACGATTCCGTTTGCCTCCTGTCGCTCTGAATTAACATCCTGAAGACGACGCATTAGTCGACTGGAACACATTTTCTTCGTCGGGCTGTCATCGACGTCGTCATCGTGGTCCACCTCAAGGATCCTCTTCCCTGTCAACTTACGCTCCCCCATGCGGACCATGTTATTTATTGCACGCAGGTCCTGCAACGAAATGTTGAATTGAATTATAGGCCAATTATTTTGTAAACAAAACATAAAACAAGCATTGTCACTAAGGTGACATAATCCCCCGCCACAAATTATCAAATCAAACTTAAAAAGTAATGAAAGTGAAGGTCGTAATTTAAGATAAAGTTAAATGTCAACAAAAACATGACCAGCCAACCTCTCTTGATATCTTACTCTGTAGTTGTTCAAACACACACATATTTTCAAGACTCACTTTGACCTTGACATGAATGTCTTAGTGTATGAAATATGCAAAATAGTTATAAAGAAATTGCTTATTGAAAAACATTCAAGGGAAGTCTTGAAAGTCTATGAAGAAAATCCAGTGAACTGTTCTTGAGATACCTCGCTGACAATCTTAACATGCAGTTTAACATGCTGAAATCTTCAAAGTGTCGCCGTGACCTTGAAAATTATGTGAAGGTCACCAAAATCGACTGGGCCTTGCACCTTCCCCAGATGAAGCTTGGTGTCAAATATGAAGAAAGTACAGTGAATGGTTCTTGAGGTATCTTGTTGACAAGCTTAACATGCAGCTTAACATGCTGAAATCTTCAAAGAGTCGCCATGACCTTGAAAATTAGGTGAAGGTCACCAAAATCAACTGGGCTCTGTGCCTTCCCTAGATAAAGCTTGGTGTTGAATATGCAGCAAATCCAGAGAACGGTTCTCGAGATATCTCGCTGACAAGGGTAAAACGTTAAAAGTCCCCTTGTGGCCTTGAAATGAAGGTCAAGGTCACCAAACCTGACTGGGACCTTTCTGTTACTGTGATGCACCTAGGTACCAAATATGAAAAGAATCCAGTCAACGGTTCTTAAGATATTCCAATTCGTACGTACAGACGGACGGAGTCTAATATTATATCCCCCGCTTCGCACTAAATGAGAGGCGGGGGATAATATAAGTGTCCTGGGAACAATGAACGATGTCACAATTGTGTTAAGTGTTCAATGATATTAGCAGGAAGGACAGGATTCAGCAAGCTGACTGATATTGTGGATTAATGGAGGAGTGCACACAAACATTCATGACACACTTCCTTTCAGGCAAACAAATGGTGTATAATGCCCTGATATTCAACCCAACTCTACTGACTGGAAACATTCCTACCTAGAAGGGTATTATTCTGATATCACTTGTCACCTGGTAGGATCAAACAGTACATTAACAAAATTTGTGCATCATTTCTGTGGATTATATACAAGTATATTGGTACGTGTACCATATTTACTTTACAATGCTGAGTGCGGCGTAAAACTAAACTCGCTCACTACTTTACAATATCTGACGTTAGAAAGGTTCATTTTAGTGTTATCTAATTGTGAGAGTTCAATTAACAGAGCAAACACTTAGTAGGGTTACTCAAAGGGCAAACAGTCAACTGAGATGCCGAACAACGGGAATCACATCAAGCATGACAATGTCAGGGGTTTGTGGGAATCACATCAAGCATGACAATGACAATGTCAGGGGGGAATTTGTGGGAATCAATGTCAGGGGTTTGTGGTTTGTGGGAATCGCATCAACAAATGTCAGGGCTTGACAATGTCAGGGGTTTGTGGGAATCACATCAAGCATGACAATGTCAGGGGTTTGTGGGAATCACATCAAGCATGACAATGTCAGGGGTTTGTGGGAATCACATCAAGCATGACAATGTCAGGGGTTTGTGGGAATCACATCAAGCATGACAATGTCAGGGGTTTGTGGGAATCACATCAAGCATGACAATGTCAGGGGTTTGTGGGAATCACATCAAGCATCAAGCATGACAATGTCAGGGGTTTGTGGGAATTGCATCAAGCATGACAATGTCAGGGGTTTGTGGTTTAACACCGCACTCAGCACGCTTCCAGCGGTGATAGTCTGTAAATCATAGAGTCTGGACCACACAATCCAGTGATCAACAACCTGAGCATTGATCTACACAAGTGGGATACGATGACATGTGTCAACCAAGTCGGCAAGCCTGAAAACCCAATCCCGTTACGACAAGAAATGGGTTGCTGAAAATCAATTCTAACCCGGATCTTCATGGGAATGTCTGAGGTACATGATGGTGATAACTTAATCAACTACCTGGATAGATCAGCAGGTAATGCCGAATGCTTCTACCAACCTTTGCTGGGCTCCTGTTTATGCAGAATGAGATGCCTTTCGGCTGAGTTGTGTGTGACATGCTGCCTGCGTGGGGGGAGATATACACAGAGTATTTGCTGGAGACACAGTAGGGAAGCGGCACGCTTTGCTAACCTTCGTACCAACGGCAGCGGGGACAAGGGAGGTATATCCTGGGTAACAAATAAAACTGATCACAACCAAGTTGAAACTAAATCAAATGCTATCACGTAATCTAAAAAGAAGAACACCCAATTCTTTCATATTTCAGTCTGGTGTCTCCAACCATGATATTGCTGGAATATTAATAAAAGTGGTATAAAAGCAAACTCACTCACTCACTCATGGCAGGAATATAACTGCAGTATCTGCGACTTCTTTTGAGCAGTATATGTCAAAGACTCACAGAAAATTATTACATCAGACTGATATAGATTAAACATACTAAACAGATAAAGTATATTCATTTAATTGTTTCATTTATTATCTAATTGAAGCAATATTCTTGTTGGTTTTATTTAAAAGTTATTAAAATGGAAAAAATGTTGCAATCAAATTAAATTATCAACTGAAGTGACAAGAGTGACTTACAGATGTTGCGCTTTGCTGAGGAAAATTTCAGTGCAAAACTCTTTATTCTCTTCACAAAGAGACCTGAAAAGGAATATGATCCACAATAAAATATACAATCAAATCAGACAGTGTGCTCACTGTAACCACTCATCACAATGTCGCTTAATCCTTCTTAAAGAAACACAAGAGGGATGTCACAATAGAACTATTCCCCAATATGCTCGCATTTTTGATACTTTAGGCACGACATGATACTTTATCCGCTTCAAAATAAACACTTAATACAAGTATCTTACACAATAAAGCGTCCAGGTTTGTTCTTTTCTCTCACTTTTGTTGCTTTCTTTCACATGTACTTATAATTATCTGCTTCATTGCTTTCATTCACCTGATGAAGGATGGGAATATGTTCATAATACAGAACTTCACATCAGTAAATTCTCCCTGTTTATTGGTATCATTTACACGGTCAGATTGACATCAAATGACAATGTCAGGGGTTTGTGGGGGTTCAATGGAATCATATCAAGCATCACATCAATCAAGCATGACAATGTCAGACAATGTCAGGGGTTTGTGGGAATCATATCAAGCATGACAATGTCAGGGGTTTTGTGGAGAATCACATCAAGCATGACAATGTCAGGGTTTGTGGGAATCACATCGCTACGACATGACAAATCACATCAAGCGACAATGTCAGGGTTTGTGGAATCATATCAAGCATGACAACGTCAGGGGTTTGTGGAATCACATCAAAGCATGACAATGTCAGGGCTTGTGGGAATTGTGGGAATCAGGGGTTTGTGGGAATCATCAAGCATGACAATGTCAGGGTTTGTGGGAATCACATCAATGCATGAATCACATCAAGCATGACAATGTCAGGGGTTTAATGGGGAATCACCAAGCTACGACAATGTCAGGGTTTGTGGGAATCATGTCGTCACAGGGTTTGTGGAATGTCACATCAAGCATGACAATGTCAGGGTTTGTGGGAATCACATCAAGCATGACAATGTCAATGTCTAAGGGTTTGGGAATTTGTCACAGTCAATCACATCAAGCCCCATGCATCGATTCCTATTTTAAAACTTTATCTATTCAAATTTTTATGCTACATCTCTGTCGAATCAGTCTTGATGTAAAATTATACAGATGGCTCACATAAATAGGTAGCTAGCTTTGTGGGAATCACATCAAGCATGACAATGTCGAGGTTTGTGGTGGTAATCACATCAAGCATGACAATGTCAGGGTGCACACAATGTCAGGTGGGAATTTGTGTCAGGGTTTGTGGTAATCACATCAAATGCATTTGACAATGTCGGGGATTTGTGGTAACGCCATCAAGCATGATATGGGGTTTATGTCATCACATCAATGTCAGGGTTTGCTGGGAATGCTATCGACAATGTCAGGGGTTTGTGGGAATCACATCAAGCATGACAATGTCAGGGTTTCCATGGGAATCATATCGCATGCCATGACAATGTCAGGGTTTGTGGTAATCACATCAAAGCATGACAATGTCAGGGTTTGTGGGAATCACATCCAAGCATGACAATGTCAGGGGTTGAATCAATCAAGCATGACAATGTCAGGGTTTGTGGGAATCACATCACATGACAATGTCTCAGGGGTTTGTGGGAATGATGACAATGTCAGGGGTTTGTGTCAGGGGTTTGTGGGAATCACATCAAGCATGACAATGTCATCAAGCATGACAATGTCGGGGTTTGTGAATCACATCAAGCATGACAATGTCAGGGGTTTGTGGGAATCACATGTCAGGGGGGAATCACATCACATGACAATTTTTGTGGTTTAACACCGCGGGTTTGTGAATCACTCAGTGACAATGTCAGCTTCAAAATCAGCGACAATGTGATAGTCTGTAAATCATAGAGTCTGGACCACACATTGCATCCAGTGATCAACAACGCTTCAGCTGAGCATTGATCTACACAAGTGGGATACGATGACATGTGTCAACCAAGTCGGCAAGCCTGAAAACCCAATCCCATTACGACAAGAAATGGGTTGCTGAAAATCAATTCTAACCCGGATCTTCATGGGAATGTCTGAGGTACATGATGGTGATAACTTAATCAACTACCTGGATAGATCAGCAGGTAATGCCAATGCTTCTACCAACCTTTGCTGGGCTCCTGTTTATGCAGAATGAGATGCCTTTCGGCTGAGTTGTGTGTGACATGCTGCCTGCGTGGGGGGAGATATACACAGAGTATTTGCTGGAGACACGGCGTGGCGACGCTTGCTGGCTTTGTACCAACGGCAGCGGGGACAAGGGAGGTATATCCTGGAGTAACAAATAAAACTGATCACAACCAAGTTGAAACTAAATCAAATGCTATTACGTAACCTAAAAGAAGAACACCCAATTCTTTTATATTTCAGTCTGGCGTCTCCAACCATGATATTGCTGGAATATTACTAAAAGTGCTATAAAAGCAAACTCACTCACTCATGCCAGGAATATTAACTGCAGTATCTGTGACTTGCAGTATATGCCAAAGACTCACAGAGACTCATATCAGACTGATATAGATTAAACATACTAAACAGATCAAGTATAGTCATTTAACTATTTCATTTATTATCTAATTGAAGCAACATTCTTGTTGGTTTTTATCTAAAAAGTTATTAAAATAGAAAAAAGGTTGCAATCAAATTAAATTATCAACTCAAGTGACAAGAGTGACTTACAGATGTTGCGTTTGCTGAGGAAAATTTCAGTGCAAAACTCTTTATTCTCTTCACAAAGACCTGGAAAGGAATATGATCCACAATCAAATATACAATCAAATTCGACAGTGTGCTCACTGGAACCACTCATCACAATATGGTCAGCGATAATCCTTCTTAAAGAAACACAACAGGGATGTCACAATAGAACTATTCCCCCAATATGCTACACATCTTGATACTTTAGGCACTATATGATACTTTATCCGCTTAAAAAATAAACACTTAATACTAGTATCTTACACGATTAAGCATCAGAGTTGGTTATTTTTTTATTTCTTTTTCACTTTTGTTGTTTTCACATGTAAATATATACTGACCGCAATGAAAACGCATAAGGGTTTTTTACAGATCATTTTTTGAAACATAAGTGAGAAGTACTAATGATGCACTGAATATTTGAAATGAATGTTCAAAACTTGATTAGGAACAGTTGTTTGAGTTCAAATCCACTTCATGCATCCGGAAACAGTTGTGGAAACGCATTTTTAATCACTCGTTGAAACACAGCAAGGCAATCCTGACAATGAAAATGCATGTGCACCTCGTGAGGTCTTTCCCATATAATGCACGTGTATAGAGAGTTCAGTAGCCGCAACGGAATCTGCAGCAATGTGCACACGCTCTGGGACTCCTTGAAGCCGGTATTTCACAAAATCTTGTTGCTAGGCGCCTTATGTCAAACAGTCCACCATTAGCAGTCTTGTCAGTTGTCACCAGATGACAGGGAGCATTGCCGACCACCCTCAACTAGGACGACTTCCGGTTACGACGGCCAGACAAGATCGACAGATGCGACTGGCGCACCTTTGAGATCGCTTCAGAACGGTAACAGCAACAGCAGCAGCAACGATTGGTAGCCATGACAGAAGGATCCAACAATCAACAGTCATTCGACGCCTGAACTGTCGACGTCCATACTGTGGCCCTGTGCTTCAGCCCCGTCACCGCCAAGCCCGATGTCAATTCGCACAGCAGTATGCGCAACAACAACCAGTTTTCTTTCACAGCCTTGTCTTTTCAGATGGGTCATGGTATTGTGTGTCATTTGTGGATGGAAGTCAGCGTGTTTACAGACGTCGTGGGGAACATTAGGCAGGCCCATGTGTCAAGACAAAGAAATCGATTTGGTGGTGGTAGTGTAATGGTTTGGGGGTACATCAACGCACGTTTCAGGAGTGATCTGCCTGTCATCCAAGGTAATCTGACTGCACAGCGTTATGTGGATGAAGTCCTGAGGCCCGTAGTGGTTCATTTGCTGCGCCGTCACCAACGCCCTCGATGTCCACTAACATTCCAACATGTGAAACGCCCGTCCTCATGCCGCCAGGGTGACACAAGCATTCATTCAGCAAGCTGGAATTAATGTGATGGACTGGCCAGCGTATTCACCAGATCTCAACCCTATTGAGCATTTGTGGAATGAACTGGGGAGACGTGTTTATCAACGTCAGCCACCACCAGCCAACGTTTCAGATCTCACACTGGTCTTGCAGCAATAATGGAGGAACATTCCCATGGCCTTCATTGCTCGCCTTGGTGACTCATTGCCCCATTGTCTCAATGCCTGCGTCAGGGCGAATGGAGGACACAGAACATACTGACAGTGTTTAAAGGGGTGACCTTGTTTGACCTTATCTGTACCACTCGTATTTGCTGATATCCAACTTTTTCAAAACCGTAATCATTGCTTATTACCCATGTAAACTGAAAATGATTTTGCATCTAAACCTTTGTTTTTTGTCACTTTATTCCACATCAAAATCAGTTATGTGTTTACGCTGCGGGTCAGTATAATTATCTTCTTCATTGCTTTTATTCACTTGACGAAGGAGTGGGAATATGCTCATAATACAGAACTTCACATCAGTAAATACGCCCTGTTTATTGGTATCATTTACAGTCCGTTTGTCAACACTGAATTGCAAAATACTTCAAAATCAGGAATAGTCTTTGTAGTGCGAGCAGTTCCTGTTTGGGTTGTAACTCCTACCGAAGTGCCTCCCTTTGTTAAAGATATAACTTGTACACCTAACAATATGATAGTTTCAGAAACAACTCTTTCCACTGATGGGTATAAAGATAACAAGTGTTTGCCACTAACATGGCAAAGTCCCCCATAAAAACTTACAGCGTTATAGAACTGTATCAGGTCTCCTCTCTCAAAGTCAAATGTTGCCTCACCCCTAGCAGCTTGGTGGGGGTGGGGGGCTGACTGTTGGGGTGGGGGACAGGAAGAGTACTGTCGGAGCGAATGAATCCAAGCATTTCAGTTTTCTCTGCAAAACATAATACCAGGATGAGTTAGATTTGTATATTTTCGTGGACATGGACAAGATTTTTCTCCAATCAGGTAATGATATTTAAGAATGAAATTTTATTCATAATGCATATTGTCTCAAACAAAATCTCTGAGATAGATCATCAGTGTAACATTTAGTCTATAGTCTTTTTAATGTAGTTAAAACATGCATCAATACTCCATCGATATGGCAGCGGACAATAAATATTGGTGTCTGTACTAAACAAACCGGCGATTGCAAATATCGGCAACTATCCATGCCATCAGGGTGCAACGACACATTCAATTAGGACCACTTCATCCATAAAGTTGCTTCTTTCAGTCGGCACAACTACCGGCAGAATCCCCATGAAGCAGGGTAGACGCCATGAGTCACGTCAAGCTGGTTCGCAACTAACCTGGGGCAACAACAACTTGCTCATCAAGATTTCCACTAGTCTCGGACAACTGGAATAGTGGCCATTCTATTTATTCCTGGTAGGGTGTTCACCTTGTGATTTGGTGCAAATTTCAGAATTAATTCTGCTGTTGAGACAGTCTTACTTTTGTCTCGGTCCTTCTCGTCTTCCTTGTTGACAGGGGACGACGAGCCACTGGCACCGCTCTTGCTGCTCGCTGCTCCCGGACGCGTTGCGGTGACGGCCGATGAGCAGTACACTGCGATACACCTGCAGAGAGAGGACATGTTTATGTCTTTACTGTAAAGCCACAGTGAGAAATATTCTAGTTGTATAAAGCAGGCCTGTGAATGATCAAATCTGAGATGTTAGGATCTGTAAGTATGGTGGAGCGAGAGAGTTTAGTTTTATACCACTTTTAGCCATATTGAAGCAACGCCACAGCAGGGGATGCCAGAAATGGGCTTCACACACTGTACCCATGTGGGGAATCAAACCCGCATCTTCGGCGTGACAAGCAAGTGATTTAACCACTAGGCTACACCATCGTCCCTCTAAGGATGATGGATAACAAACCACAAAAATTCATAAACAACTCATACAAGGGTTCACTTAGGCCTGCTCAGACCATAATTCATCCCAAAGTCTGCAACTTATGTCATAGATAACAGGGCAAATAAAGAAGAAGAGGTTTTGACCAGCTTAAATTTACAAAATTTACAAAGGTTTAAGTGGTAACCTTCAATAAGGGCTAGTACAAATTTCAGGTTTATTTATTCTCAAAATATTAAACAAAGTAAAGTTGAACAAAGACTATAATAATGATCAACCATCCTTCCACTCACATGACTTTGAGCCTGTGGTTGAACTCTGTAGCACTTCATGATTTGCTGGAATGTTAGCGGTTTTTTGGCACACCTGTAGAAAAAGTATATATGAAAAAAAGACACCACTATGTGTATATTCTAAAGAGCAGGTATGGATCAACACTGCTTTAAACATTATTTCATGTGGAAGAAAAGCCTTACATGTCTCAGATTAATGATGTCATGATACATAAGTTTCATGAATCAATACGTATCACAATACCCATGTCAAGATGTGATACGTATTACAATACCTATTTTCGCATTAATATTTCATATTTTATAGTTGTCCATGAAAACATCAACATTTTTTCTCTCAGAGATTAAAAAAGTTCTAATTTCTCATCTTTGTGCATGAAAAATAATCATTTAGAACTCTCATAACATCAAAAAACATGATACAATTGCAATATGTAAACGATACATAAACATATTTAAAACGATACTCTCAAAACTAAATATCGATACAGTTTTGTATGTATCGATAATTGTGCTTAGAAAAAGCATTGACGCATCAATGTATCCATGTATCGTGGCATCCCTAGGTGAGTGAGTGAGTGAGTGAGTTAATATTTAACAATATCTCAGCCATATCGTCCCTAGGTGAGGTGAGGTGAGATTGGGTTTAACGTCGTGCTTGAGAATATTTCGCACCGGGCAGACGCTCTAACCACTACACCACGGAGGCGGTCCATGGCATTCCTTTCTCAGATGTTTTAAATCTCATGACCAGGAAGACAGGTATGGTGCTTGCCATAAAGTTAACCTGGCTGGGTAAACATGGGAGTCAAACCACAGGTATCTGGCTCCACAAGGAACCTGTCTGCTTGTGTATACTTGGAATCAAGACACCTTGAGGACTCGTCAAATGGGTGAAAAATACAAAGTATGAGTTTTGTTTGTTTGCTGCTAAACATCACGACTGGCATTATTCCAGCTACTTGTCCAGTCTGGACTGAACAAACCAGAGATTGACATAAGACAATGATCCATGCCATCAGTTCATACTAACATGTTATAAAGCAGATCTGACCAGACGATTCATGAAGTCATCTCCTACAACAAGGACAGGTGGCTGGGGGACCGCCTCCGTGGTGTAGTGGTTAGAAGGTCGCGGGTTCGATCCCCGACCGCGTCATACCAAAAGACGTTAAAATATGGTACTTGTTGGTTCCTGCCTGGCTCTCGGCATTAATGGGTACCACAAGGACTGGTCGGCTCGGAGTCAGTATAATGTGTCTGAGTGGGGTATTCATGCTTCACTGCGGCATGGTATCTCAGTGGGCTAGCACTATAAAACCAGCTACAGTCTTGGCTAGTACAAGCAGCCGCACATACACATACTCACGCATGCACGTCGTCATATGAGCGAAATATACTGAAGCACGACGTTAAACGCAATTTCACCTCACCTGACAGGTTGCTGGGGAAATTCGAACCAACTATCCCACGTGTGTCCACCTACATACAGTTCACAATGTTGATTGTTTGCTTAGTGCGTATTCAGCCAAATTCAAGCTATATGACGGCAACTTGTAAATAATCGAGTCTGATTACACAAACCAGATTACACATTGTGAGTGAGTGAGTTTAGTTTTACGCCGCTTTTAGCAATATTCCAGCAATATCATGGCAGGGGACACCAGAAATGGGCTTCACATTGTACCCATGTGGGGAATCGAACCCAGGTCTTCGGCGTGACGAGCAAACGCTTTAACCACTAGGCTACCCCACCGTCCCTTACATATTGTGAGTAACTATCAACACTGTCAGGGTGCAAGGACACACTATCGACCAGGTCAGTGACTCAGACCATCTAATACATTCAGTTGCTTTTTATGACAAGCACCAAGTGGGGTCAGAAATGAGAGAGTGAATGTTATTGTATGACCCAGGCAGTGATATTGGAATGTTTTGTCAAAAAAACTGACCAGGTGGACCATGTGATCTAAGCACATAACCAACCAGAGTGTCGTACAAAACAACCTTAACGCTAAGACTAACATAAGTCTATATTATGGGAGTTGAGGTCACCTTAGCGCTAAGATCATTCTGTTCAACGACACCCAGATCACATGACGTAATCACCAGCTTCGTGAAGCTGACAATGGAGAGTGGGATTCCGGAACCTATCTACTAGTGTTAGGAATTGGTTGAAATCTCACAATTGATGATTGCTTCATTACCAACGAACAATCATCGAAAAAAATTGGTTAGCGTCATTTTTCAGATTTTCCTATCCAGGTTGTTACTGCAGAAAAGTATAAAATGTTGCAACTTGCTACATTAAAGTGATGACTAATATATCATGAGCATAAGAAATATTCAGTCATCACTTTTCAGTTAGTGGAGTGAGTTTTCTAAGAAATAAACATGTTTTTAGGCCCTGACAACTTCTAAGATATGTTCCATTGTCAAGTATTTCAAAGTCTAAAACAGTAGTTCCAAAATCGTTTATGTTCGATTCTGAGAAAAATGTGATCGATTGCTTGGTCGTTTGGCTACTGCGACCAATCTTCGATTATTTCAATTAATCGGAACACCACTACTATCTACCCAGAATTCTCCACGTTCACAAGAATGAATAAAGAAACAAAATGTCCTACAGGCTGAAGAGACTTACTTTCGCCATAACGTAGATAGCACACATAAGCAGTTGGTCAATATGACGATCCTTCATAAGGTCAAGGTTATGTACAAAGACGTGTTCAAAACACGTCCACATCTTGCGTCGTAGGTCGTCGTCTGTGACCTCTAACCTGTCGCACAGGTCACGTAGTCGAACGCTCACTAAATGATACACCTGTGGAAAGAAGACATACCCTCAGTGTTGGACAACAAACTAGTTGCTTCTTGGATACAATCAGTGTGGTAAATTTTACCATTCTGAAATGTGGTTAATACATTAGCCATGGAAAGTCAGTTCAATGCAGACCTATTGGTTATTGACCTGTCAGCTGTGAACAGAAGAGAACCTAATGGAGGACTGACTGACTGACTGAGTTTGGTTTTACGCCGCTTTTAGCAATATCACAGCAATATCAGAGCGGGGGACACCAGAAATGGGCTTCACACATTGTGCCCATGTGGGGAATCGAACCCTGGTCTTCAGGGTGATGAGTAAATGCTCTAACCATTAGGCTACCCCACCGCACCTAAACCACAACGACATGCCACTAGTCCTTATTGAATTTGCTTGGTTCTGGCAAGCTGACTTAGGTATTGTTGAAATCCACATTGTAATAAAGACCCAGATGTGTTTTTCTTTGATGCTTAATGCAAGAACACAGCAACAATCCAGCTGTATTGCAGTCTCGAAATAATCAGTTATATTGGGGCCACACAATCCAGTGGCAGATATCATGAGCAATAATCCACATCTTCAGGGTATGAATGACAGCAGTCTGTAAATAATGAAGTCTGGACCACACAACCCAGTGATTGACGTGGCATTGATCTACACAATTGCGATATGTGTCAACCAAGTCAGCGAGCCTGACCACCCGATCCCGCTAGTCACCTGCTACGACAAAATGACATGGTAGTAACCTAGTAACAGTGCCTGAACACCAGATCAATCTGTCACTTCATACGACAAGCACCTGACGACAGAGGAATCTCAATTGTGCATGCATGACTGCCTATAAAAATTTGTACAGTGCCGCTTTTATAGTGCAAATACACAAAGATACCTTGTTGCTGTTTTACCATACCAGTAATTGTTTTATCCCCTCAAGGTAACAACATCTTTAAAAATTTGTTTTGGCGTAACACAGCCCGTATCATATCACTGACTTTGCGCCATCTGGGGAGAAACTCGATCCACCTGAGACAACATGCAATCAATGAAGTTTTGCTCTATTTACAGACAATGAGATTTGGCCATGAACCCAGACAACTATGATGAAGCACACCTTTCTAAAGAACAGCGGTAGAGAGCCAGTCTTCTTGGGTTTGTTGGACTTGCTGGGGAAGGGAGGGATCTGTTTGCCAGGACTGGTTGACACCAGGGTCTGCACCGGGATTAGTACCTGCAACAAAAAGCACGAGCATCTGTTGTAGCTGATAAATGTTTTAGTAACACTCTCTCTTGATCAATTGGCAGTATTTCAGCCATTTTGAGATCTTCTCTTAAATAGAGAGTATGGTTTTATACAAATATTAGGCAATGTTATAGCAAGGGACATCTGAAATAGGCTCCACACAGGGCATCCATGTGGGGAAATGAATGGCTTTTCAGCATGACATGCACACACACTAACCATTCAGCTAACTAACTGCTCCTGCTCTTGAACAAATAGCATTGACATCAGAACAGTTTATATACCAGCCACAAAAATTTGAAATTTTCTATGATCTTAAAATAGTTCTTATATTATGATGCACGGTGAATCTCATTCATTAATGGAGTCAGACCTATCTGTCAGATTTGCGGACAGTCCGATGAAGTCTACTACCTGCCAGCTCCAGTGTCAGACAGCAATGTGCAAACCCATTTGGTTTGTGAAAGGGAGAGCAGATGTAGACTAGTGCAGGTATAGTGCATTATGATGAATTTGAATCCGCTCGTAGCTGCATATGCCTTTATCATAAGACTCTCACGTGGTTGGTGTAGCACTACACTTGATCGCGGACAACCTGGGGCCCCTTCGCCCATAATGGCAAGCGCCAGTGGGCGGCACTCATACATGCTAATACGGGTCAATTGTCAGGTCGGTGCTCAACTTATCCTTGTTTGCCAGTACCATGGAGTGCTACCTCTATCCTATTGTTGTCACCATGGTGACCACTGACCTGTCTTCCATCACTGGTGACAGCTATCAGGGTCTGCCCTGTAGACAGGGTGTTGGAGTCGGTCTGCGTCGTGGCCACCACGGTTTCCGAAACGCCGCTGTTGAGCTGCTTCACCAACTCCGTGTGTGTTGCTGCGTGTGTTGAGAGCTGCTGGGCAGCTGGCCCGAACAGCTGGCGTTTGACACTGCCGGGTTGGGGTGATGAGAAACGGTCGACAGCTGACGGACCTGGAGGTGACTGGAGGGGGTCTACAACTGAACAGACGCCTACATGTTTTTAACTAAGTCAGGAATACAGAGGTTTTCAAAAGCATCATCAGACATCGCCACTTTCCTGTGTTTTTAATGGAGTTTCTTGTTCGACAAGATGAGAGAGGTTGAAATAGATAAAATACATTAAATCAATCACAGTCAAGGTTAACCTAACATTCCACCCAAAGACCACTTCGCAACAAAATATTGGGATGTAGGTGACCACTTTCTTAAATTCAGGTCTTTTATAGTATACATAAATTAGTAATACAGTCATCCCTCGCATAAACGCTATTCGAGATACCGCGGATTCGGTAAAACCGCGGGGTAATCTGTGGCTCCCATAAAAGAAGTTGCCCAGTGATCACACATATTCACGTCATCGAAAATAGCACATCAACAAATCCGCTCTTGAGCTCTGGTTAATCACATTGTAAACTAGTGAAATTCGGTGCGGATTGCAATTAACAGTGTTTATCGTACATATCCATGGTTTTTTCAGATGCTTAAAACATGCAGGTTTTTTCCCCAATAATAATAGATGAAGAGCGAAACATCGTAATAACTTTATCATAAAGACATGTCGATCATCAGCCGAGTATTTACAATGTTTGCTATGATGCAACACACCGCCATTTGAGAATGTAAGATGTCAGAAAACACATTTTATTTGATTAAATTCAAACCCATTTTCATTCATTAAAACTGTTTACAATAACAACGGAGAAACCGTGAGTGAAATGGCATTACCTCATTCCATACAACGCCCGCTTACCACATTCGTGAGGGTCCGTTTTTTGCGCCTACCGCGATAGCACCAATTTCACATTTTTCTCAGCAATCACGAACAGATTACAGCCTTGTCATCCATTGACCCCAAGACCCACGGCATTGACTCATTGAAGTCATATTTGACAATTAATTGTCAACATTTTGTTTTTACAATCAAAGTGGCACGTACCGCGGGAAGTCAGAGGTGACTTGTCAAACTGTCTCCTACTAAAATGTATCCAGCCAGGTAACCCAAAGTGCTTAGCAATGCTAATTATTATGTTAAATATGTTCGTAGAAAACATGCATTATACTTATACGATAGCAATATATAAGATCTGTTAGAATAACTGCTTGGCATATAAATAATTCTGATAATGGAATAGAAATTCTTTGATGTTATATTTTCGGATCGTTTTTAACTGAATCACCGGTACATTGGGGGACCAAACTATTGATAGCTGATTGCTATTTCCGGCTTAGTTGAATAACAGGTAGCATGACAAGAACAACAATTGAATTATCATGTCTTGTGATGTTTGATTGCAAGTTTCATGTACATACATCTATTTTCATTTACAAAGTTTTGGTTTTTTCCACCTCCAACAATATGATATAGTTTTGACTGGGCACAATACACGAAATAGCAGTTTTGTTATGTCCATGGAAAATACGATTTTACTTGGCCTTTGTTCCGCGTTATGTAATCGTTACTATAACGCAGGTGTCTAATAACGCGGGGGGTCATCCATGGATCCCAAGACCTGCGTTATAGTGAGGGATGCCTGTATATTCAATAATGCAAAACTAAGCTTAAATTGAAGCTCTTTTTCATTATTAATCCTCATTTCAATAAATCAAGCAACCCCAACCAAGACACCATATTAACTCACAGGAACATTTCAATCAATTTGAGAATTTTTTACTGACATTCTCCACAGACTTATGGCCATACAGATAAATCACTCATGATATAATATATGTTATAATTGTTAACTTTTCAAAACAAATTCACCTATAAAACCAGGGATGGCAACAAGAAAATCTATTTTCAGCTGAAAACTTAATATTATTTTCATCGAAAACTTAATATTGTGGGGTTATTTTCAGACGATCATCTGTCATGGATAGGCTGTGTAAAATTGCGGATGACTGTAAAACAAAGAACAAATTACTGAATTTGCCTGATCGGATGAGGCCTTTTAATAATGTTTTTGCCAAGTCCTAATGGCAAACCACCCACATTGCCTACCTTTGACTGTTCTCTGTGTGTTTCTACCTTCTCCAACAAGAGATTTCACTCGGGGATGTGTAAGCGGGGAGGACGTTATGTTGCTGTTGTTGTCAATCTGATTCGCAGGCGTTACCTTGAAAAATATTCCGATCAAGTTCAGTTCCACACAAACAACAGACTCCTAAACAGAACAGCATATTTAAAAGACCATCCAATCATTGCTGCATTGTCACAACATTGAACTTTCTGATAAGAACAGAATGCTAGCATCTGCCTAGTTTTTGCTCAAGAAAAATAAAGGCGGCACTAGGACTCTGGTAGCTCTCCTGGGATATGGCCAGCCAGACACCAACAAGTACCATATTTCAACGCTTTTGTGAACCACTACACCACGTTTAGTTTTACTCACGGGTCTATAGCTCTCCTGAGATATTCCAGCTTTATATGCAATATTCCAGCTATATGGTCTGTAAATAATCGAGTCTGGACCAGACAATCCAGTGATCAACAGCATCAGCATCGATCCGCGCAATTGGGAACCGATGACGTGTCAACCAAGTCAGCAACTCCGACCACCTGATCCAGTTAGTCGCCTCATACGACAAGCATGGGTTGCTGAAGATCAATCTTCTAACCCGGACCTACACGGGTTTCTCCTGAGATATGAAGAGAGGATATCGGCCATGCAAAAGCTGGGATCATTCATACCAATGTCTAGTTCAAGAGATGTTAAACTTACAGCCAAACTAGACCAAATGTGGTTAGTGAAAGTCTTAATCAAAATCAAAACATGAAAAAGAATATCAAATGATGGATAAAGTGCCATGATGTGAACACCAAAGGACACTAATGGATGTTTCGAGTGGTGTGGTGTGGTATGGTGTGTGGTATGGTGTGTGGTGTGGTGTGGTGTGGAGAGGTGGTGGTGTGTGGTGTGGTGTGGTGTGGGAATGGAGTGGTGTGTGGAATGGAGTGTGGTGTGGAGTGGTGTGGTGTGGTGGCGTGGTGTGTGGTGGTGTGGTGTGGTGTGGTGTGGTGTGGTGTGGTGTGTGGTGTGGTGTGTGTGTAGCGTAGTGGTGTGGTGTGTGGTGGTGTGGTGTGGTGTGGTTTTGTGGTGCTGCATGGTGTAGTGGTTGTATCAACTGTGACTGGTCTCACCTCCTCACACATAGGGATGTCCTCACTATGCTCCTGGATAGCGTCCCACAAAGGGGAGTCTCGTTTCCATGCCAGGGACTCCAGTATCGTCTCCTCGATCTGAAGTATGCAGGTCAATTAGTTCCTGCAGCTTCTTGCCACATAACTTTTTGTAAAGTGAATTCAAACTTATCATTGTCATCACAAGTACTTTCTATGACAGCAATTCTGCCGAGACTATGACTGTGAAATTTGCTTGATTATTATTTTTTTATTATCACTCCATGTCAAGAATGGCACTGTGTACCAGAGTGAACACCTTTTTTGAAAAGGTGCAAAAAGAAGTAATGCTTTAGCATGGAGAGCTGGACATACATGGTTAAGGTGCTTCACGACGTCCCGTGAAAGTCCTTCCTCGGCCCTGATACAAATCTCGATGACTTTATACAGGTGATAGGAGCTCATCTCAAACACATCCACAATCCAAGGAAATGTTCTATTAATAAAATGACAATGAAATTATTAAGTAGCTTGCTATGCATCTACTCATGTTCAGTGATTTTGAAGCCTATAAAAATCAGTAGGACAAATGTCCTGAGAGGGTGTCTGGCGATAGGCCATTGACCTAAAGCTCTTTTTGACATTTTTTAAATCCCAATGCCATCATATAACTAAATTGTTAATGACATTTAATGTTGCAACTTGGATTCTAGATATACAGCAAAATTAAAAGATCTAATCCCACTGTTGATAAATATGAAATTTATTTTTCTAATATTTTTCAAATAATACAACTACAACTTAAATAAATTGATTTTTTGAAAATGCAAGCATTTATAATGTCCAGAAATATCACAAAAGAAGCAAAAACTATAGCGATTTTTTTCCATTTGTGACATGTCATAACATCCCCGTGCCTTTTTCTTTTATATTTTCATTTTCACGTAATCAGAAAATTATTATATAAAGATTTCTTGAATAATATGTATGGTCGCATATTTCCCGATATCAGTGGCTTTCCGCTCGGTAACATGACACAACAACGGAAAAATACCTCCGTTTTCGAAGCTTCGTATGAATAACATGCGAGGCGAATCGTTTGATGGCGGGTAGATTCTATCGTTCGAAAGCTCTGAACATCAACAATATCACTATACCCTTGCTGAGAGTATTTTCACAGCTATAAGAAGCGATTTTATTGGATAAAGGATGGTTTCTAATGACGCTTTTTCGCCACAGTCTGCTATAAGGGTCGTGATTGGTCAAAATCAGACACGTGACATAAGGCAGCCAATCATATTACGGCAATGGATACCGTCCTCGTAAACGAAAACTTTTAGATTTAGACGAAAGTTTTGGGTAAAATAATGCTATTCGGGAACATATTAAGCAAGAAATCGCTATCTATATGTAAATTATGGAACTTATTGGACGTATCGTGCTAGGTTATGACCTGTGACAAAAATGCTTCATGCATATATTTTCGCATTAAACATCGTGTCCAAGCGTGAAGATTGAGGCGGCGACAGCCGAGATGTCACTTGTCAGTGTCTTGACTTGCATGATCGCACAAAAAGATGGAAATAGTAATTTTATATGTACGTTTGACAACTTTTATGAATGCTATTGTTGATTTTATTCATTAGTTTATTCAATTTATTTAATGATTTCCTCGAAACATTGTTACATTTCTGATTGTCCAATGCTTAAAATATCAGCCAATCGCGCAATCCATTACATGAACATTTGGCAGGTTATTGTAATAAAAATGGATGCGTAAATACATACACGCCGCAGAAACATGATCAAGATTTCGTGGTTAGTTTTTTGATGAATTTGTAAATGATAATGTTCGTAATTTATTAGGTCCAATATGTGAAAATAACATCGAAATTATCGATCGGACCGAGTGTCCTAATTAATAAGAAAGTAGTCAGTCATTTGAAAATGTTATCGGACTATGGCCGAAGGCCGATGACAATCTGAAACCCTGATGTTTGCACAATACTGGAATTTTGACTAATGATTGGCACATTAGTTATTGAGAAAGATTACGAAAGGATTGAGTTTAACTGACTGACAGGAAGTTTAGGTGATTAGGCTCAGTACAGGAAAGTCTGGATAACTGGTTTTATTCCCTTATTGCAGGCACCAGGCAGGGTAAAAACAAGTACCATCCTTTAATATCTTCTGGTGAGATGCACTCGTGGATGGAACCACCGACCTCTCATTCTCAAACAGAGGTTCTATTTAGTACATCAAGGAGGTCATCTATGACATGATGGGAGTATTAAAAACTGACCTTTGTGAGTTGTACGAAAAGATGACTATCTCCAAACAGCAGGCCAACAGTGACCGATGGAACATGGAGTGCTCCAGTAAACCTTGCACAGATGTCTGCAACAGTCCAGTACCCTTGATATAAACTTCATGCACATGTATCAATCTGCAGTTTATTCACTGCTTGAAAATAAATTTGAATAAAAGTCTGATAGTTTGGTACATTTGAGTTAAATATATTTCATGAAGCATCAAGAGAATCATGATTTCCTTTAACAACTCAACTTGAAACATGAGTGATAGGCTGCTTTGTATTTCAGTTAGAAAACATTGCAGCTCTTAGACATTCACCAACTTGACAACAGTATCCTGACATACCCAAGGGAGACAACTTGCTGCACCTTAGAACTAGGCCCCCTGTGCCACAAAATCATCAATCAGTAGTGAAGTGATATAATGATTGAAAGTGTCAACTGCCAGAAACATTACACTTAACAAGGTGAACTGCAAATAATGACCTGTGAACTAATGGTCAACAGTATGAGCACACACAAAGTCTTTGAGCCAAGGTCAGTGAGACTGGAAGTTACTCTACTCACAACTGGTGGGCTATAGAACAATCCTGAATACAGGGCAATGAACTTACTGCTGGATTTGACTTCTGGTCCTTGCCAATCCGTTTCTTTTCTCCCTGCACAATGTTCTCCAACATCTTATAGTAGAGGCTCTCCCCCAGCTGAAGGCGACGGCGGGCAAAATCTATGTGGGCTCCAGGATGATCCTCTGAAGGCTGCAAGGAAATGGAGTCAAGCTCGGCTCAAAATATGCCATTATAGATCGCAGACTTGGTGTTTCAAAGTAACAGGACATTGGGTCCTGCAAGTTTCAGATGTCTGTCTGACCCATTGAAAATTCACAGGACCCATAGAATAAAATTAAACATACATTTCAGATTTAACATTTCTTATAACTGTCACTGAAATTATTAACATATATAATAACAACACAAGATATATAAACAGCAAACAAGTGTCACATGTCAGATATAACAACTTAGTCAAAGTCATTGTGAAATATACAGTCGGACACTGGGGCCAGTGGGTTGTAGACTTCTATCGGACCGTTGGCAAATCTGCCGGATTTGTCAGAGGGTCAGACACTATTCGTGAACACTGCAGACTGCTACCCTATCAGGGCTCGATTTAAAAGATATAAACTTACTTGCACCAGGTGCAACCTAAAAAAACCCATAGTTGCACCAGCTAAATTCCATTTGCACTGCTTTTATTGCAATATGCAATGAAAGAAATATGCTATTGAATTATTTAGATGTTTTATTCAGAAGTTTACCCACTCAAAAATTGACTTGCACCTGGTGCAAGTTAGACTAATAACTAGGTTGCACTTTGTAATATTGGGTTGCACCAGTGCAAGTAACAAAGCACTAAATCGAGCCCTGTCATATTTGAGAAAATTTGCTTGAAACTGCCTACGTTCCATATGCTCCAGATAACAAGTCATTCTATCTACCAGATGGTTCAACTAACATAATTTGATAATCTCAGCTAATTCTATATCTCGATCAGACAAAGCTGGTTGCTTATTGATCTGTGGATAGTTAAGTGAGCTTTTCGTTTCAGTATCATGAATATAAGAACTTCTCCTGATCCTGAGATACAGTGAAAGCTTTTTGTGTTATGTTCCACAAGAACAGAAAAACCATCTCACCTAAACCTTCTTTTCTGATATTTACAATATGGAAAGAGAAGAGTGTGACAATCTTTTTAATCAAATAATTCCATTTTTAAAAAGAAAGATTTTTAAGACGTCATTTCAATCAAATGAAGCAGCATCAGAACCCATATGGAAGTATGTTTTGAGTATACAGTGGCAAATGAATCTTCAGCCATGTTTGAAATCTTACAGAGAAACCACTGGGAAGAATATATATGTAACAATGTAAAACATTATGAAGAGAGCGCCGAAAAGCTTTCGTGAGTCCAGTCTCTTCTTCTTATGAATATGCGCACTTGATTACAAACAAGATAAAAGTCACGGTCACATGATATGCAAATTAGCCTGTGGCAGTGATGTTATGTTAAGTCATTGCTCTGCTGGAGTGTGGCTGAATGGGGCAATTGAGCTTGAAAGTAGTTCCTATCTCATTTGCATATTTACATTGATAACACAAACGCTCGTATAAGTTGATACTAGGATGGTTGTTTTCTTCAAATCTTTGTACATGCTTTTTAAAAAACAGATACAATTAAACGACAAATAGATACATGGGAATCATTTCAACAAGTAGACCATTCATCTAAGACAAGTGAATAACATCCAGACTATCAGAAACTTATCACCACTTCCACAAGCAGTTTAATGGAAATATTGCTGACTTGTACTTTTTAAAAAAAACACCAAATGTTCAACTGCCTCAATAATACTCCCCTTCCTCCTCCCCACCCTGCTGAAGGGAATGATAGTGATACACCTCAGGTTACTTCCAGTTAAACCCATTTTAAAAATTAAGGGGATCCTTGAAACTTGAATCTAAAGATGTCTTAAATTTTTAACTTAAGTCTTAACCATTAGCTCTGACAAATAACATGACTTTCAAGCTTAATTTGACACACTGTTAAAAATGTTGGATTTTTGCTGGCTTAGCAATCACAATTGTGTTTAGCTGACTAAGCAAGTATAGACAAAAATAAATCATGCAGAACACGCAAAGCTTCAAGAGCAAGAGTCCATTTGACCAGCAAGCAGACACAATGAAACGGCTGCAGTGGTAAAGTAGGTCAGGTTGTTTTGTTTATCAATAGCCAGGAGTGTCAATGAAGTATCAATTACACTTAGCCAAACAGCTAAGTGTGCATTCAACCATAAACAGTCCTTGCAAGCATAAAGCCATACACAGACGAAGCAGAATTCATTAGTTTTCCAGTCTTATATATATCTGGATTTGGCTTACAAGACTGACTGACAAAGATCATGAAAATGGAAAAAGAACATGAAATTTTATGACAACTCTTTTGGACAATATAGAAGATGGAAACATAACTAAAAACATTAAATCCCACAACATGACTGAAATAAACAATCAATCATCTCTGACTATTGTATTGCAATTGTAGTTCCATGACTGTGTGACCTAATTTGTGTTTGGCGACTTTTTTATCATATGACTATAAAGTTAAAAATGAGAAGTACAACTTTATGGATGACAACTTCCTGTCTATTGCATAGAGCGACGTTTCGATGTAGACTCTTACATCGTTATCAAGCTAAAAGTGTACGAGCTTTAAAGTTTAGCTTGATAACGATGTAAGAATCTACATCAAAACGTCGCTCTTTGCAATAGGTAAGACTGACTGACTGACTGAGTTTGGTTTTACGCCGCTTTTAGCAATATTCCAGCAACATCACGTCTGGCAATAGATAAGAAGTTGTCATCCATAAACTTGTATGTCTCATTTTTGACTCACCTACTGCTAGAATGCCTATCAAACAATTAATTACTATATAAGTTTTTCACTCTATGGTGGACACTCACTTGAACGTAATGTGTACAGAAGACCTAGCCCATTTCCTGAACTCGAGAAACAATCTCTTCTATAGGGTCTTTGCTGCACTCTCTGAAAACAATTAGTGAAAAAGGTTACCATGGTAACAGTGTTAACATCTCACACATACATCAAATAATTACCTTCTAAATACTAACTGCATTTCACTGATCATATTATATGACAGTTTAGATATATACCCTTCACATTCTGGTCACATGAGTGTTCTCCCCAGATTTTGAGAATACCAATTCCAAGGACTGGCACCAGTTAGAATCCCAGTCTCTCAGTATTTGTGCCAGTCTGAAGAACATTGCCTTAGGTTGGCATTCATTCATTTCTTCACCCGTAAAGGTCCGGGTTAGAATATTGATCTTCAGTAACCCATGCTTGTCGTAAGAGGCGATTAACGGGATCGGGTGGTCAGGCTCGCTGACTTGGTTGATACATGTCATCGGTACCCAATTGCGCAGATCAATGCTCATGCTGTTGATCACTGGATTGTCTGGTCCAGATTTGATTATCTACAGACTGCCGCCATATAGCTGCAATATTGCTGAGTGCGGCGTAAAACTAAACTCACTCACTCATTTATTTCTTAGTGTTATAGCCACTGAATATCCCCACAATCACATATCATCTAAGTTACCTACTTTTTGTGTTCAAACAGAGTTTCAGACTCGTTGATGCACATACTATGCATGACACATTCCATTTTCTTATTCTCAAGTTTTGTATTTTATCTCGGTTTTGTTGCTCTGTTTCATGCTATAGCCATTGAAATCCAATCTTATGGAAATCTTATTGAAAAGGTCAGCCTTCTAAATAATATATAAAGACTTTTTTGCCTTTTTGTGGGTCATGTACTGGTTGCTCAAAGGTATCAACTAATACGTGAACTGTGACACTATTTCACAACACACAGATACTAAATCAAAAAAAATGCACAATATTGCATAATTCACACATTTATAGAGAATGCTCAACTAATCGGAAAACAATTTATGACAAGATGATCATTTGGACACCTGTCCCGGAGACATGGAAGCTGTTCCCCAAATTTGAGAACAATCCATCAAAACCGTATCAAATCACGTGACCAACGCTGTGGGAATTATTCAGAGTTCCAAATCTAATAATAATGACCATTTTTTGACAAAAATACACTTGTATCAAACTTTGCACAACACCTTTCCTGTAAACAAAGAAGACATGACCCAAATCTAAAAACAATCCATTAATAATGACTGTAAAGTAATTGGTTGAACAAATTTGACATGGTACATGTTCGCAAGTTCAAGAGATCTTATTTGTGATAATTCGTGATAAATTAAAACTATTACAATAAAAATTTGCACTGGACATCTGTAGATATGGAGGGTGATCCCTTAATTTGAAAACAATCCATTCAAATTATTGGTTGAACAAACATTTCCATGTTTTTCAGTTTCAGTTCAAAGATGTAAATTGACACTACTCTTTAAAAATTGAGACAATCAGAATCAGAATTTGCACCACACATCTACTTTGGACAAAGCTCCTGTTTCCCAAATTCATGTTAATGGTTGAACAAAAATGTCTTCAGATGGATGGACAGAATTCCTTGGTACAATTATATAACCTCCCATAACCTGTCTAGGGTCGGGGTATCAGTGTTTCCGTTTACCGGCATATGCCGGTATTTTACCAGTAAAAAAATCAAAGGACCGGCATATTTATGGCAAACAAGTCCTGGGGACCGGCAATAAATACACCCGGTTAAATCATTTCCTCCAAATTGGCAATACAAATTACCAGCAACTGTTAGATAAAGGAAACTTCCATGTAAATTCGATCTGCACCACATGCGATACGTGTAAGGAATTCCGTGTCTATTTTTAGTAACAGTCCCAAGCGATTATTGTCATTGGCTGGACGTCTCGCTTAGCCTCGATCCAGATGAGAGGCATTTTGGCGATGAGGTTATAATGCATCAGATTTCAATACTCTATCGGGGCCAATAGTAAGAAAACTTTACGATGGGAATGGACATATTAAGAGACCATTCATAGTGTATGGCTCACGGTGTTGATGATGATTTTAAGAGTTCTTATAACTGAATACTGAAAAGCGTAGTATATTTCGCGCAGGTTGTATTTTTCGCTTTTAAAAAACATTTTAAGCCGCGAAATTTATACACCGCGAATAAACCTGTCATTCATTCAGTCTAGCCACGCCCTGAGTTGTTACCATAACACATCAAGTTTGAAGACAGAAATCGGGGAATCTTAAAATGGCGACTAATAGTAGCATAAAGAATCAAACTTAACTGTCGCTGTAATGGATTTCCCAAAACATAATTAAATAATGAGCCAAATCCCATCGCCGAATTAGCGACAGATGGTTTCATGCAAAACAGATTACCATGAAGCGGCTCGGAAAGAAATAATACAGCAGTATTTTATTTATTCATTTAGATACAAGCGTATCATCATGAAGCTAATAGTCACTAACACTCAATCATCTCATTCACAACAACCCGGCTTGTTTGAAATCACAAAGAGCTTCATATACAGGATAAGTTAATTAGTCAGATTGTCAGAATTCGGAAAATACTGATGTGTTTTTCATCTCTTCCGGAGTAAACGGGTTACTGTGTACTAGTATATCGCACAGATAGGGATTTCCTGTGAGTAAGTAATAAACGCCACCTGACAGGTTAAGCCGCTCTGTTTGTTTTCACTGCTATTAGTGGTGGCCAAAGAGACAGCTGGCAGTTCCGGCAATTACTGATTAGCGAATAATTGACCGCTGATGTAGTCTAAACTGTCAATTCCGCGAAAATTGCACCACGCGAAAATAAGTACGTTTACAGTATGCTGACATCTTCCCAGACTTCAGTACTCTCGCTGAAATTAGCTCCACAATGCCGGTGAGTAGCGTGCCTGCCGAGAGGGATTTAGCTTGCAAAATAGAATCCACACTGCAAGCAGAAACCGTCTTGCGCAGCATCATTATGAACAATCTAATGATTCTCAACATGCATGCTAATGACCGTTTCGACTTCACGAGAGCATCCGAACTATTCCGTAAAACCAAGAAAAGATAAGTGTAATTAACAGTTGATAACTGTACAAGTACTGCCAAACAAACTTGCGGTTTACTAGTAACATGTGACGTCATTTCACATTGCATGTTCGAATGAGTTTGATACGTTTGTTGTTATTAAAAATGAAACACACACACACACACACACATTCTTGTTGTTATCTTTATTTAACATGGAAAAGAAGTGGACTGGTGAAAATATTAAGGGACTGGTATATTTGAGGCTTACCAGTCCCATGGACTGGTAAATTCGAAACTCACCGGAAACACTGGGTATGATAGATAGATTATTTTTCAACAATTCCTAAATTCCTATTTATTATTGAGCATAACACGAAAACACAAAAATCTGGAAAAACATCAAAGTCTAAAGGTTTTGAGCAAAATATCTATAATCCCAAAAATACAGCTACTAGAAATCTGTAAAAGATGACCTTGACATTTGATTAATTTGCCACTGACATGTAATGTGATAGGATCATCAAAGAAACATACAAAAATCATGACTACTGTAACAACGCATCTGTGAAGATCCAAATTAGAATTGGAGTTCAGCAACCCATGCTTGTCGTAAGAGGCGACTAATGGGATCGGGTGGTCAGGCTCGCTGACTTGGTTGACACATGTCATTGGTTCCCAATTGCACAGATCTATGCTCATGCTGTTGATCACTGGATTGTCAGGTCCTCGATTATTTATAGACCGCAATAAACAACAAACAAACAAAAACATGACAACTGCGCCAGAAAATCCTTCAGGACTATTTGGCTAAAGTTAATGGAAGGGTATTTTCAAACAATAACCTTTACATTGCAATTCTCCTGAAAACAGAAACACCGTAGTCTGCTTGGGGTTTAAAAAGTTGACATATTATTCATAGTGCTTACCCAAATATTTCCAAGAGAGCATCACTGGGAGAAGTCCTCCTTCCTGACAGGAGAGCTTGTAGCCGGCTAACACTCTGTGTTGCCGTGGAAACTGGTGTGACACTTGGGTCCTTGTCCTTTAGGTAATATCTCCCAGTCAGTGGGGTAGATGGTGCCAGGCTTCGTGTCTACCGAAAAACAAGAAACGTTCAAATTCTTCACGGAACAGTTACAGGACAACACAAATCAATCTCCAACACTCATTAAACAATATTGTATGGTTTCCAGAAATATTTATTATTAACGTGAGTTAAAGATATATTGACAGACAGGACAATAGGTCATCAATCAATGATGCATCAATCCTACAGCTCAAGGCAAATGTGAAACTGAATAGCTGATTATAAACAATCAATCCTGCCAATGATTGTCTGGCAAATTGTCAGCAGGCAATCACTATATATATCTAAAGTCATTATACCAGAAACCTAACAAACCCTCTTCAGTCATTATACATACTGTACAGAGTTGAAACTACAATGAATAATGTATGATGGCCTTATAAGCCAGTCTGTTAAACAGCCTGGACCATGGGATTTTTAGTTTGTTCTACCCAAATTGTAACATTTATTCAATGGAGGTGAACTAAAAATAAGTAAACATTCGAACTTGCAGATTAGTACTGAGTGAGTTAGTACAATTTTACACGGTTTATAATAATATTCCAGCCTCATCACAGTGTGGGGCGGTGGGGTAGTCTTATGTTTAAAGCGTTCGCTCGTCATGCTGAAGACACAGGTTCTATTCCCCACATGGGTACAATGTGTGAAGCCCATTTCTGGTGTGCCCCGCTGTGGTATTGCTGGAATATTGCTAAAAGCAGCGTAAAACCATACTCACTCACTCACCATGGTGGGGACATTGTACCGTCACTTTGACAGAATACTCTTTTTTTAATACCTGATACCAGTTTACATGTAAACATAGCATGCATAGTGTTGTCTTAATGGTTAGTTTTTTTAAAAGAACAAAAAATTAAAAAAAGACACATCACTCCCTCTAGGGGACAGAAGACTGGCTTTCAGCTTCATGAGTGAACCACAGATCAACCGACTCCCCCACTCATGAATGTAATTGTAAACAAACAAGTTTCAACATGACAAGATACTAGAATAAAACGGATTGTTTTGATGTTGTTGATTTTTGTTTACATACAGGTACTTTCAAATATTTCTTAAAAATATATTTCAATTCCTTAACAAATATTTACATGACAGGATAACCAAAGATAACTGAATGCAAAACTCCACTGTCTTAGATCACTGCATAATGACACACCTACCCATCACCTGTGATTATTTCACACATAACAATATCACATTTCAGAAATTTAGAATATGACTCCCAAAAATGTGGTGAGTGATCTTAAACCTTTGAAAACATGTTAAATACAATATCTCTGATCATCCCCAATCACTGAGAGTAAAAGTCATAAAATATTCAGGTCAAGTGAAGGAATGAAACCAAATACATTAGCCTGAATATCAGAGGATTATGCTGTTAAATAGACATTCCTCAACATGACATGAAACAGCATTCTAGATGAGAACACATTGACCAAGCTATCACCATCCTAATCTACGTGAACTGACACTCTCATTCAGCTGCTTTCACTGCAGTAGGTATAGAATGTATGATCGGTCATCTGGATCATTGAGCTGGACAAAGGAGGTCAGGCAGGTGGTCAAGCATGCCCAATCTGTCTCTCCACTGCTGATAAACAAAGGGTACAAGAACCTGTATCGAGTAGGTAGTTCAGTATACCTCAATGCAATCCAAAAATTCAGTATTTTTCCTTTTTGGTACCGTCATTTCTATCTAGTCACAAAATGATTTTTTTTCATTCAAAATAACAAAAGACTATGGTTATTTTTTTTCCATTTTATTAAACAATGTAAGGTTTGGCTCTTGTCAATTTTCTGTATTATGATCATATCTCATATACTGAACCGAAATGGACCGAACTGAAGGCCTTGTACCGCAATATGTACTGTACCGTTTCACCCCTGTGTCGAGACGTTTCACTTACAAAGTGAAAGACGTTGTTATCCATGAAAATTTAACATTAATGCTGATAAATTCACCAAATTTAAGCACTGATAATCTAAAAAAATCATGATCTGTGAAAGATAAGTATTTTTAGTCAGTGAGCAAATGGCTTTACCCCAGTGGTAACATCATGGCAGGGCCATGGATTCATCTGGGATATAAAGTGCTTCTGGCAGGCAAATTGGGAGAAAGATTTTAATTTTTTTGAACATTAGGATATTTTTAAAAGTTCTTATTTTTATATATCTACAAGTATGTACAAGTAAAATTAAATTGAAAGCAATAATATAAATGTGACCATTAAAACCTCTTCCTTTACTCAGTTACTGGTCCCGTTGCAGTGAAACACACATTACCTTAAAGGTCACATGCAACGTAAAACACAACTTTGCAGATTCTGATACCTTTCGGTATGGACTTACCGAAACAAATCATCAAAAATGCAAATTCAACTTAAAAAGTTGAAAAATAACGCTATGACAAAAAACGTGTGGAATCGGAGTTCAAATAGTAAATAATCTACTCATTACATAAAAGAACTTTGTTAGGATCTTGATCTACTCAGCTATGTGTCAACCAGTGAGGCGTTCGACATTTCAAGACGTAAAACCTTCGCTGGCGGTGAATACTTGGTGAAGCCATTGGTGTGAGCTAATTTTCTAATGTTTTGTTGATATTTGACAGGCGGCGAGCTTTTTATATGTTATGACAGTAGATTACCGATTTAACTGTTTATATAATTTCATTTGTCTATTTCACCACACGTTCTTCTTACCGAGTCACTTTCTCAGTTCAATACTCAAAAGCAATTTCATTTTTAGCGTTGACAGAATTTCTAACTGTGATATAGATATGCCGTTGTCACAGACAAAACTCAATGTCTGTTTTCTTTACACCTATGTGTCTGCCTGCCTGTCTGCTAATGACCATAATTAATACACAACTTCGATCACTGACCAGTATCCCGGCTGCTTCGTTTCTAGGGAAGTAAACCCAAGTACAAAATATTGCACTTTTGATTTTCGATTGTACGCTTATAATTTTGTTTATATGTTTTTTTTTCATAATCAGCAATGTATATTATATGTCATGAATAAGTGATAATTGTGTTTTAATTATGTTTGATTGTTTGGTTGCACGTGACCTTTAACGACGACACGATACATGAATATTAACACCAACAGGGAATTTTTAATCTGACTTAATTGACATTTGCCATACATTTGCCACACGCTTGTCCAGATAAATATGTGAAGAGGAAAATAGTAATGGTCTTAAAAAACAATTATAACAATATTGGAAATCAAACACATACCTACGCCAACACTATGACAACTAGGCCACCAAAACATAAATTTTACTGGTGGACTGATTTCAGGCCCACATTTTCCAAACACACATTATATAATTAGATTTATTATCATACTGCTAGGATTCCTTATGACGATAAGTAAAAGTAGAAATGATTGTATATGACTGTTTAAATAAATCCCAGGAATGAGGTATCCACACATCAATGATTTTTAGAATTACGTGGCATGATGTGATCACCATGGAAATGGTCATAAGCATGAGGAGAGACTAGGAGAGAGCATACTATACATTAATCAAGATGGTATGAATGGGACACTATGTACTTAAAGGAAGAACAGTGTACTCTATACATACTGGGAAGAGCATACTGTACATTTGAAGAGAATAGCCTACTGCTTGTTTGGCAAGACGGGCACACTGTACGTACAGTAAGAATATGCTACTGCATGTATGACAGGAACAGTGGACTATACTTATTGCTGGTGGAGTATATCCGACATATGGCGTGACAGGCACACTGGTTTGAAACGCATACTTTAAATACTGCAACAAGACTGTGCTGTACATATGGTGAGAAGATTGCACTGTACAATTGGCAGGAAGATAGTACTGTGCTCATAGAAAAAAGCACACTCGATGTGTGTGTTGTACATCAGACTGACTGACTGACTGACTTTTGGTTTTACACCGCTTTTAGTAATATTCCAGCAACATCACGGCGGGGTACACCAGAAATGGGCTTCACACATAGTACCCATGTGGGGATTCGAACCCGGGTCTTCGGCGTGACGAGCCAACGCTTTAACCATTAGGCTACCCCACCGCCCCTGTACATCAGATGCCAACAGTGTAGAGATGCATGCAGGGTGCGATTTCGTTTTTATGCAGTACCTGCACAAAGTGTATCCTAGCTTATATGTTTGGCTGCAGATCAAAACTTTGGTTCCTCCATAAAATAATGTCACTGGCAGCATAAATACTACGTGTTCAGCAATTTTCATAACAAGTACTCAGTATCAGATACATTCAACAGAACCTGACCCCATGATGATAATGATGAATGATTCTGTTTCAGTTTTGCATTACCTTTATTTATAAATCTCATTTACATGATAACTGCTGTGTAACTGATTTATGAGTACACAAATGTTTCAGCTTGTATAAGTCACGTGGAGAGAAACTTCCAGTAACTTACTTCCCAATTAAAACACATCATGACAGCTACAAGTTGCAGGAAGATTTATTGTTACCTGCACCAGGTGCAACCTGTCACTGAAGGTAACCTGCACCACGCGCAACCTGTCACTGAAGATAACCTGCACCAGCCATTTTTAAGTGCAGGTTGTGAATAGCAAAATCGCACCCTGGCATGTAGAGGGAGCGTTATCTTTACCTGGTCTACGTGCTGCCTCAGGGACTTCTTCTTCGCCATCTGTTCTGCAAAGTCTGTTCCAGGTTTCCCCGGCGTACCAATCTCCTCCTCTGCCTCCTCGCCGAGGAAGATCCGCTCATCAAAATCTCCAACACTCAGCACATACTCCTCGTAGGCATTGTTGATTGACTTGCTGCAAACAGAAAAAGACATGACAAACTCATACTGTTGATGCAAGGTTTAACCTGGACCAGGATCCCACCATACACAACAATTACAATGTTAGGTGTATGTTCAAATGGGCCAACGCCCTTTATTCTACCACATCAGATTGCAGAAATATTCTCTCCTTTGTCAGAAACGTAACACCTACAACACAGTAACCAGTGTCTTATCTAGGATTCCACTGACTGACTGGCTGACTGACACACATTGGTGTCTGTACAGGTGTAGATATATTACCAGGGCTCCACTTAAATATTTAGAAACTTAGAATTGTAAACAACCCAAAACTGCAAAATGCAACCTTACATCTGCACCAACATGGAGGATGTTCATAGTTTGATTTTCTAAGAACAGAGTGAGTGAGTGAGTTTGGTTTTACGCCGCTTTTAGCAATATTCCAGCAATATCACGGCGGGGGACACCAGAAATGAGCTTCACACAATGTACCCATGTGGGTATTCGAACCCGGGTCTTCAGCGTGACGAGCGAACGCTTTAACCACTAGGCTACCCCACCGCCCTTCTAAGAACAGAACAACTGGAAAACTGAATGTTAAAGAAATATCTTGTTGCAGTGACTGAAGACTACACGAACAGTGAGTGAATGACCAATTGTTCATGTCATGAACTTTTATAAAGTATAATGAACTTTATCAGACTCAGAATGGTTTTGTTACAATGGTGTTCCAAATAATCTATGTAAAAATTGTACATAATTGTATACTGAGCAGCAGGTGCAACCTGTTTTTGTTTAGTGCAACAAGTTTATTAACCAAGGTTGCACCAGGTACAGGTAAGTCTCGTTTCCTGAAGTCGAGCAAAGGTTACATATCATAGTTGTAGGTGTAGCAGTAAACACTCTTTGCACAGACAGTGTACAGTACTTTCACACACAAATAGTAAGGCAATGGCCGAGTGTTTTCCTTCCCGCTGGTAAGGTTGATTCATACTCAGCCTCCTTAGAGAAATACAATACACTACATGGCACTCACATATTCAGAGATTAGTACACATCTCACACAGGGCTATATCAAAAAAACTTTGATACAAAACAACATGTCCCTCTGGGTTTTTTACAATTTCAGACTAATAAACGAATTGTACCACTATCCCTGAACTAAGGAATATCCCGGTATTGTTTGAATTATTTATTAGACTGGCTGTCCTTCCTTAATGTTAGTTTGCTCTTACACCACACTGGGGATATATTCTGCACCGGGACAGCTGATGTTATCACTGTTACAGTATTCCCATAAACAGTGAGTGCAAACAGTGAGTGAGGACGCTTTTAGCAATATTCCAGCAATATCATGGCAGGGGACACCAGAAATGGGCTTCACACACTGTACCCACGTGGGGAATAAAACCTGGGTATTCAGCCTGATGAGCAAATACTTTAACCACTAGGCTACCCCACTGCCATTCCCTAAACAGTGACTGAGAGCACAAGCACTTGGGGACAAATCACATGCAATCAGCAAGTCACAGTGTGTAACTGAACAATCCAATTTAGGAAGTAATTTACATATTTGGGGGTTTAAAGATCCAGTGACATGGAAAATCGCAAAACGAAAAGAGGTTTGCACAAAAATACAGAATACAGGGTGAAACAGTGGATCAAGAAGTGCTAACCTTTGATAAGAAAAATCCTGTTGCACAATAGTTTATCCGGGTACACAATAACTAATGAGTGCAGTTGAGGGGCATTAATTCGTGAAATTCAGAAAGTTAATTGTAATTTTTGTAAAGTTTATTTTAACCACTGACAACTTTTAGGACACTGACATTGTAGACAAAAGACAAATTGAAAATAAGGTCAAGGTCACCCCAATCGACTGGTGTCTGCGTAATCCCCCAATGTAGGCTGTCACCAAATTTGAAGACATTGGATACAACAGTGCATGAGATATCACGTTAACAAAAGTTTGAAAAGTGGTCAAAGTGTCGTGGTGACCTTGAAAATAAGGTCAAGGTCACCCCAATCGACTGGTGTCTGCGTAATCCCCCAATGTAGGCTGTCATCAAATTTGAAGACATTTGGTACAACAGTCCATGAGATATCGCGTTAACAAGAGTTAAAAGTGGTCAAAGTGTCGTGGTGACCTTGAAAATAAGGTCAAGATGACCTTGAAAATAAGGTCAAGGTCACCCAAATCGACTGGTGTCTGTGTAATCCCCCAATGTAGGCTGTCACCAAATTTGAAGACATTGGGTACAACAGTTCATGAGATATCGCTTAACAAGAATCGGGACGCACATACATGTCCCCAATTTAATGTCGCTGAATACATATTCAGCCCCGTTCCGCATTGCGGCGGGGGACAATAAAACCCTTAGTAGATGTTTCACATCCACCAAATACGAAAAAACTGAAGGAGGAACCTACCTATTGACTTCAAAGTTCCCAGTCTCCAAAATCGCTGACAAAGTCTCTACTTTCCCTTTGAGAATCTGCAACAGAAAATATATAAATGTATTCAAAACTTTATGTTCAAATAAAGGAAAGGGTGACAAACAATAATGAAAGCACAAAATTTAGTTGAGATTATGTCCTATACTGGATTGGGTAAATGAAATGCTGTTCAACAGTCAACACTATTCCTGCTATTTCATGGGAACTTTAACCCTTGGTTTTGGCTCCACTCAAAGCTAATGGTAATGGTGACTTATTTTATGTAATTAATATTTAACTTATCTTATTTTATCTAAAGATCTCCCTAATCAAAGCTATTGGTGTTACAGTGAGTGTGTGAATAAGTAAAGCTGTTTTGAACAGTAAGCAACATACAAGTGTTTCAGCTTGAGGAAAACCAAAAATGATGCAGATCTTAAAACATCATCATACCAAACTTGCCCAATTATTATTCACCAAGTATGGGGTACCACAACCTCTGAGGTGAGGTGAGGTGAAATTGGGTTTAACATCTTGCTTGAGAATATTTCGCTCATATGACAACTGCTTGTACTAGCCCAGACTTATAAAGCTGGTTTTATAGTGCTAGCCCACTGAGATACCATGCCGCAGTGAAGCATGAATACCCCACTCAGACACATTATACTGACTCCGAGCCAACCAGTCCTTGTTGTACCCATTAATGCCGAGCGCCAGACAGGGACCAACAAGTACCATATTTTAACGTCTTTTGGTATGACGCTGTCGGGGATCGAACCAGCGACCTTCCGCTCTCTGAACCCGAATCAGGAGATTACATACCTAGTGAAACAGGAGAGAAAACCTACCTCACCTTAACTAACCAATATCCAGTCACCACAACATCATGATAGGTTCTAGTTAGAAGTGTACCATGCTCCAATGAGAGTTATGTACGTACCCGCTTCTCGTATAGCTTCTTTATGTGGGGCTTCCACCAGTGTTCCTTGATCGTCTTGGCCTCCACCACGAGGCCGTCGTGCTTGTCACACAGCAGCTGGATGATGCATGGAGCCTCTACCGGAGCCTTCCAGTCTCGACTGTGGTAGTTGTCCGGCAAACCTGATCAGAGTCAGTTTGGTTTAAGGTTGATCAGCAGTTCATTTCTAGCATGACAATTTTATTGGAAGGAGGTTGAGTGATCTTTAAATCCACTTTTAATGATTCTCCAGCAATATGACACTGCTTATGTGTAAGGTTGGTTGGTTGTTTAACGCTGCACTCAGCAATATTCCAGCTATATGGCGGCGGTCTATAAATAATTGAGTCTGGACCACACAATCCAGTGATCAACAGTATGAGCATCGATCTACGCAATTGGGACACATGTGTCAACCAAGCCAGTAAGTCTGACCACCCGATCCCGTTAGTCGCCTTTTACGACAAGCAAGGGTTGCTGAAGATGAATTTTAACCCAAATCTTCCCGGGTCTTATGTGATAGGGAAACCTGCAGTGAGTGATTGAGTGAGTTTAGTTTTATGCCGCACTCAGCAATATTCAAGCTATATGGCAGCGGTCTGTAAATAACCGAGTCTGGCCCAGACAATCCAGTCATCAACAGCATGAGCACCGATCTGCGCAATTGGGAACTGATGACACGTGTCAACCAAGTCAGCGACTCTGACCACCCGATCCCGTTAGTCGCCTCTTACGACAAGCATGGGTAACTGAAGATCAATATTCAAACCCGGACTTTCACGGGTCCAAAACCTCCAGTGAAACACAAAAACCATGAATATTGTCACGACAATTCTGGGATTCAAACCCATGATCACAGGCTCCTTACAGACCTATGGGACACAACTCTGCACAGTAAATTTACCTTTACAACCTAGAATCAAAGTAATAGCGGTAGGGTAGTGAAAGACATAAGTAGTCCAAAAAGGACCATTCAAACCTCCAAAATAGTCTGTAAATCAGTTCATTCAGAACAATGTTTAACTGATCTCCTGAACTTTTTCCTAGAAAGTAAAGTTTTACTAGCTGTTTATTCCAGCAATACATCACCAGGGTGACACCAGAAACTGACTTCACACTTTGTTCCCTTGTGGGAAATCAAACCCAGGTTTTCAGCGAGACGATCAAATGTTTAACCACTATGCCACCCTAGAACCTAGTGCCTGAAGAGGAATCTCACTGTTGTCCTACCTGAGAATTCGGGGTTGAGCAAATCTTTGCGTCCTCCAAGAAGAGCATTGGCATAGATCCAATCGACGCAGCACACCAGCAGATGGTAGGAGTTGACGAGGTCGTCGCTGATGGCTGGAAAATTACCTGTAAACAAGCAGCAACTCAACAGTCAACTATACCTGCCTTCGACAGATTTACCTTGGCTTCCAAACTAAGAGCCCTTGGAAGGCAAATTCATCATATTGTTAAAATAATATGAATTCTCACTGTTTGCTGCTCTGTGTCAATGGTCCATTCAGCCATGGTCGAAATTTAACTCGAATGTCAAAAGGTATAACATCACAACACTGACATTAAGTGTTTCAGAAAGAGCTGCAAAGCTAAATTACCCCAAATTAACATTACATAGCCATAAAATATTCACCAGTTGTGTCACAATAACCCTGTTTTGTCCAAGCCAAAGCCAAATTAGAAAACATTGAAAAAGAATTTGTTAAATGCTAAAATATTAATGACTTAATCAGTATTTTTTATCAAACACTTGCATAACTGTCAACTCCTTCAAGGGTGGTCCCAAAACAATGTGATGAAGATTTGATACATGATTGCATTTGTAAAATAGCATCAAGTCGGTGTCAAAACAAAGGCATCAGGAAGTCAGAAACGGAATTGGAATCAAGGCATTTCAAACACTTTTTCACAGCATTTGTGCTTCTTTTCATAGTGCACATGGTGAGAGATGTCAATCCAGAATGAAGCTACCAGAGCACTCAGTGGGGTAAAACAGGAACAATGTCATGAGAAAACGGATGATGGTTACAGCACAATGTAAGAGTTTAAAGTAAAAACACTGTACAAGCAATTAGCTCCCTGTTTTCACTGAGAGTTTTAAGCCGCTTTTAGCAATATACCAGCAATATCACGGTGGGGGACACCAGAAATGGGCTTCACACATTGTGTCCATGTGGGGAATCGAACCGGGTCTTCTGTGTGATGAGCAAACGCATTTACCAATAGGCTACCCCACCGCACACCACATATTACGATCTGGGGCAAGGAAACTCACAAAACCATACTTAAAGGCTAAAATATGTAACGGCTGACGTCTCTGCATGGTACACTCACTGGTAATGATGCCAGCCATTCCAGATACATTGTTTCCTTTCATATGACATATTTTTCCATAAATCAAATGGTCAACTCACCTTTACTTGAACAAACATTGTCCATGCGAAGTTGAAAACATCTGCGGATGTGCAGGGTAGGCGGCTGTAAGACAAAGTCATTGAAACTGAGATGTCAGTAAATTATTCTAGCCCTCTCAGACTAGGGCCTTTCTACACAAAGCATTTCACTACATTTTAACTACATTAGACACCAATGGTCATATTCATCAATTCTGCCAGGACAAGTGTGGGTTTCAAAATTTCTTGTATTAAAGCAGTGTATGAAATAACGCCAGTCCGACCGCCCGAGACGGGCTAGATTTCTGACAGATCTCGATTTACAGCTAGCCAGCCCGATGGTCTGGAAAAAATTAGACGACATATTCCATACATCTGAGTAAATTCACCATATCTTAAAATCTAATTATTCATTGTTACTAAGCATTGGGTTATTTTCTGTGGATTGTCTGGTGCGGTTAAATCCATGTTAGGCTGGTAACATTTTGAAGTTACCATTCCTGAGGTCTGGCTCAGTTTTTTGGTTATTTCATACACTGATTAAAGTGTCAATGACAGGGTTACAATCATAATGGCACAGGTAACATGTGTTTCAAGGTGGCTTAAAGGCACAATGACAAATCAGTTATATTTAAGTAAAACTACTTTGTGACTTTCTTATTGTGTGATCAAGGCACTTCACACAAGTCTACTGAAAAAAAATACCCCAGCAAATAATGAACCCATGAACAGAATTTCAATCAATCAATCTATTTCTTTCTCTCACTTAAAACTTATTCTTCCAGTTGGTACACTTAAATTCCAAAGAGCACACATAAACGCTTCTAAAATAACATTCCTATCTTCGAAGTGGTGTATGCAAAAGAATAACATATTACGAAAAAACTAAATCTCCATCTAGATTTTGAGCGCTCTCTGGCTAATGGGCTGCCTCGGTGCATAGAGTGAGCACCAGGACTGCTTTGTCCAAGTTGGTGGGAGAGTGTTTCCCCAACAAATTGTAGCCAATTAAATTTGTTTGTTTACTGTCGAAAGTTTAAAGATGTAGTGTCCCTAGGTTAAAGTACCCCTGAAGCCCAAGGACAGTACGCCAACCTTAATTGCAATGTTTTGCTTTGTGTTTAACACTGCGCTCTGCCATACTTAAAATATGCGACAAAAGCATTTAAATAATCAGACCTTAACTAGATGATAAGGTGATTAATGTGATGTGCATCGATCCATGAAACTGGGATACAATGACATGAAACCACTGAAGTCGCCACCCCATCTATCTTGTCCCAACAAGCACTGGGTGCCGAGGACCAATTCTAAAACAGTATCCCAACTGCACTGCATAAACTGTGTACTAGCTTAGTACAACTAGTTATATTAAGTGTCATTATATTAGGGCAAAAAGTATCTCCATGCAACTGACATTCACTGAATTATTTTAAAACCACTAAATAGCAACAGTGCAAAATAAATATTCTGACCATTAATCCCCTCAGTGATCAAGAGAGATCTTGATTGACCATAGAGGTGTTCTTCAAAATCATTTCTAAACTTGTGTAACAATTCAGATCACTCTTGGCAATAATATAGAAATACTATACACCTCAACCCAGTGATGGATATCATGAGCCATGTACCATTTTGTAACCGTTACCATTATAACATTGGTTACAACTAGGACAGACCGCTCAGAACCAATTCTAACTTGGAATATCCATAGGGTTACGTTATCAAGGAATCGTTACTGTAATCAGGGAAAAGGTGTGAAAAATGGGGGTTGAGCATAAGCATCAATATTAGTGTTCTTCAATAGCCAAGTATGACGTCTCCTTGTACTCGTCCAGACAATGCTGGCTTTATAGTGTCAAATGAGACACCATACCACACAGGGGTGGAAATAACTTTAAAATTGCTAGAGTACACTGGTACAGTGGCACATGTAAAATCACTTGCCCTGATAATTTTTCCACTATACCGGCCGTTTTCTTTTTGATTTTTTAAATAAACAACATAATTAATATTGGAAAGTCAACTGGACACCGGTACAGTGTGATATACAAATTTGCTTGCCCAACAGAAAAAAACACTGGACTCGGGTGTCAGGCAGTGGGTTATTTCCACCCCTGCCACAGTGTATTAAGAATACCCCATTCTGAAACACTCAACCAGTCTTCGTTCCATCCCCATGATGCCATCTGCTAGACAGGGTAACAACAAATATCATCTATTATTTCTTTCAGTTTTACAGATACAGGAACATACCACTGACCACTCAACATACACTGTCAACTAGTGCTTGTCGTAAGAGGCGACTAACGGGACCGGCTCGCTGGCTTGGTTGACACGTCATTGGTTCCCAAATGCGCAGATCGGTACTCATGCTGTCGATCACTGGATTGTCTGGTCCAGACTCGATTATTTACAGACCACGGCCATATAGCTGGAATATTGCTGAGTGCTGACCACAGGTCATAGTTCATAAAGAGTATGGGAGTGAGCTTGGTTTTACACCGCTTTTAGCAATATTCCCGCAACATTATGGTGTGGGACACCAGAAATGGGCTTCATGCATTGTGCCCATTTGGGGAATCAAACCCGAGTCTTCTGCGTGAGGAGCGAATGCTTTAACCACTGGGCTACCCTACCGCCCCAGTTCATAGAGAAACACATCCAACAAGCAACAGGACAACATACAGAACCATTCCACAGAGATCAGTCAGACCAATTACCATGACAACAAGTGCCTTAGTGGTTATCTAAGAATATTACATTCCAGATATTTATCAAGGAGTGTCTCAGCAAGCAAATGTGGACTATAATAGCATTTCCTAGTTAAATTAAAGTAAGCCTATTGTAACAATGCATTCTGAGGCTGCTTTTAATGTATTAATATATATCAACATTTGAACCTCTTAATTTGCATTCCAGTTGTTATCAGTTAAAATAAGGTCATTTCAACAACCCATAACATCAGTTATTAGTAACATATATTAAAAACATTGGGAAACTTTTAAAGTGTATTTTCAGAAATTGTACTGACATTTGGTGCGGACTTGGGACCTAATATCTCTCTGAGCAAGTCAAAATAAAACCTTGCATTCTTATATCTAACTATTGATTAGAATTACTAATCTTATTATTATATATAGGACCATAATGATTATGACAACAACAGCATGATATTCATGTAATGCGTACACTGAAACAGAGGTCAATCACACATTGTGACCAACTAATCCCCAGATGGGTCTTGAAACAAGCACTGACTCTTGATAATGTTGTCTGACACAAGCCTCGCTGTTGTTTAGTGTTGCAATAATATTCCACCTGAGACAACAGCCTGTGAAAGTCACGGTTGTCTGCTAGCCTTTCAGACTACTAATCCGCAGAGAGGACAGATAAAAATATTTAATTGTCTTCTTTGACAAGCAGCATTTATCGCAAGAATTCTGAACCAGTTCCCAATGCATCAAATTAGTAGACTTGTCCTAAGAGAACTTGCTACAAACTCTGGGGACTAATTAAATAAGGTTAACACAAACCGTCTGGATTTACAAGTCATAAACAAAATTTCTAATGGTGGTGGGGTCATATTTTCAAACATAATCTCTAAGGGGCACTCAACTAAGGTCAGTAGGTCTAATTAACTGAATTGGGACGGTAAGACTTAACACAGAATAAGTGACCTGAATTATTAATAATCTTGTATAATATTTCTGGTAAATTGATACCATGGGAGCTATATTGAACCCTGCTCTGGAATAGGGATCAATGCAAGTCAATTTCACTGTATCATGGCAACAGCGAGTGACCAGGGGAGAATTAGCCAACTAGTGGTCGACAGTGGGGAGTCGGCCCACAAATTCTTCATTAAGGCTATCTAAGCTGTTGAAAGTGGTACACCCCATTCACCAAGGTCTGGTTATCAAGCCTTCCAGATCTATTATTTGATCATGAGGTGAGATATCATTGCTCTATGACAAGGTCAGCTATAGTGCAGGTAGATCAGTGGCATGTATATAATTAAGTCTGGACTGCACTAACCAGTCAGTGAAGCAGGAGTGAATATTCTGGGTGCCAGACACGTAAAACAACAAGCACAAAACACAGGGCATCTATTAAGATGTTCAACACACAGAAGGATATCCTGTTGACAATAGAGGTTTGTTATTTCCTTCATAAATATATAACGCACGTCACTTTTAGAAATAAAAGAGCAAAACTGAACAATGACGTATTTGTATTCTTCCAGCCATGAACAAATATCGGTACTCACTGTGTACTATTTAGAGTAACCAGACAATCAACAGTAACTGTTTTAGCTACTGTTTTGCTGTGACAATGCTGTAATTGTCTGGTCACAATATTCAGTCAGTTTCTTTCACACCACACATAGGGTAATACTAGTAGATAGACATGCAGTCATGGAGATCGGTGAAGATCCGGGTTAAACTGGTCTACAGTAGCCCATGCCATTATAGGTGACTAATGAGATCGGGTGGTCAGGCTTGCTGACATTATCGTATCCCAATTGTGTAGGTCGATGCTCATGCTATCGATCACTGGATGGTCTGGTCCAGATTCAATTATTTACACACCATCGCCATATAGCTGTAATATTTCTGAGTGCGGGTTAAACAACTAAAACCTATGCACTAATGGGCCCCATTCTCCATTACTGTTGATATATAAACTGTCACAGGTCTATTATGAATGGGGTGTGTGTGTGTGTGTGATGGGGTAGCCTAGTGGTAAAGGCTAAAGCTCATTATGCCGAGGACCCAAGATCTATTCCCCATATGGCTACAATTTATGAAGTCCATCACTGGTGTCCTATGCCATGATACTGCTGGAATATATGATGTAAAACCATTATCTTCCACAAGGTATAACAGCATTGGACAAGAGTAGCACTACTTTCAAAGTTTCATGTTGCTGAACAGGGTCATGCCTATAAATTTATATAACGCCAGACAGGTCTTCCACAACAGACGAGAGCTTAAATTATGCCTACAGTCGCATCAGCAACGCCTACTAACAGTCCGGATCCAAACTATTAAGTGCTCTTGGTTGAATATTTGGAACAATATCATAATTCTATTCAAATGGTCGATGAAATACACTCACTTCTAAAAGCCATAATAATTGTTATATTAAAGTATATAACACAATCTAGGAAATTTAAAATTCCACGTCAGGAATCTGCTGCAGACCAGTGGCCAAATAAGGCACCTGAGTAGACCAGCTTAATCTTTGAAGAGTGAGTGAGTTGAGTTTTACCTCACTGTTAGCAATATTCCAGCAATATGACGGTGTAGGACGCCAGAAATCAGCTCATCTTCACCGCAAGAAGCACTTTACATGCGTCAATGAGCTGTATGTTGTAAACTTGATGCTGTTGGTCAGGGAATATCGATGTGCAATTACCAATAACATTTGATATGTCTGTCATTTAATGCCGCTCAGCAATGTTCCATGCATGTACATCGAACAATGGCGCATTGAGCATGTCACTCAGTGATGTGGAACTAGCGTGATATAAATTTCCTAATCATTATTATTACGTCAATGACAGTGGTCTGTAAATAATTGAGTCTGGACCACACAATTCATCAAGAGCATCCATCAATACAAATAACAGCCTATATATACTGTACCATGTGGGGAATTTAACCTAAGACTAAACAAGTAGAAGCATAAACTTCCTGTCACGGATCCATCTGCCTTTTTTTCACCAGGGTTTTACGCTACACACAAATGTAGAGAATGGAGTTAGTGGCCGTCGAAAACCCAAACTACCTCATCCGACAAGACGCAAAAACATACAGAGAGTGTATCTAAAGTGCATCAAAAGTTATCCATAAAGTCGTTAGCTTCATTATTGATTTACCAACGTACATGTACACAGAATAATGCTGAAGCCCACCATTTCAATACTTTACAAGAACCTCATATTACCAGCAAGGACACTTGTAATTAATAGAGCAGGATCTCCTGGACCCCCATTTTCGTAAGTCACGGTAAAACACTGTTTCACATTAAATATTTCCTGTGACAGTTGGATAAAGAAGACGTGAATAAATGTTTAACATGGAACTTAGGTGTTAAAAGGGTGCTGTGTTATCTGTGTTAAATCTGCAGTAGTGAAACTACATAACTACAGAAATGTCTAAAAGATAACCAGTGCAGCGTCTAACATCTACAAAACTTATATCAAGTGTTAGCTCAACAGGTGACAGTGTTAGAATGTCAACATATTGGGGGGTAAGGGGTTGGGAAGGAGAGGGTACCTGTTCCGTTCAGATGAAGATACACGGGACTTGCTATGACTAGATTTTCTGGAAATTATCACAACAATTAGAGAAGCATCTTTGACATTATATTAATGTGATTATTATAATAAGCACAATCAACAAATGAGCAAAAGGAAGATTGACAACAATAACTAAATGCAAGTGAACTTCTACAGAATACTACTGCATCCTCCATAAGGTCACTTAAGAATGTGACTTCAAAATATAAATCATTATCAAATTTTTGAGTGAATACCTCAATACTAAAGAACTGAAAAATTTAACACGATGTGATATTTTCTAAAAACGATTGAATTTATCACAAATGAATATTGCAGCAATACCATTACATTAAGCACACACACACACCAAAAAAAATTAATAAAGTTTTCATTTACATTTGCATATGCAAATGCAGAGACTCATGGCTTGAGGGGAATCTAAATATAGCCCAGTTATCCGAGTTTCCCTCAGCAACAAAACTCTTAAGTGACCTTGACCTTTGATGATGGGGGATGAACACTGCAGCTAGTATATTATATATATGATGAAGCTACAAGTAGATACATGAAAATTCATTAAATAGATCCCAAATGACATACCGCGGTTTTCTGCTCCTCTGTTGTCGTGATATTTCACTTGGTGCTTCAAATATATCCAAAAAAATGGGCTCGAATTTCTTGAAGATCACCGTCGACACTGCAAAATTTCTCTCAAGGCGGTCAACTTTATTCCTAAACTCCTGAGGCAGACTCGCCATATCCGCCCATTTTTTCATTTTGTTAAAGAATTGGATCAAGCTGAAACGAAAAGAAATTGACAAGCTGATTGACAGGAATCAAAATAAGAATCAATTTCATCCTCTCCCTTCTCCAGGGTGTTTCTTTCACTTCCGTGTTGCTTTGCCGGGCGATGGTTAATAGAGAGATAATTAACGGACATGTCATGAGATCCAACTTATATTGCTTGCTGTCATAAGAAAGATATGTAATTTTTAAATACCTGAATTTTGCTGATCGCAGCAACCTTGTTAGCGATACGCAGTTGCCTTCTACTTGTCCCCGGCCTACAGTTGGAACCACTGTGCGTCGACATGCTTCATATAAAGCGCATGCCAACCAGTGAAGCTGGTCACCCTGTTAAATAGCAAACATTTTATCAACAATCCACTTCGACTAAATGAGGATAGAGTTATTTTTTAGGCTGACACCCGTGATCATAAATAGAATGTATATACATCGATACGACCAAAACAATGGGCGATCTGTGCAAGTTTCTACGAGACAACACGATGCAAAAATATGTAAGTCATATATCTGTAATAAAGTGGAAATATGCACTTATTAGAACTGCAATCAGATCATTTATAACAGTACTCCGATCGAACCTAGAACGACGGAAGCTACGAATACCGGTCATTTAAACTCAACATGGCCGAACGATAGAGCCCGTACTTCAAGAGTATAATTTTGCTGGATCCTTTGGTACGATTCCCACGCCTCGCCCTCAGCAGTTTTGTCCATATTTAAGTCCAAACATAGTTCTTCATATCGTTGCTGCACATTAGCCTCTCCCTCGTCGGACAAGCCCATCTTGGACGAGGAATCTGCACCGTTCTCAGTGATCGCGGCTGACAATGGCTAGCCGATCACTAGCGTATGATACCGCTACTCACATTCGAGTGGCGGGAAAAACGAGAGACATGTCACCTACCGCATCACAGCTTTGAGGTCATATCCGCGTAACGATATAGATCCTCGTTTAAAGTCTATTAACGGACGTTATACACTACAAACATAATTGTGACCCACCCAGTTATATTTAGTATGTTATTAGATATATGTTACTAATGTTTTAACTACAGATATAAAACAAAACATAGTATGGATCTCGCGGATGAATCGGGCACCTTGCTATTGTGACCTAAATGTAAACATGGTACAAAAAACAATTATCAGTGACAATTTGTTGCTTACTAAAAAGTGTTTCAGATCTGTTTATCATTATTTAAAGCAGATTTTAGTACTGGTGTAAATAAAAACACGAATGTATTGTTATCCTCATATCTTATATAATCTAATATTACATCTATATCATGTTTTTTGGATAACTGTTTTCATAGTGACGTCATTCAACTATATATGACGTCATTGTATTGTTCGTTGACAGATTGCATCTTGTATTCTTCCAATAACTTTTTAACTGTGTGCTTTTGATGTGTATTTCAAGTTCTTGTAATTTGTCACCCAGGGAAACTGAAATAGATCAGAGAGCATACGTTTATGGTCTGTAAATAAATTATAAAGTGTTAATGGAACATCTACGTTTAATAACGTTCTTGGTAATTCATTGAAATGACACCAATACAGGTGCGTTTTTCGTTGAGGAATATCCGTTTCTCACATATTTTTCGCATTTCATACCTTTTAATGGTTTAAGTACTTATCGTCATGATTATTACGTAAAGGTATTATTACTTCACCATCTCAGAGCCGTTATCATCTTTAGCATGCGCGGATCCAGAGGGGGGTGCGCACCCCCCACCCACCCCCAAGAGTGTTCCAAATGTACTACATGTTTTATGCCCAGGGTTCCGAGGATTGGGGTGCACCCCCACCCCACCCCAAACGAAAATCCTGTATCCGCCCGTGTTTAGTATGATCAGAGACCTGATATCGATGTAAGATCTGGTAGTGTTATATTTTATCATGATCTATATTCATACGATGACGTCTGAAGAGAGTTATTTTCATCAGCCCTGGTACCATATCCTTCAACCTCATCTGCTTTTCTATTATAAAGCTACGTGTTTTCGTTTATCTGTTTCTACAAGTGTAAATGCTACATGTTGGACATACGCCACGCGTCCAGTGTTGTTATTTACAGATGTTGGTTACACCCTTTGCTTATTATGATTATTATCATTTATTTTTATTTTTTTATTTTGCGTGATTTTTTACGAAAACATTCTGCCTTACAGTGACGGGCATGGGTGTACCTTCGAACACCTTACACAGATTCAAGTCGGCAGGTGGGTATAGCTGTGAATCCGATGAAAGCAAAACTCATCATGTAACAACACGTTGTATTAACTAACGGCTTTGGACAAAGCTCCGACATGCAGATCTGATCGATTGGGTAGAGAACCGTACACTGTAATTACCCGCTGTCGTCCGTTCACTGTCAATCGGAAATGCTCGCCTATTTCCGCGAAACTTCGTAAAAGTATTGCTCCAAATAGTGCACATTGCGCTCAAAGGTATAATGACCGGCGGGAGGCACCGAGAAAACGAACTAGGGGTGGTGGGAAGGAGGGGCGGGGTACGAGTCGCCATCTGGACAACCTACCGGCCGCGCGTCAAAACAAAGAGTCGGCGACTTGACGTTTCAGTCAACAATTTTTAGTAATGGCGTCGTGGGTTCGGGGTCGGAGTGGGTGAACTACAGGTTGGTAATTGTTTTTATCAGTTATCAGAGAGGTGTTACGCCGGCCGGTAATAAAGGGGCGCGATTACGACACATGACGTAATATTACGAGCATCTCCGAGGTGAAAGATTTGCTTGGTCAGCAAGTTCCCAGTTTGTTTACATGCGGAGTTCAACCTCTTATTTATATATAGCTCTGCTATAGGCGACAGCGCGCGTGTGTGTGTGTGTGTGTGTGTGTGGGGGACACCTAGTTTACAAGAACCAATACACATAGTTGTACGTGCGTATTAAAAACATTGTGTTATTTTCTTTATTAACTTTCATAAAATGTGCTGCATGAAGTGGAATGTCTTTCTCTGAAGGTTTATTCATTTCAGAAAGTTATAATATTTTGTGTTATCGAGATAGCCATCATTTAAAATCTGATTTACAACTTTCTCCGTTAGGATCCAGGAAGAGAATATATATAAGGTTTATTCATATATATAGTTATATATATTGTTTATGTTATATATAGCCATCATTTAATATATATATATATATATGATGATGAGTGTACTGATGATATATATATATATATGTGTGTGTGTGTGTGTACTGATGATGTGTTTGATCTACTCTTGCTTTGGCTAAATTCTTTGTTTCTAAACGTTTTTAAAACAATTATACATGTTATCACTTTACCGTTTTATATCCACAATAAGTATATCATTGAAAGGAGTATTTCTTACAGCAATAGCCTCAATCTAAGCTCTATACCAAGTGAACGAACTAGCTAATATAGATATGTTTATTTTTTTAGTTCAGTGACCTTGATTTAAAGGTACGATAATTCTTGTTTATTTAGATTTAGTTTATATGTCACAATAACCTTTAAGTACGGAATGCGAGCGGTTGTGAGTGTGAAATTAAGAAACAAATGCCAAAGTCCGTAACACCCATACCTCCAATTTGAATCTTACTAATAGAATTACCATGCATAACAAGTAGCTTGTTCAACTCATTTAATAACCTTGCTTTTGTTTTCAAAAGGTTAACTGTTTATCTTTTCTTATTTGGGGCAAGCGTTACCCTGGGTGTCAGGTTTTATCTGTAACGGGTCTCTAAAGCAAAAAGAAAAACAGAGGGGGGTAGCCGAATGGTTAAAGCGTCTGCACGTCACGTTGAAGACCCGGGTTCGATTCCCCACATGGGTACAATGTGTGAAGTCCATTCCTGGTTTTCCCCCGCCGTGATATTGCTGGAATATAGCTGAAAGCCTCGTAAAACCATACTCACTCACTCACTCAAGCAAAAAACGTAAAAAGTAAGAACATTTTCCACATTTAGTATATACACACCCTTGCACCTTTGATATCTATCAGGGGCGGTGGGGTAGCCTAGTGGTTAAAGCGTTGGCTCGTCACGCTGAAGACCCGGGTTCGATTCCCCACATGGGTATAATGTGTGAAGCCCATTTCTGGTGTCCCCCGCCGTGATATTGCTGGAATATTGCTAAAAGCGGCATAAAACCAAACTCAGTCAGTCAGTGATATCTATCACAGGGGCACCGCCTTTTGGCCAGTGGCCACTAGTGTTTTACATTCCCATGGGGATCGAACTTCTCTGCACGTCACGATGTAGCTGCAATAGTTTTGAACGAGACGTTTAACCCTTTTCACTCCTCCTATAACTGTAAATAGTGCCTTGTTTGAAATTGTCTTAGGACTTTGAGTAATAACTGTTACGTCAAGTAGGCAGACAGAATCAGGGTATTGAATTATTTCAATCAAACCGATACAACCCTACCCTGTGTCCCGAGAATGCATTCCCTTTGTCGTCCGGAAACCAATAATGGCGGAAGGAAGATATACATGTATGTTATGTCCCACAAGACTAAATTGTCTGTTATCACCAGCTGAGCTGATACATAATCACAAAGTTGGGTTTCTTTAAGAATATAAACAGTACATGTTTGAGCGTGTTTGACTGGCACGGTAGCGAGATTTTAAAAATCGACCAGGATCGCGCAGTAGATCTCCAACTGACTTTATCTTTTATATATCTGTGGCTAATGGGATCTACATGATGCCACTTAGGTAAAAGGAAAACGACCGTTCGACTGTATATGACCCAACCCTTGAAGATCCGGATTAGAATTGGTCTTCAGTAAGCCATGCTTGTTGTAAGAAGCAACTAACGGGATTGGGTGGTCAGGCTCGCTGACTTGGTTGACACATGTCATCGTATCCCAATTGCGTTGATCGTTGGATTGTCTGTCCAGACTCGATTATTTACAGACCGCAGCCATATAGCTGGAATATAGCTGAGTGCGGCGTAAAACAACAAACCCAACCAAATCTGTATGATCCAACCACATTTAAGCCTGTTTCTTTCGTACAAGGATAAGCAATTATGGCTTCATTGGTATGGCGTCATACCCCGTGAGTCCTGTGCGTCTTCACAACTTTATCTGTATAAATTTAACAAAGCTCCGCGTTTAGTATTTCATATGAACTAATGCCGACACTCAAACCCAAACTCCCCTTCCCCTACCACATGTAAGAGCAAACTGCAATAAAAATTGAAATCATCCGTTTAAATTCATTAGAAGAAAGACCCTAAGTCCGTAATCCTACCCAACCCTCCACGCGGTCACTATGAAAAGTCGCCCAACGGGCCCGCACCTGTACAATCAAGCGCCAACTTGTACGGCAATCACGGACGATTGCTTACATGCCGCTTCCGCCACAGTAATTACTCCTACAATTAAGTATTTTCAAAAGTACCCCGTCTCTGTAGCTTGATCGATGTGTGAGGCTATCCTAAGAGACAAATGCTGTTCACATACAGCACCGGTCTGGCTGGAACGCTGGTTCTCAGGCAGTTTCACTTCGATCTCGGGTATCAGATTCACAAGCGCTGAACACATTTCAAATGAGATCGTGGTGACAAATCGAGGGAAGATTGTGTCCGATTCTTTCCATCCTACCTGGCCACACTTTCAGTACAGATTAAAACTTTTGACTGACAATATATCATCTCACTATACGAATACAGAGCTGTAAATCGTGGAACAAGAAAATACCCGAAAAGCCTTTCTTTGTACAAAACATTTTGAATATCGCAGTTGTATTCTAAATTATACAGACGTTACACAATTAAGTGAAACATATACTTCCAACCTGGACTACCTGCGGTAGACACTTTGCAGAGGGTCTTTATTTTATTACGAGTGCGAGTGAGTGAGTTTAGTTTTACGCCGCTTTTATCATTATTCC